AGTGGCCAGCAACGAAGCTGGTCGTTTGCTTCGCCTGCTTTCTTTTTTTCTTCCTCCCGTTTTCGATCTCTCCCACCTAGCCTTCCTCTGGTCTTCTTTCGACTGGGCTAACCTGATTCTGCCTGCATCGTTTAATTAAACCGCTGGACTTCCCGACCACCTGATGACATGCATGCAGCTCACATGGAAGAAACAAGATACTAAGAAGACGAGAACAAGCGGAGAAGAAAGCGGTGAATAGGATTACAATCAAGACGACGATCGTATCTCCGCCGTCGCTGAAAGTCATTTTCCTGACCGTCTTCGCGGACCCTCCGACCTTGTCTTCCGTGAAGTGTGGCCCATTCTGGCTGAAAGCTGCGTCTGCAGCTGCAGCTGCATAGCCTGTAATTCAGGGTTCAGGGCTCTGGATACTGACTACTCCAACGGAGTGCTCTTTAGGAGTGCTCGTATTTTCTGTCGTATTATGACGCGGGAGGTGAAGATGACCGTTGTCTTTACAGGTATGTGCACAATCCACTCTATCGCATTGCCTTGCCCTTTCTTTTGCCGTGGCCGCCGGCGCCTTTATGATGATTACCAAACAAATACAATGCTTGACTTCCGAGAGGACTTTCAACCCATTTGCGGAGAACCAGGACAATCTGATAAGGCGTCGAACTGGCTGATTTTACTTGCCTTGACCGCGTTTGCATATGATGGAACATTGCTAATGAAATCAGTTACCCAAACTGCAGACGACAGGGCAATCCATCAGGGCACAAAGGCACCAGTATCTGCGCGTACAAGAGCAGTCTGTAGGCGGTCAGCTTGGCCTTGCGCTTTGCTCAAACTCTGCTGGTGCCGTGCCTCCTCCGGCGGCTACGATACGCCGCTGTTACTGCTTTTGGAAAAGCTGGCGCACCATGGCTCTCAGACCGTATCCTACGTGTCCAGAACAGGACTTCTCGGTAGCACCACAGACAGCGTAGATCGTGTCTAGTGTCACGAGGGGACGTCGAGATATGGGAGCCTCGGGGGTCCGACTAGATTGACAGCGACAAGGCAGATTTGTCGAGAACCCCGAGGACACAACTGCCGTTGATAGAGCGTCGTCATTGTGCAACGGCTGGCTGCCTCCCCTCTGTCTCATCGAAGTTCCGGACAGGCCATTAGTCCAAAAGCCTCTGGCCCTCGGGGCTGGATACACGCAACGGAAATCCGACGTGTCCGGAGGCAAATGGCAGGTCGTTGCGGAGAGGACGGCCTGGCACTGGGGAAACGCAAGCAGAGCGCCTCCATCTTCCCCAGACGTCCGACGAGAGGGCAAGTAGACTTTGGATGCGAGCAGTTGTCGCTCCTCTGTAGAGAGCATGCAGATGCCAGGCTCCTTGACCTTTTCAGTGGATGCTGTGCAGCTGTGCTGATACCGCTGTTTCGTTTCTGACAAGTTGGAGAACTCTCACCGCTGGTTCGGCTCGAGGCCGTTTTCAACTATGGAGTATAGCTGTATGCACACGATGCTGTTGCTCGTGTGGCACGGCATATCTGTAAGAGTGGAGAGACAGTCGCTCCTTGATGAAGTTCCTCGTGGTCTGCGTATGCGAGTCAAAGTGAAGGGGCACGATGATATTTCGCTGTATGGATTCTAAGGATGCTTTTCAGCGGCGATTAACGCAGTCTACGCTTCCACCTAAGGCCATGTGTCTCACACAAATCCAGGTTTTCGTCTTTGCCACGAGATACATGCATGATCATGTTCTTTCCAGCTGATTGCAAGACCGATTCTGCTCGTGTATATGCACGCAGGCCAAGACAAGACGAAAACGTCTGAAAAGAGGCTTAACCAGATGCAAGGCATGTTCTATCGTCTGCGCCTTCTGCGACGTCTGGCCGTTTTGATACTTCCAGCGCCTCCTGCAGCAGGCCACACGGAGCGGTAGCTGAGGCGAGCAGTAGGACAGCACACGCGCCTACAGGCTCTCGCGAAACAGTAGCGGTTTAACACGTCTGAGCGTGCGCATGTCTCGGCGAATAGCGGCGGATCCATATTGTCCGGCGACCAAAGCAGCACATTACTCTGTATGCTGGCTCTGGCTCTCCCTGTGCAAATTCCAGCAGCTTGGCGTGGGGGGACAGCCAATGCTCGAGCACAGCTAGCTGGGCGTAGCAAATCGGACTGTAGTGGCCTCGTGCCAGCAACCGATCGACGGGCTGACATGCGATTGGGGGGGGGGGGAATAGCGCAAGGCAAGACGGAGAGATCGGAAATTTGAGAGGTGCTGGTGGAGTGGCAACCGTACTCCGTACTACGTCGTATGTAAGATTCTTACATTTTATGGGAAAGAGATGCAATCTAGCGTGGTGGCTGTCCAAGGGTGTGCTGCACGATGATGGGGGGTGTGTCGGGGAAGGAGGGGCAGTATTTCTAGGGCTCAGCCGCTGTTAGAGAAATGTGATGTGTCGCAACGTAGGAGCCGTACGGATATACGAGTAAGGTACGTTGTAGGGCGTGCCACAGTGGTCGTCGCAGGCAGGTGGCAGGGACAGGGGGGCTGGCGCTGTTTGTACTATGTAACAAGGAAACAGCCGGCGAGCCAATGAGCCGGCGAGCCAGGCCAACCAAGCCAGCCAGGCCAGCCAAGCCAGCCAAGCCAGCGAGCGGCTTGGTCGGTGGACGCGCTAAACAAGACCTCTGATCGGGGGACGGGCTGCTAGCTTCTTACGTCGTAGACTGCTGGACCCCCTGTCCCGCGGGACGCTCCCGCGTACGCCAGAGGGGTTGAGTCGCGGCCATAGGCTGAGAATTCCATAGCACAGCACTAAAATACCCCAATGATGTGCCGGCCAGCTAGAGCAAGACCCGCCCGGCTGTCCCGGCGCGCTCGAGCTGAGTCGAGCCGAGACAGTGGTGCTAGGGGGGGCTGGCAGGTTACATGGACACCATGCACAGGTGTGCTGCAGGCGACCTGCTGCTCGTGGGAACTCTCACCTGCCGTCTGACCAACTGTCCTGCCATCCGCTGACCGTCGGACCTGGACTCTTGGGGCTGAACGCGCGGACTTAGCAGAGCAATGGGCAACCATGACGGTCGATGGCCATGTGCTTTTGTTTGCGAGTGAGAGACCATCACGGCCGGAGCTGACCAGATGGGGAGAAGCGTGTCCACTGGCGTCGTTGTGCTTCCCCACCTGAACCCCTCGGCTGCCGTTGTGGCGGATTGGCCCAACTGCTCCGTCGTAGTAGCATCTTAATTAGTCCTCTTTGCGGGGAGGACTCACCGGCTGAAAGAAATCTGCCGATATGGCGTGCCCAGGATGGCGTGGCCTGGATGGCGTACATACTCAGGTAAACGAGCGGTGGAGGAATGGGCGTCTGGGAATAGCAACATCTCTCAGCGACTGACTAGCCTTATGGCATGCTGTTCACCTTGAAGAATGCAGGGGCCAGCATGTCGTAAGTCGATGCGCAGCCGTGGACAAGAATGGACGGTAGGTGGCGAGAAAGCCACGGGATACCGAGTACTCGTATCGTAAACAATAGCTGCCAGAGGACAAGAAAAAAGCAACAAGGAAATGACTGATCAAGACCTCCTAGGAGGCTGACAAGTCATATTCTCGCCTATGGTCGAGACAGGGTTGGCTCATTGGCCCGGACGCGAAGAGGACTTTAGATACATGTAGTACGGGAAATGGCTGCGAGCAATACGACTACGATGCCAACGGCTAGTAATCAGAGGGGGGGTTCCCAAGGACGGACCACCGAGGCAAGGGGGAGGGGTCTTATAACATGTAATACATAGTACAAGGGACAGAGAGGACACGGCCGCTTGTGGAGGCGAGGGCAGAGACGGAAGCCAGCGGGATGCTAGCCCGGTAGCCAGGGGCGGACGAGAAGCGAGGGGGGGAGCTTTCTGTCGATCGGGACCCCCAAGTGTAGTAGTGACTCGGAAAAAGAAGCAAAGCGAGGGTTGTGATCGGCGGCGGAGAGAGACAGGAAGAGCAGTCCTTATTGGACAGAGAAATTTGTGATAAGACCCGCAGGAGAGAAGAAGGGGAAGGAGAAGGAAGGGGAAGGGGAAGGAAGGAGAAGGAGAGAGAAAGGAAGGAGAGAGAAAGAAAGAAGAGAGAAGGGAAAGGAGAGAGAAGGGAATAGGAAAGCAGGAGAAAAGGAAGCGAGAGAAAGGAAAGAGAAGTAGAAGAAGAAAATGGCAGGTTGAAAAATGGCAGAGGGAAACGAGGGCAAAAAAAAGGGCGCGTAAGGAGCAAGGGCCAGACCCAGACTCTCTCATCTTGCAGGTGCAGCCCCCCCTCGCTCCTTCCCCCCCGGTCTGCCAGTAGCCGCAGCGCTGCACTACCGCAACATGTTTTTTCTTTCTTTTTTCCGACATCTCCATGGCGCATCCGCGGCGACACGACACAACAGCCAACCGCCAGGCGGTCGAGACAAGGAGCAAGCAGGAGAGCAGGAGAACAGGAGAGCAGGAGAGCAGATCAGACGGTGTGGATCCTGACCGCCAGTCGGGCTTCCCTTCCAGACCTTGTTATAAGAAAAGAAGAGGCCGTCGAGACAGGATGGCCTCGACTGTCTCGACTGCTTCCTGCTTCATCACCATCATCATCCCGTCCACTTGTGTCTGACACGGCTCCTCGACCTTCTGGTCTCGCTCTTTTTGTCTTTGCCTTTCTGTCTTTTTGCCTCTTTGCCTCTTTGCCTCGGACCCCGTCCTAGACAGAGACGTATATCTCGCCCCAGCTTGGTGAGACTACTGATCGACGATCGACATTCCTCCCTCGCGGGCCGACCGTCTGCTGTTCCCACAATTTCCCTCGCGCGTCTGCTACTTGTTGTCCTCGCTGCCCACCACTCCCTCGCCGCCCAGACCTGTACAGGTCGAGACCGTGGCAGCTCCTTATTAGGACAAGAGAGTCTTCTCGTTTTCCATCTCGACCGGTCTGCACTTGCACTCTGTTCACACGCACATCTCTTCCTCCACATCCATCTGCTCCGCCATCTACACGATGTCTTTCATGCCGCGCAACGGCCTGGCCACCGGCCGGGACGAGGGTCCAGCCCAGCCCAAGATGCTGCCGCCTACGCTCACGGCCTTTACCTCTCGGCTCGCCGGTCGGCCCTCGTCGCCGGCCAAGTCCAAGGCCAGCAGCGGTGGCTGCACCTACATCGGCAGCAGTGCCATCAGCTTCGACAGCGACGAGGACGACGACGAGTGGGAAGACGACTGCGGCCAGCTGCGGCTCCCAGACGCCCGCAACCCCAAGCAGCACAACGACGACGAGCACGACGGCAAGATCGTGTTCAAGCGCATTGCCGTGCCCAGACCGATACCCCAGACCTCGCTGCTGTCCCAGATGCTTCGCCAGCAGCAGGCCTCTGGCATGGCTCTTGCCAGCAGCAGTAGCAGCAGCAGCAGCAGCAATACAAACATAAACAACAACACCACCACCATTACTTCCTCGGCTGCTTCTGCCTCTACTATCATGACCGACGCCCAGTTTCCCATTGACTTTCCCAACCCGCTGCGCTGTCATCCCACTTCGAGCCAGTCTCCCAGTCCGGCCGAGTCAGACATGCCCCAGCTGTCATCCTCTCCTTCGGCTTCTTCTTCGTCTTCTGCCTCCTCCTCTTCCGCCTCTTCTCTCGCCTCTTCTCCATCTTCCCCTCCTCTCGTGCACATCCCCCAGGTCGCAGGCGGCTTGCTCTTCGTGCACCGCTCGCCGCGCGCCATCGTCGACAGCACTGGCCCCTTCACGTCGATGCCGTTTAACGGCGCCTGTGGCCCGCGTGCCGATCCCACCGTTGTCGTGGGCGCGCCGCCGCGTCGCGATATCTGCTGCAACGGCCGGCTTTTGCGCGGTGAGCTCAGCAGCACGCTGCACTCGAGCATCCTGGACGAGAACAACTCGCGCTACATCTTCCGTCAGTACGGCAGCCGTCGGTGTGTGGGTGGTCCGGGAGAAGACCAGGTCGAGAGCCGTCCGTTTCCGCCGGTCCGCCGCACCCAGTCCGCCCCCGATGTACTTGCCGTTGCCCGCGACGCCTGTCGGCTCGTGGAAGAGGCAGCCAGGGCTGAGAAGACGGGAAAGGCAGAAATCACGGACAAGACAGAAAAGACGGCCACCGACACGGTCGTCTGTCGTGGCGTGCGTGACTACCGCTCGGTCCAGTTCCGCAAGATCGAGTACGTCGACGACTACGTGGCGCCGCGCAGCTGGAACTGGGGCATGGATTACCACTCCAAGGGCTGGTAGATCCAGCCTGGCCAAGACTCTAACACACAAACACACACAAAAAGGCGTAACGAGGACAAGGACATGTAACGGAAAACGAATGTAGGAATGATGTGAGAGATGACGCGCAAGGATACCCTTTTTCTGGATAATGAATTTCCTTTGTCTGGCAGGCTGCTGTCGTTGGTTTTTTTTATTTTTTATTTTTTATTTTTTATTTTTTATTTTTATTTTTATTTTTTATTTTTTATTTTTATTTTTTTCTTATTTTCTTACTTCTTATTTCTTATTTCTTATTTCTTATTTCTTATTTTCTTATTTCTTATTTATCTTTATTCTCTCAATTTATATTTTACCTTCCTCGGTGCTTCTATCTGCAAATCCGTTCCCCATTAATTGGAAGTATTATTAATCGAACTCCTGTTGCCAATGTATCATCTTGCTTATTCTCTGCTCTGAAGTGCAGACTAGGTAGTTAACAACGAGTGAACAGCTCGAACGAGTGATTGTCCGACGTTTCCTAAAGAGGATATCCACCCCTGAAGCCACTGTCACCCTGTTCCTGGTTGGCACGCTCGTGCTCTTCTCGTGTCACGCATCTTACCATCAGTCTGGGACGTGTGTGGTAGCACGGCTCGGCTACGGCAGTTCATGATTACTGAAACTCGGTTGTATTCTGTGAACAAAAGGTACTTCTGGCTTTGCCAGACAATGCATTCTCGGCTACCTATTTTGCCGTGTCATTAATAAAAGCAAACAAAGAAAGCACAAACGCAGAAGAACAGCAGACCCAAGTCCCGGCAACGCGAATACCTACGGAACATCCATACCCAGACCATCCAGCAACCCAGAGCAAGATTAGCCGACCCAGAGAAAGCGATTTCCTTCTGCCATTCGCACCGGCCTAGATCTCTCTCGTTGCCCTGAACGGAGGACGACAAGCACCGGACGGAGACGGTCCCAAATGACAGAAGACAGAGACAGAAGACAGAAACGGGAAACGACAGGATGCCTAAATGTCATGAATGACACAAGGGCAGAGACAAGGAAGGACAAGCACGGGAGAAACGGCAGAAACTAAGCGAGCCCCCGACCAACCAATGAACCTCGTCCACCCGTCACTTGCCGCCCTTTTCGAACAGCGCGCCGTCATCTGAGGCGCCACGCTCGCCGACTGCGCCCACATATTGTTTCTTGTTGGTGCCGTGATTGCTGCCGGGGCCGATGCCGCCGCCGCTAATATTGCCGATGTTGCCAATATTGCCGCCGGTCGGGGCGCCATGGCCGGTCTTCCCAGCTTTGGCACTTCGTGCCGCCTCAGCACGCGTGACGATGTCGTGCGCGGACACCTGGTAGAAGGCGAAGAAGCGGGACTCCATCGTGGAAAGGGGCGGTGGATGGGCGGGGAATGGCAGGTGAAGACGAAGAGCAGAAAAATTGAAAAAATTGAAAAAATTGGGAGAGCAGGCGAGCAGAGACAGGCTCTTTGTGGAATTGAGCAGGAGAGCAAAGTTGCAGCGACGAGGTGAGAAGTGATTTCTGTCTTTTGGGGCCAGTGTTTGCCTGCAGCAATGGATGCAGCGGATATTTTTCGGATTGGCACTCTTGGTTCGGGGGGAAAGGGTATTCTTAAGAGGACTGGATCTCGTCTCGGCTCCGTTCACGGGATGCAGAGGTCCGACAGCCTGGCAGCTGGACAGAGGGAAGAGGGAGGAGAGCGAGAGGAACAAGGGCAAGCAGGAGACAGGGAGCGAGAAAAATGGCGACGGACGCAGGTAGGATTTGGGGACGGATGCTACCACTCTTCCTTGCTTCTGCATCCATGCATGGGACTTGGACGGACAAGGACGAGCAGCAGTTGTTTTTATGTGCAGCGAGACAGGAGCAGGAGCAGGAGCAGGAGCAGGGCATGTCCGCCGGCATGCTGCGAATGCGAGCCTGCATGCTCGTCCATGCATGCATGCCTGTTGAAGAAGGCCTAGGCATTCCGAGCGAGAGATGTGTGTGTGTGTGTGTTATGTCTTGCTCTGTGCTGGTGCTGGTGCTGTTGGTGGTTCTGATTCAACGGCTACTGCAACAGCGACCGCTACTGTTGCTGTTGCTGGTATTGCTGGTGTTGCTGATGTTGCTGCTGTAGCTTGTGGTGCTGTAGCTTGTGGTGCTGTAGCTTGTGGTGCTGTAGCTTGTAGTGCTGTAGCGTGTGGTGCTGTAGCTGCTGGGACTGCTGTGACTGCTGTGACTGCTGTGACTGCTGAGACTTCTGTTGCCGTAGCTGCTGTAGCTGCTGTTACTGCTGGCTCCCTCGCCCACTCGCCTCACCTTGCTCCCAGCCCGTGCTTCCCATCCTCTCGTCCTCCCTCTCTCGCCCTGCCTTGCGACCCGTTTTCCAGGTTGCACCACCACGGGGGAAAACTGGCCGTGACAAGGTCCCTCGGGCCCCCACACATCCATACATCCACATATCCACAACATCCCCCACCCCGGCCGGCCAATGGCCGGACAGCGTCCCCCTCCAAACTTTCTTTCCTGGTGTTACATCTGGCACATTCTGGTGGTCTGGCCGTCAGCGACCGCCGCGGAGAAGGGGGGCGGATGGAAGGGCCAGAGTATTGGGCGATGGCTGGATAGGAGCAACTGGAGAGGGGGGATGCACAAAGACAGGTCCTGGGATCGGAAGCTAGGCGATGCAGGCCCGACAAAGACGATGCTGGGACAGGCTGATGGGCGCACACCGTCACAGCGCTGTTGGATGTCGACCTGCAGAACGCACAGGCTGGCAAACCGGATGTCAGCCGGACAAAGCCAGCGCAGACCGAGAGCCAGACGGATCCAGAACAGACACGTAGAGGCCGAGCGATAGGAAAGGGGACAGAGACGCGCGCGATAAAAAGAAACGATAAAAGATGAAAGCTGGACAGAGGATTGGTGAAGGAGGGCGGAAACAGCCCAATCCGGACAAAAGCAAGGAAAGGAATGTTTTTGTGAAAACGATGAAAAATGAGATAAAAATGAAGTAAAAACCCCCCCGAAAATTCGCCGGAGACCAGAACCGGGCTTCGCCTGCCTGTGAGACACAGACGGGCAGATCTCGTATCTCTCACCATGTGCTGGCATAGCGCAAGCATCGAAGGAGGTCGACCTGTCGGCGAATTCCTTTCGCCTCTCGCCTCTCGCCTCTCGCCGCCGACACCCCCAGAGGCATCGGCCAAGGGGTGTCAGCAGCGGGCTGTGGTGTGGCGCTTCCTGGCCAATCCGCGCTGCCTGACCTCCTGCACTCCTGCAGCATCGATGCCCAACCCCGGCGGAAATACAATGGCAGCTGCCCATCCATCTCTTGGGCTCTTGGCGTAAGCACGAGGCTGGGCTCATTGGCCGTCTCCGTCGTCACAGCAGATGCGAACCGCCCGTTGCCCGGACCAGCAGCCCAAAGCCACGATGCGCCCACTCGTGCAGGCGTCCGGCGTCAGGCATCCATCGCGGGCGCGCAGTCGTGCCATGTATTAAGCCTGCGTCGTGTCCCCCCCCCCCCCCCCCCCAATCCACTCCTGTCTCAGGATCCTGTTCTCCCCAGCCTGTGCGCAAGCCACGTGCCGCCTCCTGCTGCCGTCTGGCCGAAGAAGAAGAGAAGAAGGCAGGTCACCATGGAGGCCCTAGCTGCCCTGAGCATGGCCTGCAACGTCTTCCAGGTCCTCTCGTTTGCCCACGAGACCTTCGTCCTGGTCAGGACCATCCGCCAAAACGGCACGCCGGACCCGAACCTGGCCGACCGCGCAGACCAGCTCGCGAAGCTGACCGCGCAGCTGGACAGCGCCCTGCAGCACGCGTCGCCTGTCCTGCAGCACACCGGCGCCCCCGCTCTCCTCGGCCTAGCCCACAAATGCAGCACGGCCTCGGGCGAGGTCCAGGCAGAGCTGCGCACCATCGCCAGCAGCCGCGCTGGCACCGTCTGCAAGCTGGTCAAGACCCTCGCTCGGCGAGGCAAGCTTGGGCGTCTCGAGAAGAAAATGCACCAGCACCAGCAGGCCCTGCTCTCCCGGCTGCTGGCCGATGTGTGGTATGCTGCCAGCCCAGATATCCGCAGACACGATGGACAGACAGGAGTGCTAACTCTCCGAAAACAGGAACAGGCAAGAGGCCGCAGCAGTCCAGCTGCAGAATGGCTTCACTAGCCTTAATGCCGACATCAAAGACTTCATCCAGAAATTCGAGCAGGGGCAGATCTCCACTGGCCAGCTCCTTGACGCGGGGAATGTCGGCATGCTGGCCTCCCTGACAGCCAATGTGGACACCGTCCGACAGTTGATCGACTCTGGAAAGGCCGAGATCCAAGGCCACATCACTGCTGCCGCTCAGACGATCCAGGTCGCGCGGGCGGATGAAGAGCGCCTGAACAAACTCCGCAACAGCTTGCGATATGGCGACATCAACTCTCGACGGACCCAGATTGAAAAGTCACAGGCAGACACCTTCAGCTGGGTCTTTGAGCCGGATAAATCGGGAAAGTACCACCCCTTCCGAGACTGGCTTCTCTCAGAAAAGGGCCTGTTCTGGGTCAATGGAAAGCCAGGCTCCGGAAAGAGCTGCTTCATGAAGTTTCTTGCCCAGGACAATCGCACGGCGGAACTGCTCCCCGGTCACGCTATCTACTCTTACTTCATCTGGAACTCGGGAAGTCTGATGCAGCGAAACCGCCGTGGAATGTTTTGCTCTCTCCTCCATCAAATGCTGGCCAGTAACACCTACGCGGCCCAAATTCTCCAGGCTTCCCCTAGGCTGTCATATAAACAAGAGTCCTCGGACTGGGAGCTAGACGAGCTAGAGATGACTCTGCAAAGTACCCTCAAACTGCACACCCAACCTGTCTGTCTCTTTATCGATGGACTAGATGAGTTAGACAGACAAGATGACAACTTCGATCTCCAAAGGCTTGTCCGGGACACTTTCACATCCGTACCAGGGCTCAAGATGTGCGTCTCCAGCCGGCCAGAGCCACTCTGGACTTCCCTGCTACATGGCGTCCCCTCGATCAGACTGCAGGACCTAACCCGGAAAGACCACAAGATCGTGGCGCGAGAGCTATTAATACGGTACCACCAAGATCCTCTCAAGGATGAGAGCGAAACGACAATCCAAGGCCTTGTGGACCTACTAGTCGAAAAAGCAGAAGGTGTTTTCCTCTGGCTCCGATTGGCGCTAAAAAGCTTGCAACGTGGATTGACTGGCTCAGACAGCTTTCATGAGCTGCAGAAAAGAATCGATGCTCTACCGAGCGAGCTCACTTCTCTCTACACAAGCATGTGGAGCCGGTTGGGAGATGACGAGGCCACTTGGCGACGGGAGGCTGCCCTATACTTTCACCTCGTTCTCCAATTTCCCGGGGACCTTGCAATTAAATCTAACGACGGCATGTCCGATGGCTGCGAGCATATGGTACCGACTACCTTCTACTTGGCGCTTGCTTCGGATCTCAAGTTTCGAACCGACGTATATCGTAACCGGGCTCAGTTGTCTCGTGACGAGCTGTTCTTGCTCAGACCAGAAATACAGAGTGCTTGCCGCAACATCCAGAAGCGGGCGGAATCTCGATGTGCAGGACTACTAGAATTTACGACAGCCCAACCTACAGAGAAATCACAATTTACAGGGATTTTCTTCATCCATCGCACTGCTCGAGAGTATCTTCTTGATACGCAGGAAGGCCACCGGCTCCTAGCTTGTTACCCCCAAACAGATGCGTCCGAAGCCATTTGTCGCGCCTTTGCTTGTGCAGCTCTGATTTGCGACGTTAAGCGCCAGTCCTTTTCAATTAGTATGGTGAGATCATATTCTCCAACCAGCCGCAGCTACTGGAAGACACTCCACCTCGATAGAAGTGGTTTTCTTTCTGATTCTATAATATCATATGGACCTCTTGCTCAGACAAATTTATCTGCAGCTGATATGTTTCTGCTCATTAAAGAGGCTTTTGATGAGCTCGCCATGACAAGCCTGTTCGAAACTGTTGCCAAAGCAGAATGCTTCGATTTAACTTTGCAGCTATATGAACGCAACATCAGACACGACGAGTCGTCGAAGCTACTCCTGAACTATTTGTGGCTGCAATATATACAGGATGCCTGCTCTGAAAGGGAAAAAATATCGTGGATGATAGACCACCAGGTCAACACTCGCTGGGGGGGGTTCGCCACAATATTCTTAGTGGACCAGACTATCCCCCAGCTGTTTGATAAGAAAGAGCAATTACTTATTGCTTTAATTCAAGGCGATACACCAAATTCTACCGATCTACTTAGCCTAAACCCCCGTTCTATACACAGAAGAGTCGTTCTTTCCGGGTACTTATCAGAAACAGAGCTTTGGTTCCAAGATGTTAAAATGGGGCTGTCTATGCTAGACAAGCATGAACTGACGAGCGGCTGGAAACTGATTGATATTGTCATCGAATTTAACATTGCACAGCTGCACAATCTAGCTTACGCGGCCATACGGTCCAGGCCATTACAATACTATGACCGAGAAAATACCGATAATATCAGGGTGACAGGCAACTCGATGGAAGCAATGCTCTACCCGGAAAAGAGTTGTCATCGCAAGGTAGTTCTGATCAGCAAATTTACTGCCTCTGCGGAAAAGAAGACGGGGCCTAGATGTATTCGCACTTTCAAGATGGAAAAAGCAGTTGACATCATATGCGATACTAGACAGCTGTCCAGTGACTTGCCAGAAAAATCGCGCCAGATTTCAGAGTTTTACCCTCCAGAAGGTCAACACTGTGTGCCAACAGAAGATCAATCCAAGGAAATCCTGAAGCTTATGGACCGGTTCAATTCGAGCAGATACCCCCATCATGAGGGCCACGACGATGATGTCGCCCAGGTTCACAAAATTGTCGACGATACTCTCGACACATGCTCCGACCGAGTCACAGATGTTGCTGAGCACTTACGCCAGATTGGCATATATATTCCGGCCGAGGAGGATATCTGGGCATTTCAGGAGGCCCAAGACGCGCGCACCAGGGCCACAATCATGCACAAATTGAATGAACAGAAGTTTGCGATGGAGCGGGAATGGGACAGAACTCACGAAGAATCCCAGACGTCCGAAGCATTGTGATTCGGCAAGTTACTATGTAGTGGCAGCTCACAATTGTACGCACGTATGTTGTTTGCGTGCCAAACCAATGATTGCGGGTCTGAGTTAAAACGAAAACGCAAATAATAGCTACCGCATTGTTTGTGTTAACATGTGGGGTATCCGAGATATTATCGAAGGTTTCTACGAGTACTCCATATTGTGCACGTAAGACGAGATTGGCATATCGCGAAGCTAGATTTTGATCGCATATAAGAGCAATCTGTACGGAAGTCTATAGACAAATAGTCGCACATATCACGAGGCAATGGTCTGTAGCCATGTATCACGTACAGTCACGTGGCCAGAGAGCAAAGAGGCATACGTATCGTATTTGGAATTAAAGAATAGATCTAGACCAAGCTCTTATGTAGCATCGGGATGATTTCTTTTTCAGCCGAATTGCCAACATTTGTTTGCATTTCCCCGACAATTCGGGTACAAGGTATTAATAGTACTGAATTGAGCTAGGTGTAAGGAGTACTCCGTACGGAGTACAAAGCTCGGGATGTTGCGTAGACATTGCGCCAGCTAATATCACGACGAGAGGATCACTTATACACCACAAGTAAAGCACTCCGCAGTACGGAGTACGGAGTACACCTACGGAGCCAAAACTCCCGGACACACTTGCTCCGAGGCGGTGGATAGCTAGCAAGGAGTCGTGGCGTGCGAGAGGGGGAAAGAAAACCACGCGCAGTAAAAAGGGGAAACACGGGCGGGAAAAAGGGGAAGAATGTCCAGATCAGAAATCGGGCGACAGCGCATGTAGTCCGTGTGGAGTAGTCCGTGCGAGGGTTTTGACAAGCACATGACTGCCGTCTGGGAGAGCTATTGCCCATTGGAGCGTGAAATTGTATTGCGCCTCCTTTTGGCATCTGCAGACATGAAATACGAAGTACGGGTACTTTCGCTCAGTGTTGGCAAGAAGCTAGAACGACAGCTGGTCCTTGCACAGAGTCGGCAGCACGCAGACCGTTGATTGGCCGAACCAAAAGACAAGCAGCCCATGTGAAGTCATCCAACAGGAACCCAGGCACAGAGAAGGGCCAGACCCGGTACTTTCCCTTCAGGACACAAAAGGCGCCCTGTGCATACGAGCCGATTAAGTTATATCCAGTATGATTTGGGGCAGAATAAGAGTGTGGCTTGGTGCTTCCATTTCGCAGTCGTCGGTTTTTTTTAGGTACACGACCCACCAACGATCCACCACTAGCACCTGCTGCCCCAGTTTCGCTTTTTCTGCGCCAAAGGGGGGAAAAAACGCGTCAATCCAGCAAACATCTTCGTCCAGACTAGTTTCACCTCTCCTGCTCTCCCTCTCTTCCTCCCCGATCTTCTCTCCTTTGAAGCCATTCCGTCCAGACGCCAGAGCAAACCGCCCATTTCGACCTTTTATTTTCCAAGCCATCGCATTGTTCGCCAAGGGCGTCAAGCTCCCTTCTCTTCTATCCCTCATTTAGCTGCTCCCCCTTTCTCTGACCGCCCCATTTAAGAGCACGGCTGCCTGTCGCCCTGCACCTTTCGACTTTCATTTTCGATCATCTCGCGGCCGCTTCTTCTCGCTCGATAGCAGTCGAGTGCATGAACAGACAGGTCAACTCCGACGGATTCTCCTAACTGCGGCTGCTTGCCTCCTCTATCCCACAATGGCCTGCCCTCCACCCTCTTCTCGAAGCGCACACTCATCCTCTTCTGGCCATCTCCGTCGTCGTCGCCGACAAGCTCTCGCCCTCCTCGTCCTGCCGTTCTTGGTCCTCCCCACAGTCTCAGCTGCTGCCGTGCTTCCTGCCGATGCGGCTTCAGCGGTCGCCGCTGCTGTTCCTGTGGCAGCGGCTCCTGTGGCAGCAGCTCCTATAGCAGCAGCTCCTGTAGCCGCAGCTGCAGCTGCAGCCCCTGCGGTAGATGCCATCGACACCGTGGGCGGGACAGCCGGGACCAAAGCCAAACAACACGACAAGGTGAAGCCTGTTGACGGCAAGGACGGCCGGCCACACGAGGGTCCTTTTGTCGATATTGAAAGCTCGCGGAAGACGGGCGAAACAGCCGATCAGGCCGCACAGAAGAGCACTGTCTACATAGACGGCAAGAAGGTCCCGGAGAGCAACGATGGCGTTATGGACGACAAGAACCGGGTGGCGCCGAAGGAGGGCACCACGGGCACGAGCGGTGGCGTCAGCGAGAAGGACAAGCAGCGCAAGGCACAGGAGGGCCAGACTGGCGAACGTGTTGAAAATACACCAGATTCGCCGAAAGAGGCGCCGCCTATGCCCCACCACGAAGAGAAGAAGATCAATGGCGGGAAGGATGGAAAGGACGAGAAGGCCAAGGACAAAGACGTCGCTGGCGACGATGCGTCTGGTCTCGAGGTAAGATTCATATCAAGTCTCGATGCACTCGTGGCGAGATGGACTGACCCAAAGCCGCACAGAAACCGATCGATCTTCCTGACGCCCCGTACGACAAGGCCATGCCCGTTCCTGGATCTGCTAAGAAGGATCACTTGGACGTGTCGAAGCCCAAAATTGCGTCCGACCCATCCAAGAAGCCGCCACGTCCCAGTGGAGGCGACGATGAATCGGCCACGCTCATCCAGCCGCTGCATTCGTTCCTCCTGTCGCTTACCATGATTTTGGTCTCTGAAGTTGGCGACAAGACGTTTTTGGTGGCTGCGCTGATGGCGATGAAGCACGACCGCACAGTCGTCTTTTCTGCGGCCTTTAGTGCTCTTTTCACCATGACACTCCTGTCAGCCGTTTTGGGCCACGCCGTGCCGGTACTCATCCCCAAGCGCCTGACGAACCTTCTAGCCGCAGTCCTGTTTCTCGTCTTTGGTGGTCGCATGCTGCGTGAAGGCATGGGGATGGATGCAAACGAGGGCGTGGCGGCCGAGATGCAGGAGGTCGAGCAAGAGCTCGCCGAAAAGGAACATCTGGCCCGGGAGAACGGCCGCCGCAACGGCCTCTCGTCCACGGTCAGCTCAGACGCGCTTGAGATGGGCATCGGCGGTGACAGCGCGGGCGGACGGCATGCAAGGCAGCAGAACCGCTTTGGCAAGCCGAGCCGCAGCGCGTCCTCTTCTGCGTCTCCGCCTCGCAACCGCAGCGGCGGCGTCTTGTCGACGGCACTCAGCGTCGGCAATGGCATGAGCAACCTGGCCTCGCTTCTGCTAAGCCCTGCCTGGGTCCAGACGTTTGTGATGACCTTTTTGGGCGAGTGGGGAGACCGCAGCCAGATCGCCACTATCGCCATGGCTGCCGGCCAGGACTACTGGTGGGTGACGCTGGGCGCAGTGACGGGCCACGCCTGCTGCACTGGTGTGGCTGTCATTGGTGGCCGTGCCATTGCCGGCCGTGTCAGCCTCAAGGTTGTCACGATGGGCGGTGCCGTCTCGTTCCTGATCTTTGGCGTCATCTATCTTGTAGAGTCCTTTTACACATGAGAACAGGCGCTGCAGCGCCTCACTATTGTATTTTCTGGTTCATTGCGCTGTTTCGCACCTTCACACTCGTTACCACGCACTCGCGCTGTCTTGCGCTCACTTTTTTATTTGCGGGTCTGTTGCTGCTTCTACTGGCACTGTTTTGTTCGGCGGAAAGGACAGAGATGAACGGGTTTGATCGGCACAGGGTTCTTTCTGCATGGATGGCGTTTACCGCGTTGTCGGATGGAAAACAAACGTTTGGGCTATATTCTATCTCTGTTTTGGGGGGTCAATCACTCATTTTACCGCCCACTCGACGTCTCGCTGTTTAGACCTTTCTCTTCACGTCATTCCTTTACTACCCCTTACACAATTTTAATCCTATGACGGATATCGAGGTTGCGTTTCTTTTGTTATGTCTGGTTGCTTTTCTGCACGATTTCTCCTCCGTGTCGGAATGCTATGCAGATGGGGGCAAGGCCCTGGGTTGGGAATATGGCACCTGCCGGGTGGTCTTTGTGTTATGTATTTGGGGACTCGGCCTTTTTGTCCATTGCTATCGAGTTATCTTGGTTTCGGTGGGATACTGTAGACCGGGAAACAGGTGTACGAGCAATAGAAATAATCACGGCTACAGAGAACAGGAGCAGGAGGCGGACATGACGAAAAGAGGCCGAAATGGAGGGTTGGATGTATTGTTGTTCTGTACCATGTGTTTTCTGGCTTTGATAGGATAATAGCAATGATACGACAGCAACTCCGGGGGATGTCTGACCGTCAGATCGCCAGAACGAGATCGGCAGCACCGTCTACCAGTGCTTCTCCGCGATGGGGACCGTGTTGACATCGACACCATCGCGGAACCAGCGGTCGGCCTCGGCAATGGCGACGTCGTTGGCGCTCATCATGCGCTTGCGCATGCGGCCGTCGGGGGCAAAGGTCCAGTCCTCGAGCCCGTAGCAGCGGAACCACTGGGTCGGGGCGAGACCGGCAGCCGCTGCGTGCGCGGGCGCGAGCTGGTACTCGTACCAGAACTGCACGGCAATGCGATTGTCGGTGAAGGCGAAGAGCTCTTTGCGGAGGCAATAGTGGAGCTCACGCTCCCATTTGGCCTGCAAGAAGCGCGTCATCTCCTCGTGGCCACGGAGGAAATGGTCCCGGTTGCGCCAGATGCAGTCATCCGTGTAGGCCGGAACGACAGTGACAGGGTCTCTGAGAGGGGGCGAGGGGGCATTGTCAGTGAGGAGGCACAGATGTCTCACGATGTCGAGGACGAGAGAAGACCGACTTTGTGTTCCACGCGTCCTGGGCTGCCTTGACCTTTTTCTCGGCCGTTTCGAGCGTGAAAGGAGGCACAGGAGGAGCCATGATGTCCGTCTCTCGGCTGTGATGTGTTTGTCACTTGTGGATGTTCTTCTCTTTGCCGTGTTGCGCGTGCTCTGCTATCTGCATCTGCCTCTTTTCAACGTCCTTTCAGAGCAGGATCACAGCGTCCTTTTATACGTTCCCCCATGATACCATCTACGCCGTACAGTCCCTCCTCGTTCATGATTTCCTTACTAATTGAGATGCTGGTCTTTGCACTCCTGTCCAACACGTGGTCTGAGTCAGCCGTAGCCCCAAGCTAATGCAACCACTGCCGATTTAGGAAGTTTTCGTCGAAGAAACGCGGGGTGGTTTGCAGAGCTGGAGAGAGAAGGCGGCGAATGCCGTCCTCAGGATCTCCGGAGGAAACCCGGCATGGTTTTACGGACATAGATAGTAGAGAATTGGTGCCGCTGTCATGGACGATTTTCGCGCTTACATAAGCAGATCACAACGCGATGTCGCCATACGTTCCACTGGCTCTGGTGAACCGAGCGTCGGCTGCAGTGCTTACATGGTAGGGATCCCGATCCAGCCAAACTTGTCAACCAGCCGGCTGTGCCGGAGTTTGGTTGATGCAGTCGATACGGAAGCAAAGAAAGGTGGGGCAAGAAGGAGGGGTCATAGGCCGAGACGCGGCACGGCACAGAGCGAGCTCTGGAGCTAACTGCTTTATCACCAAGTGAGATCCAAGATCGAGGAGACCCATGTACCGTCAGTTGCTGATGCCGGCTTGGTACATATCTGCCTGCCTGCCGGGTTCTGTTTCCTGATGACCTTTTCCACTTGGCAGCCGGCATGCATATTGCAGTACTGCGAGCACTCGTTTGAGAGAGTTTCTGTCTGAGCACTCGCGCCCCTCGAGCAATCTCCCGGCGGGATGACAGGCCAGCTTCAAGACCTTTTCCACGTCCTAGTCTGGCCGACGCCTGCGAGAAAGCTTGCAGAGTGGATCCTGTCGGGCACGATACGCCCCCAGCTCCCATAATTACTGGGCTGCATCGCCGAAGAGACCAATACCCTTCGGACTAGCGGCCCTTTAGACCTGCGCTATCGGTCCAATAGTATGATTGGCTGTTGCAGCGCGACGACGGTCTGAGGCAGCGTACCCGCTGCAATGAAAAGGGGCAGGCTTGTAGAGATAACAGGAAGGCGCATCGCGACAGTGGTACCCGTGTACTTTGCGCGGTAGCATGTACTTGCATAGCAGGCCTTTCCGCTACGGGATAGTACCTGCATGTCTGATCCCCAATGCCGAGACTATGTACGACGGAGCAGAGCAGAGATCGGAGGACAACCCTACTGCTTGTAGCATGTACACGTAAGTTACGGTGAGTCCTGGTACGAGTACGAGTACGATGGGCGTGCAATACGAGTCTCGTGGTCAGGCCTGGGCTGCTCTGGCCGAGTGGGACGTCGGGCGCTGCTAGCCGAGCGAGGACGAAGTCGTGAGAGGGAGGCGCTGAAGACCACCGAAGCAAGAGGTCTTGTCGGTCGAATTCGCTGGCGCGCACCACTACCTCCCACTAGCGCGCCTGCCCCGTTGCATTGGCAGGTGTTTCTCTCCCCGCCCCACCGTGTTTCAGAGGGTCCAGCGTCGATGGCCGTTTTTCCTGGCAGCTTGCTGCCAGCAGCGTTTTGTGGCCGGTCAATCAGATGGCCTTGTTCGCGTGTTTCCCCTTTTTTCCTCCACGACCTCGTCGGCCGGCGAGAGAAGCGACGACAAAAAGCACCGTTTCGTCAGCAGATGCCGTCACAGCGCAAGCGGGACGCCAGCCGCCGCTGCAGAAGATCTCGAGACGTCTCTGCTTCTCCGTTTTTCCTCCTTCGTCCTTTTCCTTTTTGCATCTCGCGTTCCGTATCCGTGCCTTCCCCAACCTGCTCGCAATCCTCCGTAGCTCGCACTCGCCTCTAATGAGGGCACGCCATTCTGCTGTCCTACACTCCAGGGGGCTTTCCTTGGCTCTTTCCCGACCAGCCCCTTTTCCCGATGTGCGTTTGTGCAGCGTAAAGATACCGTTGTACGAAGTAGCCGGCCCACGTCCCATTCATCCATACTTTGTACCGCCACATCGCACACCCAAATCTGAGACCAGGCCTCAATCCTTCCCCTTCTTTTTTCCTGCCCTCCTCTTCTGCCCCATCCGCTGTGACGGCGCAATATTCCTCCACCATTTCTCCGCCCCCTCCTCCCCCCTCCCGTTTACCTTTTGTGTCGGACACCATTCCTGTCCTGTTTCCTCGCTCCATCACCTTTGTTTCTCTTCGCAGCCAAGCTGCACCTGACCAGGCTCTTCTGTCTTCTGTCTTCTGTGCCTTAAAGGTGGGCGATTTCTGCATGCTTGCCGCTCGCTGCATCCTCCAAGCATTTTACTGATTTTGTATTTCGACATCGCCCAATAGGACGCAATCTCGCATTCTCGTACGAACTGTGTTCTTGACGAACATACGGTGTCGGATTGAACGTCTGGAACGTGAGACGTGAGCTCGGCCTCGCTGCTTTCACTTCTACCTCAGTGCTGGACCAGTCGCTGTGTGTTTACGCACGTGCTGCGTGTCGCTGAACATCCCTGATTTATCGACGTCAGAGAATGAGCTCGAGCCGTCGCTCAAGTTTCGGAATGCTGCTACGACGAAGCAAATCGAGCGAGCTGAAGGGCAAAAAGGCCCAGGCGCTTCGCGAACAGGAACTCCAGCGTCAGCGCGAGGTTGCCAACATCCCCAATTCCCCTCCGCGGCTTCCTGTTCTCTACAACGGCGCCACGGCCCCCAACCTCCAGAACACGTTTGGCGAGCCTGCGGCCCATGAGCGTGCTCCGGATATGCCGCAGCAGGACCGTTTCCACGGCAATTACACGCCTCGCCCCTCCATGGAGCCTACACCGTCTGTGGCCAACGTGCCCATTCCTCCCATACCCCAGGGTGCTTGGGTGGACCCGTACGCACGCACCGAGAGCATGACCCACCGTGGGCGCTACAGCTATGCGAGCAGTGCTATCAGCACGATCAATAGCCCCAGACGGGTTCGGCGGAGGAAGGACCCGACTCCGTTCAAGTAAGAAAAGCTGTGGAACAAGAGCGATTGTGCATCTGCTGACATCGACGCGCAGTATTCTGATTATTGGTACTCGAAGTGCGGGCAAGTCGTCGTTCCTCGAATTTCTCAAGACGTCCCTGGCCTTGCCGGGGAAGAAGCGCAACCGGCACATGGACGCGGACGAGTTCACGCCGGTGGTGCCGCCGGCTGGCAATTTCATCCCCCCCTACCTCGAGACGGAGATCGACGGCGAGCGTATCGGACTGACTCTGTGGGATTCGGAGGGGCTGGAGAAGAATGTGGTGGATCTGCAGCTTCGCGAGATGTCTGCCTTCCTGGAGAGCAAGTTTGAGGACACTTTCAACGAGGAGATGAAGGTGGTACGATCGCCTGGCGTCCAGGACACGCACATCCACGCGGCGTTTCTGATCCTGGACCCGAGCCGCCTGGACCGGAATATCGCTGCGTCCAAGGCGGAGCATGCGGCCAGCGGCAACGGGGCTGGATTCAACGGCGGCCCTGTCAAATACGTGCCGCAGTCTCGTGTGGTGGGGGCGCTGGACGAGGACTTGGACCTGCAGGTTCTGCGGACTCTGCAGGGCAAGACGACGGTGATCCCGGTGATCTCAAAGGCCGACACGATCACGACCAAGCACATGAACGTGCTGAAGAAGTCTGTGTGGGACAGTCTTCGGAGGGCGAACCTGGCCCCGCTCGAGCCGCTGGGGCTTGACGACTGCGACGACGGAGACTCGGGCAGTGCAGCCGACTCGAGTCGGATCGAGGAGGAAACGGACGAGGAGACGGCGGTCGAAGCAGCAGAAGGCAGCTTTGCAGCGCGAGTGGGAGAGAGGGAGTCTGACGGAGCAGCGTACTCTGATGACGAGAAGTCGGAGGTTCCGGTCCAAGGCACGCGAGGTTTGCAGACGCCGTCGAGACACGGCAAGCGGACGTCGATCTCGTCCGGGCGGCGGAACCAGAGTCAGGACGACGACGAGCTGCCCCAAGTGCCAATGTCGATTATCAGCCCGGACATTTACGAGCCTGGAATCGTGGGGCGACAGTTTCCGTGGGGTTTTGCGGATCCGAACAACGAGGAGCATTGCGACTTTCTGCGGCTCAAGGATGCCGTGTTTAGCGAGTGGCGCGGCGAGCTGCGTGAGGCCAGTCGGGAGCAGTGGTACGAAGGGTGGCGGACGAGCCGACTGAAGCAGCGCGACGTCAAGGCGATGAAGGCGTCTCTACGGCGGTAATGGGGGCGTGGCGTAAGCTTGCGCGGCTCGCCTGCTGGCGGGCATTGTTTTTGATTCCCAAGCCGCACGTGCGACAGGTATATCCTGTCACGTGCATTCAGTCTGTTTCTCTTTCCCCGACAGGCGCGCGACAGCAAAACGGCGTCATCAGCTGTTTCTTTCCGTCGCCGCCGTTTTCCTTCATGAACAAATTATGTGCTGGATGTCTTCCAGATGAGATTTTGATTCCCCAATTGTCACCATATTCGATTCGGCTAGGAGCACAGGCATTGTGTTACCTTATTTCCTTTCCTTCTCAAGTTGCCAGATGCGACCATTTGTCTTTTCATTTGTTAGATACCTCGGCGCGTTTGAGCGTACCAAGACCAATACAAAGTGTTTTACAAATTATACAGAGGTTCGACGACGTTAGACTGTGGGAACATGCAGTCCAATTTTATATTGCGCGGCAGTCTGTTTTTCTGCTCATGATATCGTAGTGAAAGTATATTAACGTGGAGTTGGTTATCGTCAGATGCATGGGAATCAAACTTGGCGCCGGATGCTGCAGTGCCGGCGCACATGGAAGGGAAGAGGAAGCAAAGGAAAGGATTTTGTTGGAGGTGTGCATTCTTCGACTGGACCACTTGGTCCTGGGCTCTCGACCTTTGAGCTCGACCAGACGAGAGCACGAGAGCACGAGAGCACGAGAGCACGAGATCACGAGATCTTGAAATCACGTGATCTCGATGATCAAGATCCCGGCCTACTCGTCCTCTTCCTCGATGGGAGCGGGGGTGCGGCGTTCGCTGCGGCGTTTGGGACGGCGATGCTGGGAGCTGCTGATGTTGCTGGCCGAGTCCTCGGGCTTGAGCTCGAGCAGGTACTCATCGGCGGCGTCCCAGCTGTCGGGGTCGCCGGCGGGGGTTGCGGGCTGGGCGAGCATGCCGGGGTAGGCGACTTTCTGGTTCTGGTTGTAGCCGTAGGAGTAGCCGTGAGGGCTGGCGGGCAGGTCCATGGCATGGTTCACGCTATGGCTCCGTGCCGGGCTCGGAACGACGCCGCCGTTGACGCCGAGCTGCGGCAGGACGTTGACGCGGCCGGCGGCGACGGCCCGACGCTGCTGCAGACGGACAGACAGGCCGGCGCTGCGCTGTCGGAGGGCGGTGCGAACGGTCTCGGCGCGGCTGTGCAGAGCCTCAAAGGCGTCTTCGAGGGCCTCCATGCCGCGGTAGATCTCGCGCTCGACCTCGGCCAGCGCGGCGATCTCGGCCTCCTCGTCGGTCGAGACGGCATGGCGGGCGGTAGCTGCGGACGTGGCGGCCGACATGCCGGTCATGCCGGACATGCCGGACGCGGCCGAGAAGCTGCTGGTGCTGCTGACAAACGAGGCGGGCGTGACGTTGCGCGTCATCGGGGTCGGTCCGCGCGAAGGTGCATAGACGGATAGTGGCGTTGGACCACGTGACTGAGGTGTGGCTGGTGGGTGTGGCAGTGGATGGGCGATGGTGGGCAAAAAGGCCGAGGCTGGCGGCTCGCCGGCGATGGGCGTGGTGGCGTCGTCGTCGGCGGTGTTCTTGGGACTGACACCCGGACCGGCTGCATCATCGGCCCCGGACCAGAGGAAGCCGTCGAAGCGGCCGGACACCAAGATCTCCCACTCGGACGGGTGGATGTCGGCAATGGTGTGCAGCAGGTCGTGGACGCCCGGATTCCGGACCAGGTACAGAGCCGTTTCGGCATCCCGCGGCGGGCTGCCGGACAGGCGGTAGAGGCGCTGGATGGCCAGGCCGTTGCGCACCAGAAAGTCCGGCCGCGGACGGTTGTGCATGGGCGTGGGCGCGCGCACGGCCGGCTGCAGCTCGCGGGTGCCGGCCAGCAGCGCGTTGAAGAGCGGGCGGTCGTCGGGACCGAGATTCGTCAGGATGGCAAACGCGAGCGTCTCGTCGTCGATCTCTTGGGGTGGCGAGGCGGGCGCGTCAGCGCACTCGCGCATCCACCGGTCGACGCTGGCCCGTACCTTTTTGTTCTGCCGCAGGTAGTGCTCACGAAACTCGTCCGCGATGTCGGGGTCGATCTTGACCGGAGACATGGGCCGTGTCGGCGGCAGTCCGCCCGGGAGCATGCTCGTGAGATGGGCGTTGGCGCCGGCACCCACAGCGGCTGCTGTCGTCGCGGCCGCGTCTAGCTGCTGCTCCAACGCGCTGATGTTGATCGGCGGCCATGTCGGTAGGTCGATCCGTCCGCTCACCCGTTCCAGCACCTCGCCCCAGCCGAGACCCCGATGGCCGGTGTTGCTGATGCTGTTGCTGATGCTGTTGCTGCCGCTGATGCTGCTGATCTCGCTGGCTGCTGTCTCGCGCTGTCCCGGTCCGGTGCTCCCCCCCTCACAAACCACACAGGAACAGCCGTCGGGTGGGAGCTCGCGCGAGAAGACAATCTCCAGCCGGTCCAGCAGCCGGCGGGCTACGGTGCGGTGTCCCGTCGCTACTGCCAGCGATCCGTGGCTCTGCAGCACCGTCTGGTACTGGCCCAGCAGGTTGAAGAAGGGCGTGAACAGCGTCTCGGCTCCCTGCAGTGGCGGCTGTTGTGGTGGCTGGGCCCGCATCGCCGTGCTGCTTGTCCGCGGCAGCGCGGCCAGAAAGGTCTTGGGCACCGGCGATGGCAGTCCGCCGTTCTGCATCAGGTAGTCGATCCGCGGCACTTCGACGATGCTGATCGGCGGCGGCGGTGGCGGCGGTGGCATCGCCTGTGGCGGTATCGTCGACGTGAACGATGCCGTCATCGTGTCGTCCGGGTCGGCTGGGCTGGGCGTAGAGCACGATGACGGCGACGGCGTCTGCTGCTGCATCTGCTGCATCTGCTGTTGTTGGAGCTGCTGCTGTTGTTTCTGTTGTAGCTGCTGCAGCTGTTCGAGTTGCTGTTGCTGCAGCTGTTGCAGCTGCTGCTGTTGGACCTGTTGCTGCTGCAGCTGTCGTCGCTTGTACTCGGCTGCCGCGGCAAAAAAGGCTGGCGAGGCAATGTCGATGGGTGTCGGAGTCAGCGGCGAGGCCGAGTCCTGTGCCGACTCGGCCGAGAAGTTGGTGTTGTCGTCGTGCTCCGAGTACGCTGGCGGTGGCTGTTGTGGCTGCTGCGTGTAGGTGGCCTGGCTGGATGCCATGGACGGCTGAGACTGGCATCGGGCCAGGTCCTCGAGCGAGGATGGCACTGACAGTCGGACCGGCAACTGTTGTGTCTGCTGCTGCTGCTGCTGCTGCATCTCTGTTCCTGCTGATGACAAGTTCGTGTCTGGTGGACTGGGCGGTCGGTCATGTCGTATCGACCGGCTGCTCGTGGCTGGCGAGTTGGTGCTGTTGTTGGTCCGTCCACCGCCTGTCATGGCGGCTGCGCTGACCGACTTGGAACGCCGCATTTGGTTCTGGTTGCCGGCATGGCTCACGTCCGTGGCGTCGGGTGTGAGCGGGTCAGCCGTCCGGTCGGCCGTTCCTCCGGCCACCAGCTCTTCGCGGCTCATCAAGCCCTCGCGGCTGTGTGCCTGGTTGGCTGACGGATAGGGCAGCCGGTCGCGGCTGCGACCCATCTCCGGCACCAGATGGACGGCCGACGTCGAAGCGGATCGGGATAGCGTCGTTGTGGCTGCCAGAAACGTCCGTTTTGCCAGGCTGGAGACTCGCTGCGGCTTTTCCTTGTTGCTGCTGGCTAGCTCTTGGCTGCTCCTCTCGTCCGCCTCGCAGTCTTCGTAGTCCTCCTCGTCCCGCTCGTCGTCTTGACTCGTCCGCGTCGTGTTTTTCGTCGTCGTCGTCGTCGTCGTCGTCTTCGCCCGCTCTGTCACTGACGACGACCCGTCCTTGTTTCGCCGCCGCGATGATCGGTGCGACCCCGTACCTGAGGCTGTCCGATGGTGCCGGCTCGCCGTCGTGCTGCCGCTGACGCTGTGCAGATGCCGGCTCCGGTGCGTGTGGCTGCGCGAGGGCCCCGTGCCCGATGCTCCCGACCCGTATGCCAGGTCGCTCTCTCGTGACCGCGGCCGGGCTGCTCGGCTGCTGCTGCCCGTCGCCGTTGCCGTCGACCGTAGCGACGTCGAGCGGTGAGATAGCGTCGATGTCAGCAACGACGACAGCGTCGATGGCTTCGCCTCCTTTTCTCGATCACGATCTCTGTCTCTGTCTCTGTCTCTGTCTCTGTCTCTGTCTCTGTCTCGGTCTCGGTCTCGGTCTCGGTCTCGGTCTCCTCGATCCCGCTCTCGATCTCGGTCTCGATCCCGCTCTTTGTCTCTATCCCTCTCCCTCTCCCTCTCTCGACGCTCTAGCCTCACGGCCACGCGTCTCTTCTCGCGCGAGTCTGCATCGGCCTCGCCCACGTTGCTCGTCCCGCTCACGTCGCGGACCCGGGACGCCATCCGACCTTGCTGGCCTCCGTCGGCCGGAGGGGTCAGTCAGAAGTAGCGAAAAGATCGAGGCGGCGGTGGACCGACGCTGCCCCGGCTCAAATCTGGCTCTTTCGGTCTCGTCTGCTTGTCTTTTGTCTGTTTGTCGTCCGGATGTCTCTGCACCGTCCTTCAATCGTCTCGCTCGCTTCCGGCACAAGAAAAAAGGAGAAATACCGCCGCAGAGAGGGCACTATGGGGAAAAACGGAAGGAGAGCAAAAGACCAGAGAAGTTTCCTGGTTGCAGACACGCTACTGCGGCGATGGGACAGAGAGGTTGGGCTAAACCGGGTGGTGATTCCACTATTCCTAGGACCCGCTAAAAGGATTCAGGTCACCACGCCAATTCACAGACGGCTCCAGAAGGCTGGCAAATCGCACACCGCAGCCCGACCTGGCTTCGACCGAGCGGCGAACGAATGGAGGGGGGCCTCACGGCTGTCACGGCTGTCACGTCCTGCGTCGAAAGATGGAAAAGGATTGTATTCAGGATAGGATGATTTGGGGCCGCAGAGGAACCCTGAAAATTACAGCAGTCCCTACAGCACGCACCTTCTGCTAACCATTGGGCATCCAGCACCGCCTTTAGGCACCACCGCTGGTGCGGGGCCCGGCGGCTAACTGTGACAGTGGGCGGCGCGCAGAGCTTAAATTTGCTTCTTAGGCCGGTACGTCTTGTTTGCTTGTCTTGCCTGCAAGCTCCGGGTACCTGCTAGCACCCGTTTTATGCGATTGTGCGACCATTACTGTGCGCATAGTGGCATATCGGCTAGACACGTATCGATATCGACAGAAAAATTTTCACCTTTTCACTCTTCTCCCGGAACCTCACCATCTCTACCCCCAACCCCACTACCATGGCCTCCATCGTCCTCCCCGGCGACGACGTCGATCCGACCGCCCTGCTTCCGCCCGCCGACAAGAAGCCCCTCCGTCTGGGTCCCGGCCTGCGCGTCCTCCTGCCCGAGGGCCGTCTCGTCGCCACCGTCCCCGGGCTTCTCGCCGCCGATCGCCGCAAGAACCTGCTCTGGGTTGAGGCTGGCGGCCGTGGCGGCCGCTACGCCCCGGCCACCGGCGATCTGGTCGTCGGCCAGGTCCAGCATGCTTCGGCCGACCAGGCCGTCGTCGCCCTGGCTGCACACGACGCGCCGCCGCTGCGGGCTGTCCTGCCTGTCTTGGCCTTTGCCGGTGCCTCGCGCAAGAACCGCCCGGACCTCCAGCCCGGCACGCTCGTCTACGCCCGCGTCGCCTTTGCTGCTCGCCACATGGACACCGAACTCGAGTGCGTCGACGGCACCACCGGCAAGGCCGATGGCCTAGGCCCCCTCCTCGGCGGCATGGTCTTTGCCGTTAGCCTCCAGATGGCCCGTCGTCTGCTCATGGCCAGCTCTGCTGCCTCCGGCATCGTCGTCCTCGAGGCCCTCGCCCAGGAGGGCCTCGCCTTTGAGACCGCCGTCGGCCGCAATGGCCGTCTCTGGGTTCGCAGCGCTACCGCCACCGCTACTGCCACTGCCACCGCCGACAACAAACAACAAAAGCAACAAAAACAGAACAGCTCCCGAAATGACTCCCACACTGTCATCCTCGTTGGCCGCGCTGTCACCGCTACCGACGCCGGAAATCTCGACCCCGCCCAGCAAAGAGCCCTCGTTCGGAAGTTCGTGCGTGGCGGCGGCTGAATGCAACGGCCTCCTCGAGATACACACACACACACACACACACACAAAAGCAGTTATCCATCTACACCGGCACACCATTCAGCTGTCCGCCCGCGAGGGCTGTACACACAGCTGCTGCGCCTTGGTCCTGCTGGTCTGTCGCCAAGGCATCATCTGCTTCTGCTCGGATGCACTAGACGCTACACACCAGAAGGCTGTGAGCAATGCTGTCATAGATGCCCTGTTCAGGCTACACACACCTTGCCGTCTTAGATGAACACGTGCAAATCCAATATACGCAATGCTCCTGTGCCAATTTTCTAAATCGCGAACAAATGGTGGTATCCTAGTGCCCATATGTGATAACAGTAACATCCTGACCCAAAATATATCCCTGCCATGGAGTTCCGCTGATATGTTGCGGTCTCTGGAAGATGGCACCCACAAAAAATGTCCGGCAGAGAGAACGTGATTGTTTACCCTTGTTGTCCAGAAACTCCCGCTGCATGTGCTTGCCCACAAATTTGAATATAAAGACGAATAAAGAGTGAAAAAGGTAATGCCGGCGCTCCAGACCTTTAGACGCCCATCATAGGTTGGTCCACCACCTCAATCGGATCGTGATCTGGCTGCACGCTGTGCTTGTTGACCATGTGTCGCCGCCAGTTGTCTTTGCGCGGAAACGACTTGCCGCCAGGCACCGAGTATGGGCAGCCTTCTTCCGTGCAGTGATACTTTCGGCTCTTGCTGTGCTTGTCGTTGATGTGCCGGTCCAGATGCGTCTTGGTGCCAAATCGCTTGCCACAGCCGGTAACAACGCACTCGTGTGGCCGCTCGTGGTACCGCTTATGATGACTAATGTCCCTGTTAGTGCTTCGCTTGCAACCACGCATGCCCGACGGAGACAAGGCCACTTACTTCAGCTTGTGGACCTGGTCAAACATACGACCACATTCTTCGCATTTGAACGCGTGCGGGGACGCTGCTATTAACCTGTTAGAAAAGCGACCCAAGGAAGACGAAGACTGTCCTTACCGGAAACCTGTCCAGGTGTTGAGCCCGAATTAGATAATGGCGATGTCGAGTTGAAGTCAGCTTGCACTACGGCCAGCGGTGTGCTAAAACTGGATGGATGAGTAGACGGTTGCGGCGGTGTGATTGGGGCCATCGCTGGCATTTGTGCCATTATATGCCCGTTAGGGAGAGCTGTATGTTGCAAGTCGCACTGTGTATAGAGATAGGACTCTCCAGGCGACGTAGAGCTGGATGCCATCGTTGCCATCGTTGCCTGCATATTGAGGACCATGCCGGACGGCGTGTGTTGCAGAGGGGCAGACGTCGTCGGCATGTATGAACCGGCTGCCATCAAATGGCTACCATCTGGACCAAGCGAGACGGCATCGTTGGCCTGTTGGGCCATGTAAAACGGGTCCGTCTTGACCTCGCCCGGCGACAGTACACCGGCATTCAGGTAGTTGCCCTGGCTGGCCGTATGCGCCTCCAAGTTTGCCATGCTAAACCCGCCGTTCCCATCATCGTACTGTGCCTCCATCTTGATGTTTTCAACCTCTTCTTGCTCTACTTCGTCCTCATATTCGGAAACACCGTCTGCAGGACTGCTGACCTTCGCATCCGGAGGAGTCACCGTCAGCTGCGGAGAAAGCGCCTGCTGTTCGGCGGCCGCGTAACTTGCGGCGCTCTCTTCGGCGGACAGAACCAGCGGCGGAGGCGATTGCTCGTAGCGGTCGAGTTCGGCGGTCACATGAACAAAGCGCTCGTCTTCCGTAGCCGGAGCCCAAACATCCCGAGGGTTGACTGTGCCCGGCGCCGGAAGCCGAGGACTTGGAACTAGCGGTCGATTAAAGGGCGAGAGAGGCGTGTACTCTGGCATTGGCTCAGGCGTGAGCGCTGCCTTGGAAGCCTGGGGAGGTGGGGAGGAACGAGCCACTGTCTTTTCCCTCTCGCCTTCCCCAGCCCCAGCCCCAATTGCAGGACTCTGGGACGTGTCGGCGGTATCGCTTACCTCGGGAGGTGATGTCGGACTCAGTGGCGAAAAGTCGGCTCCGGAAGGCCTGCTGTCGGTGCGGATAGCCTGCAGCTTCGGATCTTTTAAACCAGATGGCACCAAGGCCGCCGCCGCTGCAGCTGCTGACAAGGAGATGAGACTGGAGAGCGCATGGTCCGACGGAGGTGGGCTATCGCGCGCTCGCTCGGCCACGGAGCCGGCGTCCGATGGTGGTGATAACGGAGCGCCAGAGTAGTATTCTGCCGAAGCGCCGGTGAGATGCTGCTCTTCGGCTCCGTACATGCCAGTAACTGCGCCCGGATATTGTTCTGCCGGGTATCCGTCTTGCGGGTAGCCAGCTCCGGGATATCCAGGCCCAGGATAGCCGCCCACTGGATACCCGGGCCCAGGATAGCCGGGATACGGTGCATTTGAATAGTTCCCTGGCGGATAGACAGGAGCTGGATAGCCGGGCCCAGGATAGCCGGCTTGAGGGTAACCAACGGGAGGCATCTGCTGGAAATTCATGGGACCAGAAGGACCACCCGTCCACATCTGGCCGTTGTCGGGGTTGTAGCCGCCAAAGCCATCCTCCACCGGAGACCGTGACATGTCGCCAGGTCCGCGGGAGGCTGAAACCTGCGTAGACTGCGTGTTGTTGCGGAAGAAGGACGTGAGGGTTTGCGTCAAAGACGACGACGTTGACCGCTCTGTCGGGCTGCGTTGGTCCAACGGGTTCGGAGGAGGATACGGTGCTGTCGGAAAGACGGAAGGCTGATCGGCCGCAAGGGGCGGGACGTTGGTATTGGCCACAGAGCTTCCGAGTGGGGGAGCTGCTCCGGCCGAATTCCCAGCTGCAGACCCCGAAGCTGCCGTCGACGGAGAGTAGGATACAGGAGCTTTGCCATCGTCGAATGAGTTGTTGTCGTAAGTGGGAGAGCCGGTCGGAGGGAAGGACTGAGTGTATGCAAACGGAGACTGGCCTGCCGGGCCGGGTTCAACTGCCGGAGGGCCGATCATGTCCATATGCGGAGCATCGGAAGGGCCCTGGCGAGCATTTCGAAGCGCCCGCAAGATAAACGGCAATGCCAGGAGAAGTAAGAAAACACCGACCACAGGCCCGACTACAGCACCGGCAATGCCACCGTGGGATATAGACCGGGCCAGGAGCCGGTCTGGAGGTGTCGGCGACATAATGAGTAGGGGGAAGGGTTCTCGAGGAATGTGATCGGTGTGCGTTAGAGATTCGTGGAATGCGGCAGAGAGAGCCAACACTCCTTCTTGCTCGAGGAATGACGTCGAGAGCCGTTCGGCGTCTGTGCGTAGCGAGACTCGGCCGACCCAGGCCAAGTCAGACGAGGAGGACGAAAAGGCAGAGGACGAGATGAGGTGAAGATGCAAAGGCCGAGGACGGAAATTGGCGGTTCAGTGACAGAACAGGTAGCAAAAAAGACAACAGAACGTGCAAGGGAACGGGAAAAAGGCCCGAGCTTCCAAGGATGTCGGGGTAGCAGAACTTGGCCGGCTGGCAGGCGTTGTGCAGAGTCCGTTTCGGTTCTCGATTGGCGGTGCAACCGGACAGAGGCCCGGGTTATGGCGCACGCTGCGCTGAGTTGTGCGACAAGAGCGGCATGAGTGAGAGAGTGTGGCGAGGGGGAGTAGAAACGGGAGGAGCGAGTGAGACGACGGGCAGGAGACGTGAGACAGTGTGAAGCGCGAGTTTTTTCTGGCAGCTGGTTGGGTGGTTGGGGGTTGGTCGGTAAACGGTGGATGGTACGGTAGACGGTGGAGTACGGAGTACTTTGCAGATAAAACGAGCGCTTCAGCAGGCGACTCGAGATCGGGACAGGACTGTCCTTGCGGCTGGTGGCAGCTCAAGGGGAGGCGGTGGCAGCGAGTGTGCAACACCGTCGACGTGGAAGGATGCGGTTGGGAGGAGTCTGTTGGCACGATGACAGGCTGCAAGAGAGAGATGGCTTGTCAGCAGAGGTGGAGCAGCGGAAACTAAGGCAGAAGGCTGGAGGGCTAATGACGGTAATACGGAGTACTTCGTAATACGGTCCGCACGTCGTATTCTTCTAGCCAGAGAAAAAAAGAGGGCCAGGTGGTAAGAGGGAAATGGAGGTGGCGGTGGAAGTGGGAGATGACAAGAGATTGGGGTTTGGGGTTTGGGGGAGGGAAATAGGGCATACGTCGTACGCAGAGGCAGAGGCGATGTCGCAGGACGAAGCAAGAAGAAAAGAAGAGGAGCAGGAGAAGGCTGGATGGGCCCAAAGGGGAAAGGCCTTTGCTGAAGCGCAGAGTTGCGAGTGCAGGCGGTGCCAGCTGAGAGGAGGAAGAGAGAGGGAAAGAGGGAAAGAGGGAAGGCGCGAAGGCGTGGCCGGAAAGGACCCCGAGAAAAAGAGCCTAGAACGGAGAGGGAAGGAGCATCGCGGCAGGGATGTCTCGAATTACGCAGCTCCACCGGCGCCGGCGAGGTGGACGCTGTCGGGGTGCCAATACGGCGACTTACGGCCTGGATACGACTTGCTCTGTACGGAGGTTGAATCTGGGAAGCCTCGTCTAGCGGTGAGGAGCCGCGTCATGGAGCATACGCCGGGTGCGATTCGACGTTCGGCAGGTATGTTTGTAACAGGTGCAGCAATTCGATCGGTCGAATGCAGTTAACAGAGTGCATCTAGGTGAGGGAAATAATACGGAGTACTTGTACTGCCGTTGTGCAGCAATCCGATTGGAGAAAGAAATCCGATTGGAGAAAATAGGCCATCTCGTTTGCCCCACCTGTCTCAGCTCGCAAGTTGCCAATACCTGTATTGTGTCACGTGTTTATCCAAGTCTGTGCAAATCCAGTAATCTAGTCTATCCCCTAAAACCGGTCTAGCAGGCCCTGGCTCTCCAGCAGCAGGACGATCTGGTGGACGACGGCGCGCACGGACTGCTTCTCCAGGTCGACGACCAGGTCGACCTTGTCCGGGCTCTCGTACGGGTCGTCGACGCCGGTGAAGCCCTTGATCTCGCCACGACGGGCGCGGGCGTAGATGCCGCGCTTGTCGGTGCGCTCGCAGTGCTCGAGCGAGGTAGCGACGTGGATGAGGTAGAAGTCGCCGTGCTTCTCGACCAGCTCGCGGGCGTGCTGGCGGGCGTCGGCGTACGGGGCGATGGGGGCGGCAATGACAGCGGCACCGGAGCGGGTCAGCTCACTGGCGACAAAGGCGATGCGGCCGACATTGCGGGCACGATCCTCCCGGCTGAAGCCGAGCTCAGACGACAGCTCACCGCGGACGGTCTCGCCCAGCAGCATGGAGACGGAGCGGCCGCCCTGCTGGTTGAGGGTCAGCTGCAGGGCGCGGGCCACCTGGTCCTTGCCGCTGTTGGTGTAGCCGGTCAGGAAGACGGTGAAGCCCTGGCGGGCACGCGGCGGATGCGACTCAAAAAGCACAGACACCACCTCGGGGTACGAGAACCACTCGGGGATCTCGCGGCCGCTGCGCAGGCGCGACCGCAGCTCAGTGCCCGAGATGTTGAGCGTGCGCACGCCCTGCGGCACCTCGTCGACGGGTGCGTATTCGTCGCGGTCGGGCAGGTATGTCATCATCTGGAAGGGCACGACCTCGATGCCGAGCTCGTCACGGTACTGCTCGACCGCGTGCTGGGCGTCGTAGGGACCGTAAAAGTCCACGCCCTTGCTGTTCTTGCCCGGTCCGGCGTGGTCGCGGCCGACGATAAAGTGCGTGGCCCCGTGGTTCTTCCGGATAATGGCGTGCCAGATGGCCTCGCGCGGACCGCCCATGCGCATCGCCAGCGGCAGCAGACCCAGCACGGCCATGCCGTTGGGGTAGCGCGGCAGCAGCGCCTTGTACACGCGCACGCGCGTGAAGTGGTCAATATCTCCCGGCTTAGTCAGCCCAACAACCGGATGAATCAGCACGTTGGCATGCTGCGATCGAGCTGCCCGCACCGTCAGCTCGCGATGGGCCCGGTGCATCGGGTTGCGTGTCTGGAAGGCCACCACCCGGGTCCAGCCGAGCTTGTCAAAGTGCGACCGCAGCTCGGCCGGCGTGTAGCGCAGGTCGACAAAGTCGTAGTGCTGCAGCCGGTTGACTGCCTCGAGCGTGCCGCCGACGTAAAACTCGGCCGCCGTCTCGAACAGGTACTTGACGGCCGGGTGTTCCGGGTCGCCGCCAAAGACCTCCTTGGCCTCGAGCGCTTTGTCGGGCCGATACACGTCCGTGACCGTGAGAATGGCCAGGTTGCGGTCGTCACGCAGGTCGCGCAGCGTGATCCGCGCGCCTGTCTTGATGCCCGTCTCGTCGATTGTCGCCTGGCTGGCGTCGAGCGTGATGGGCATGCTGAAGAGCGCGCCATTAGCGAGCCGGTTGGACTTGACAACACTGCACGATTAGCGAATGGAAAGGTTGAATTGGTATTGGTAGCAGAGCTGTCTCCTACCCGTTGTAGTCCTTCTCGTTCATGAAGCCTGTTCGTGTTAGTTAGGCACTCATCCGCAGTCCAACCACTGGCAACACATTACGCAAAACATACCCTCGAGTGGAGAGAAGCCACCGGTGAGGAGCAGCTCGAGATCACACAGCTGACGCTCGCTGAGGAGGAGAGACGGCAGGGTCTCGGCCTCGGCAGCCAGCTGGTTATGGCGAGGGGCATCGCGTGCTAGAAGGTCCTTGAGGACACCGCCGTGGGGAGTGTTGGCCATGATGAGTGTGAGGTGTAGCGGAAGGCGCAGTGTATGGCGTAGAGGAGACAGAGGACGATGTATGGAAGAAGTGAGGGAGTCAATTGCTCTCGGCCTTTTGTCTGCCTGTGTGCTTTCTCATCAGCTTGGCGGAAATCCGCCATCCTTGCAAGCCAAGTGGAAAGGGCAACCTTGCCGCGAGCTAGCGTAGATGACGTGCTCGGCTTCGAAGTTTTTTTTTTGAGCATTGCTAATCGCACCGCGATATTTTGCCAACCGCACTGTGACATTTCGCCTCGCAGTACTTGTACGAGTACAAACACGAAGAACGTGCCGCCAATACCTCTCACAGTGCGTGAATTTTCTCTTTTCGCCTTCGTCGCTCACTGTGGGCCCGCGTTCCACGCGTTAACTACTTCTTTCGGCAATGCAGGTCTGAGGCAGTTACGATCGGCAGGGAGACGAGCACACTTTTCACTCTTTGTACAAGTAGTTTCTGAGATATCATTCAAAACCTTGCTGGATCAAGTACATGCACCTTCAGTCCTGCAATGCACGCCCCCGTCAAGGGCGGTTTCATGAGTCGTGACCAGTAACTATGCAAAACGAAAAATGACAGAGTATACAAAATACAAAATGGACCAGACGAGACGTGAAAATGTACACAAAAGGAGTATGGGCGGACAAATGAGAAATGCGGGAAAGCGAAAAGAGAAAGACGGACAGCCGGCAGAGCCGTCATATGCAGTCGTCGCCGAGACTTTCATGCATCTTGTGTAAGCAACGAACAGACCGAGCAGAAGCCAACCTGGTATCCTGCCCAACGAAAGCACCAGGAATAAGAAAAACGAAACAACAGAAAAGAAAGAGGAGCAAAGAGTACGAAGTAGAGCAGAAAAAAGGAAGCAATCCCACTACCGCCGTCGCTGGCGGACGACCTTGGTGGCCTCCAACAGCCACAGGTTCACGGCCGTGTCGTTGTCCTGCACGGCTGGACTCGGATCGGACACAGCGTCCCAAGTCTTGAGGCCGAATCGGACCCGTCGGCTGCGTTCAGGCGGTGCAGCAAAGCCGGCCAAGCGCCGCACGGCTCCCGTGGTTGGCTGGCTAGACGTTCCACTCTGCTGCTGCTGCTGTGGGCCTGGTCGTCCAAACATGGCCGGCATCCGTTCGAGATACAGCCGCGGGTAGTAGATGGACGCCGATGCCGGACTGGACAGCAGATACGCCATCGCGGGCGACAGGTCGCCGGCCCCGACGGTGTTGGGGACAGCCACGCTCGCCGACACGTCCCGCAGCGTGCGCACGCAGCTCTGGCGCGTCTCGTCTGACAGCCCGTCGGCTAGCAGAAGGGCCGTGTCGAACAGGCGGGTCTGCAGGGCAAGACGACCGCTGCTGTTGCCGTCGGCCGGATCGTCGGCCAGCGGGACGATATCGATGCACAGACTCGCCAGCACGATGCAGGCGCCCGCGCTGACCGTCTCCTGGTCCAGGTCGCGGCTGGTCCGCGGTAGCGACGGGCCCAGGCCATCAGCCGTCGTCAGCCCTCGACTCGGTAGGTGTAGCAGGACTAGCGACAGCAGGGCCGGCAGCCAGTCCTGGATGATGCTCTGTCGGGTGGCCATGGCGGCTGCCGTCGACGTTTTGTGTTCCTGCAGCAAACACCACAGCTCGCCGAGCTTGTCGACGACGGCAGAATCGAGCGCGGGCAGGCCAGCGGCCGACTGGATGGCCGGCGAGAGCAGCAGCGGTGGTGGTGCTGGTGGCTGCGACCTCGGTCTCTGCTTCTGGCGTTTCTGCTGCAGCTGCTGGCTGAGCATGATGGTGCGGACGACATCGAGGAAGCCGGTGGCGACACAGACGTGCTGCGCGTCCCGCAGCGGCTGCTTTCGCGTCGGCACCAGATCGAGGAAGCGGGCTTGGGCGTGTTCCTTGAGGCTGACGGCCATGTCGGACGGCAGACTATGCAGCACGTGAAGGCTCGGCAGCTGGGACTCGGCCACGGCCCGGAGGATGAGGCCGGCGAGACCGTCAGCCTCCGAGACCCAAGGACTGGGTGAAAAAGCAGCGGCCGGAGACCCCCCAACAACACCCGATGGTGCACCTCCAGCCAATGACGACGACGACGACGGCGACGACGGTGGCGGCCAGACAGCCAAGCCGAGGGCCAGCTGTCCCATGTCGGCGGCAAAGATGTCGAGCTCGCGCAGCATGTCAAGGGCTGGTCGAGCTGGCACTACCTGCCGCGTGAGAGCCAGCGTGGTCATCTCCCAGAGTCCACGCCGCACTGCCTGATCGGTCGTCTGGGCGAGCGCATGAGCAGCAGCGGTGGCGTCGGCTACGGCAGCTGTGCGCAGCAGCCGTGAGACGGCAAGGGCGTCGACGCTGCTGCGAGGCGCCGCATGATGGCCGGCTGCGGTGGTCATGTTTTGCTGTCGTCGCCACTGGGTCATCTCGGCCACGGCATTGCGCACGAGAGCGGCAATGGCAGCCGGAGCCGCAAAAGGGGCCTCGCTCAGGAACAGGCGGAACCGTTGGTTCTCGTCGCAGGTCAGGGTGGCATTGCAGCTAGATCCTGAGCCACGATCGGCCTTTGGGGCCGTGAGCAGAGCCAGGACGTCCTGCAGGTACGACGTGCGCCAGGTGTTACGAGCTGGCGACTGCACTGGGCCACCCGGCTCACGTGGCTGCTCGTCGGCCGTTGTGGCCAGTAGGCTGGCCAGGTCCAGACAGCCAAAGACGACAAAGACGGGATAGATGATCGCAACGGCAGGCCGGTCGCGCAACATGCGGAGTCGTTTCAGCCACTTGACCATTATCGTGTCAAAGTGTGTCTGGTTGAGGCGGCGTAGACGGGCGAAAAGGCTGGCCGAAAGACGCAGGTGGTCGGTTGCGTTGGAGGTGGTGTTGGTGGTACTGCCGTTTCCGCTGCCAAGGTGTCGCCACTTCTCCTTTTTGATCATGGCAATGGTGCCAAACAGTCGGTCCATTGTGGCCCCGTCGATGCTGCCGGTGCTGCTCATGGCGATCTTGACCATCTCGTCGCGCACCTCGTCCGCGGCTGCATCGCCCTGGTGCTGTTGTTGTTGTTGGTGTTGGTGCATCGGCTGTTGTGGCTGACCGTCTGAGACGGGTGAGCAGTCGGCGTCATACGTGGCCACACACAGGCGCTGGTCCATCTCGGCTAGTCGACGCTGCAGGCCGGCTGCCATCTCGGGGGCCCGGCCTCGTAGTGTCTCTGGCTGATGTCGTTGCCAGTTGGCTGCTGAGTCATAGAACCACCAGCAGCAGCAGCAGCGTTTCTTGCCACAAGTCGAAGAGGCTGACCCTCGACGCCGAGAACAAGACTTCCCGGCGCACTGGGCGGCAGCATCTTGTCGGCCAACGCTGGTAGTGCCAGCAGCAGCGGCCGCAGATCAGTGCCCGGTCGCAGCATCGTCTGGAAGGTGGTGGACGTGCCGACGTCGACGGCGACCGTAGCGGCCAGCGCCCGGCTCATTACCTGGTCGTATAGCTGCCGCGCCTGGCCGAGCGCCACAAATGCCGCCAAGTGTAAGCTGGTTGTGTCGGCACACATCGCCAGCACTGCTAAACTCTGGGGACTGCGCGTCAGTGCTAGCAGGAATCGTGCCAGCAGTCCGAGGTCATCCGTCTTCTCGATCAGCGTCTGGACAGCGTTGACCCTCTCCAACGCCATGGGTGATGTCGTCGCTGCAGCTTGTATCGGCGTCACCACGTGACCGTCCAGCCATGCGGCCACGGCCATCTTGACGTTGCGACTGCGCTCCTCGACGCAGCGGGCCAGCAGCGCAAACGACATGTGAGGCCGTAGCGAAGACGTGGGAGCGTCTTTCATGGTCGTATCATCAGTCTGTTCGTGGTTGGCCTGCTCCTCCAGCACGGCTTCGACTTCTTGTAGGATCCCGTTCAGGTCATCGGCCTCAAATGCCGTGTCGTAGCCGAGCCGCCGCAACGTGTTGGCCCGCAGGTTGCTTGTCGGTCGGTCCAGCAGAGCCACCGGCAGCTCGGCCGCCAGTCGCACCTGTGGCCGGCCGTTGGACACGATCTCGGCCGGGTCCGACGGTCGGCTCTGCAGGATCAGCAGCGCCAGGTAGTTTCCCGGCACAAAGAGACCACGTTCTGTCAGCAGGCCTACCAGCTGGTACAGCGCCTTGTTGCCTTCGTGCTGGCGGTCGTGCAGAACGTGTAGCCGACGTTGGTTTGCGGATGTATTCTGCTTCTGGCCTGTCTTTGGCACTTCCGTCTTGTCGCGGCGATCGGACGAGAGAAAGGCAAGCACGTGATCCGTCACGAGACGCGCGTCGTTGCCACACAGCTCGCCAATCAGCCGGGCTGCCACATACACTTTGGCCAGCCCGGGACGGTGAATCGATGCACACCAGCGCACGACAAACGGCACGGCCTCGGCCTGGTCGAGACGGACAAAGTCGGCAAAATGTGCCGCAAAGTCGACCGCATGGCGGATGGCGTCGTCCAGCGGCAGCAGCATGTGGATGGCCTGCTCCATCTCGACCGACATCTCGGGGCGCAGAGCGGCGTTTCGTCGGCGGATGAGCGAGAGCGCGACCGCATGACGGAGAGAATAGGTGTAGGTGTCGGGGTCGGAGGGGGTAGAAGTGGACGTGGGAGAGTCCGTGTTGGTAGATGCAGCCAGGACCTTGGCGAGAAGCTGCTCACAGCGCGGCCACACGGCCTGGCAGACAAACGTGTCGGCGTGGCCGCGGACAATGCGCTGGAGCATCTTTTTCGGCTGGATCAGGGCGAGAGTCGGGGAAGAGGCGCCGGGGTGCAGCAGTTGATGGTGCTCGAGCTGCTCGAGGCGGCCGAGCAGCGTCATGGCCAGGTGGCAGGCCGCGCGGCGGCGCTGCATGATGTCGTCAAAGTAGGCCTCGATGACGAAGAGCCAGAGGCCGAAGTAAGGTGTCGGGTCGACAGCCGAGGGCGGTCGGACCGCATTTCGGAGCCCGGAGAGCATCCAGTAGAGAAACTGTTCGTGGTCGAGGAGGCGTTCGACGTAGAGCTGTCTGACGAAGCGAGCACTGTAGGGGTTAGCGGAGGAGGAGGATTGGAGAGTAGAAGTAAAAGAGAAAACAAGAAAAAAGAAAAAAGAAGGAGAATAGAAAAAATAAACAGAACAGAACAGAAAAATAAAAATAAAACAGAATAGAAAAAAGAAAGAAAGAAACATCAAAACAAACAGAATACTGCACTCACCCATATTGAAGCCGCTCTCGTCCCCCCTGATCTCCCTCTTGGTCTCCCCCTGCCAGGTCCAGCTCTGCCAGCGCCCCGTCCAGGAACAGCTGTGCCGTCAGCGTCCAGTCCTTGAGCCAGCGCAGCTCTGCCTCGGCCAGCGTGGCCACGGACGCCGCGCCTTTGCGCTTGAACGCCCGCAGCTCCTGTGCGCCCACGCAGCGTGCTAGCCACATGGCCCGGTCGACCGGCACGGCCTTTTGCGCGCACTGGTCCAGCAGCACGCGGCCCCGGAGCCCGTGTGGGATCGTCCGGCTGAGCTTCCGCAGCGGAATCGCCGCGTTTGTCAGGTCACGCAGCCACGTTTCCCGCCGCGTGTCCGTCACCGTGACGCGCGGCGGCAGCTTGAACTGCGAGCCCGGCGCGATCTGGCTGCGCTCCCGTGCCAGCGCGTTCGCCAGCGCCAGCAGCTGTGCTAGCATCGGCGTGCTGTTGTTCCGCCGCAATGCCGTCGGCAGCCAGGCCCCTCGCGCCGTGCTCGTCTCCGCCGTCAGCGCCTGGCTGCTCTGCACCCGGTCGTAGTTGCCGTTGCGCACCGTCGTGTCGTTCAGCCGGTCCTCGGTGCACCGCCCGCGCCACGGGTTGAAGTCCATATAGCGCACCACCGGCCCGGCCGTGCCCGACGATATTCCTCCTCCTCCGGCTGTCCCGCTTTTCTGGATCCGCCCTGCTGCTGTCCCGCTCCGTCCGGCTGTCCCCACCGGCTGTCCGTAGCCCCGTCCGGCTGCTGCTGTCGACGAGCCCGTTCCGGCCGTCTTGGCCAGCCCGCCAAATCGCCGTCCCGGTGGCGGCACAATGTAATGCGGGATGTTGGCCGGAACCTCAATTCGCCACGGCTTCGGGCGCCCGCCGCTGCTCTTGTCCACGCTTTCGGAGGTCGGCTGTGATGGCGATGCTGGCAATGGCGTCCCGCTGCTGTTGCCGCTGCCGGCGTAGAGCATCGCGCCCGGTCGCTTGAACACCGCTGTTCGCAGGCTGCCGTTGTTGCTGCTGATGGCTGATGGGCCGGCCGGCGAGCTCGGTATCGAGCCCGACGCTGCTGCTGCTGTCGCTGCCGTGCCTTCGCCGTCTTTGCGCGCCGCCTCGATCATCCATGTACAGTCACCAAACGGTACGCGGCCGCGGCTCGAGCACAGCGGCGGCTGTGGTCTGTCTCTGTCTGTGACTGCTGCTGCCATGACCGTCTTGGGTGTCGCTGCCGTCGATGCCGGCGTCTGCGCCTCTCCCCCGTCTGCCTCGCCGTGCAGGCTGCGAAACACACTCTTCTGCACGGCTCCGTGCGCAGACGAGATGGCAAACGACGCACCGCCGCTGCGCCCGGCTGCTGTAGCAGCGGCTGACTGAGCTGTCGCCGACGAAGATGATTGTATGGCCGGTGGCGAGCTTTGGCTTTGCGCCTCGTGGGGCTCTCGATGCTCGTGGTGCTCGTGGTGTTGTCGGTGTTTGCGCTCGTGCTGCTGGAGCAGCTGGTATTGCAGATTCTGCTGGTGTGGGCGGTGTGCCTTTTGTTGTGACTGCTGCTGCTGCAGCCGGAGCTGCTGTCTCTGCAGCCACAGCTTTTGCGGTAGCTGCTTGCCCATTCGCTGGTATGGTTGCTGTTGTGGGAGATGTTGTGGATGCCGCAGCTGGTGCTGCTGTTGATGCTGCTGGTGCTGTTGTTGTTGTTGCAGCTGTTGTTGATGCTGGTTCTGTAGCTGCTGCTGATGCTGATTTTGCAGCAGCAGCTGTTGCTGTTGCTGCTGATGCTGATGTGGATGGAGGTCGCCGGCACGCCATGACTGTGGCGGCACGGCGCCCGGCACCAGAGACGCCTCGGGGTCCATCGACGGCGGGTTCGGCGGCAACGATGAGGTCAGGAGGATCGGTCGCGACGCGATAGGGTCAGCATGGCTCGAGGGTACTAGCAGCCGAAGAGGCTACCGAGCCTGATGGAAAGGAGGTGGTGTCAAACGAAAGAGAAGAGAAAAGACGTCAGATGTCGCCGAGGGCCAAAAGGCCGACGGATAAAGGGGTCAACGGGAAGAGCTCGCGTCGGCTAGGCGAAGCCTGCGGGCTGATGCGGCGAGAAAAGACGGGAGCTGGCAGTTGAACGGAACGGCCACATGATTGGCATTACTCGCTTTTATCTTCGGCTCTGCGTCAGACCCGGTCGCCCCAATGCGCCGCCGCTTTCTCTCGCGGACCACTGCCAGACTAGCGCAGATCGAAAATGGGACAGAAAAGACGAGACAGGGGGCCTGCGTCGTGGCTGCTGATGGTCTGCTGCTGCTGGTCGATGATGACCGTTGCTGATGGTACGCGTAGCACGTAAATGAGCGATCGTGGCACGTTGCAGCTGTCGGGGAAGCGGGAGAGGAGTCGACGAGGCCGATCGTCAAGGCCGGGCGTCGTCGTCGTAAAAAGGGGACCGCTGATGGCCAGATCGAATGGGCGTTTGTGTCGTTGGAGAACGCTGGTCGAGTCGACGGAGACGTCCAACTTTTGCCAGGCTTCTCGTCCGACCACTGGCCCTTTTTTTTGGCCGTAGGCTGGGCTGGGCTGGGGCGCTCCTTCTTTTGTGTGATGTAGATTTGCTATGCCCCGTTTGGTTATATGTTTTTGTAAGCAGATCTGTCACTGGCCAATCAGCGATCCGCGCGCTGTGGCGACTTGGCGACAGGGTCCGTCATCCGGGCAGGCTAATCTGGGCCTTCCGCCCAACCATTTTTAGCGAATAACTCCGGCGCGCTACCATAGCTCCGACACCACCATCACGTAAAATTGACTGATCTTCGGCGTCGGCCGACGCAAGTTGCCAAGGATTCAGGGAGAAAGTCAAATGTCTGTTTTAACCCTTCTCCCCGGCTTCTTTCAGCCGCTGCGCCTATGGCGTGAGGCGCTATGCGGGCGATCAACACGGCCCGGACATTGTTGTGAGCGTCGTGTCCGCGAGGTTGGCACATCTCCCTTGTCGTAATGGATTGTCCTTATGCAATAATTTTGCAATCTAGTGCTGATTGCAAGCACTGTATCATTATACTACTCCGTATTATCCGGGTTTTCCAAGACTCGGCGTCCCTTCAGTCAAGGCGGCCTCAGATTCGTCTCAGACGGCCGGACAAACATCATACAGCTTTTTCTCAGTCTGGCTAGATCAAACAAGGACACCTGATCTATGACGCCTCTTCGTATCAATGCCTCTTTAACGCCATGCTCGCTCAAATTCTGCCAGTATACGGAGTATCAGCTTGGACTATGTCGAAATGTCTTACCCCTTGTACCACAGTGCAAAAGTAGGGACCCCGTTGTGTGTTGGCTAGAATTATATTTTTAAGAGACAGGACGACGGCTATTCAAGGCATTACAACGACCGGTCTCCTATACACTGATCACCTTAGTCAAGCTTCAGTTTCGTCGGCTTGGATAGCGTTGTCGGTATTATATTAATTAATTACACTACTTCTGTACGACTTCTCTCCCTCGTTTCCTTCAGCCCGCCTGGTACACAGCAATTGCCGCCACGTGAGGATTGAGTGCGGTTAAATTGTATGGCGTGACGTGCAGATCCAAGTCTGTGAGGACGATAAACATGGTCCCGTTGACCTGCGGATCGCCAGCCCAGGTCGAAGCGTTTGGCTGGAACGTGTAGGCGGTGCGGTCGGCGAGGCTGACGTTGACAAGCGGCGTGTACGTGACGTTGAGCTGTGATGTCCAGGCGGCAAACCGTGGCTGCTTGACGTTTGTCGACGTGACGTAGCTGTTGTTGGGGCCCACCTTCTGACCAGCCGCGTCCCACTGCAGAAACACCTGCCGGCCTGCGTACGACAGCGGGATGCTGCGATTGTGCGTGATGGCCGGGTGACAGTTGAAGCCGGTGCCCGTGGCGTTGACGCAGAGCTCGTGCGCCGACACGTTCGCCGTCGACAGCGTGTTGGCCCAGCCGCCCGTCGTCTCGTTCCAGACGTCGGTGCCGTTGATGCGTGCCGCATTCGGCTGATTGAGTATGTGCAGCGCCGGGAAGTTCTGCCACACCAGCCGTGTCTGGCCAGCCGGACAGCTCGCAATATAAGGCGCCAGCAGCGACCAGGCCCAGCTCTGCGGAATGCCGACAGTGTGCCACTCTGGCATCGGGAACTGACCGCCAAACTGCCGCAGAATCATCTGCTGCCGTGCCTCCACCGTGATGCTCTGCAGCAGCAGCTGTGCCGCCGGTCCCGAGTTCAGGTGCGGCAGGAAGCCATACACGCCGGCCTCGCCCCAGCGCGTCAGCTTCTGGCTAAAATCCACGTACTCGGGCACGTTGCTGACCGGATAGCTGTACGCACAGGGACGCGGTGCCTGCGCCCCCAGCAGGTTCGCCACCACCGTCGCGTGTCCTACTTCCTGGTCTGCCATGTGCTGCAGCAGAAAGCGGTCCTCGGCGTTCAGCCCGTAGGCCTCAAAGTCCTCGACCGAAAACTGGGCCAGGCCCCAGTGGAACAGGTCCAGCTCGATCCACTCCTGGTACAGCGTCAGCGCCAGCGACTGATAGTCAAAGTCGCTCTGCACCCGGTACACCGGAGCAGATCCGTTCGTCCCTACGCCACCACTCGGCGTGAAGGGCACCGGCTCGTTGCTGTGCAGCTTTCCATCTGCCGGGTACTCGTAAGCATCCGCTGCTGGCGGGGCCGCTGGAACCGACGACGCCAGCACTACTGTCGAGACCGCTCCAGTCGTCAGCGGAGAGGGCCCTGTGTATGGCCCGTGTTCCGTAATGGCGGTATATAGCACGACCGACGGCGTGACTGTTGGGACGGATGTAGCAGTCGTTTGCGCATGAGACGCAACTGGAATGCCATATGCGCCATATGCACTAGTTGCAAAGACAAGGAAAAACGTCTTCCAGGAAAAAGTGTGACTTGCCATACCTTCTGTGGCCGTCTGGTGTAAAAGTTCAATGATTGCTTGCTTAATTGTCTGCAAAATACTGCATCTCTACTTGTACATAAAGCATAATAAAGGACCATACTACGTCATTCTTTTTTATAGGCGTGAAAGAAAGTAGGCACATCGCAGTCCATGATGTAATATTCAAAGAACAACTTTATGGCAGACCTGGTGACGTTAAATATCTGTGTAAGCACCCGAGAATGATGACATCGCCTTGTTTCGATGTGCGAAACGTCCTGGTCACGTGAGCTGACTCGAGTTCATCAAATCTGGTCCCAAAGCCGAAATGAAAAAGGGTCAAAAAACATTGATGCTTCAAATGCAAGCGACTGGTCACTAATCCACGGCATATTCGCAAACCCTAGAAAAAATCCGAGTCCCAGAGAAGGTTCACAATCTCCATCGCATCATCTCTCTTTGCTTGTTTCGTCTCCTTGGAGAGTTCATCTGGTACCGGCTCATAACCGCTAGCAAACAAGAAAATCAACAACATACCACCGACAGTCTGAAGCAACGAGATAGCTAGCCACGAAAATGCACGAATCTTGGAGACAGTCGCTTTAATAGTGGCTTCCCGTGGTGTTGCATATGAAACAGCCCAATCTGTATCGTACGTGTGCTGAAAACTGTCCCATGCGGCGAGATAACTTTGGCGGATCAGATTCTCTGCGTACAGATCGAGGTTGTCCCACGTCGAGAGTGAGGTGGAGTTCATGGTCGACACCAGGGTCATGAGATCTGGGAGAAGCCAGAGTGCATTTTGTGTCCAGACACTCTCGCGCAGGACGACATCTTCAATGGGCGTCTGATCCTCAACGACTCGCGATGAGATGTATCGGCTTTCTGCGCTGGTTGTCACGCCGGCGCTCAGGGTCACGTTGGCAAATACGAGGCAGATGCCAATCGCCCAGTGATACTTGTACTGTGGGAGTCTTCCGATATCGCCAAAGCTATTTGGTGCAAGATTTTCGCAGCCACTGTAGTTGTGTCCGATCACGAGACCCAGGCTGAGGGCTCCAGAGACCAGGGTGGCGTCCGGAAGACCATATGCCGAGACCCAAAGGTTGCTTGTGTTGTACAGGGTGGCATGTCCAGGGCTTCTATACCAGAAGAGGGTGTCGTTGACTAGGCTCAGGCTCTCGGAGCTCGATAGAGCGTACTCTGCTACTAAAGAAGGAATTTGGTCCTCTGACGTTGCCCAGGAAATGTCTTGAATCTGGATGCAGGGGACAGTCGAGTTTGCCAGTGTTGAATTTACCGGTAGGCCATCGTCGTTGACCACATGGCGACATCCATTTCCGGTGGAAGAGGTCCCATTTTCATGTACCGCTGACGTGTCGGACCAGGCCAGCCCGGCATAGCCTGCAGCAATCCGGAGGATACTCATTCTCTCAGTCATTACGATGCCGTACTGGTACCAGTACTCGTCTGTGGCCGCCGGATCCGACGAGTTTACCGGCACAGATGCAGTTCCACGGATGGAGGATGCATTCCAGTCGACCGCACCAGAGAGAAGCGGAGAAGTGAACGGTTGAGGAAAGACAGAGAGCAGAACAAAGACAACTACCCAGTTTCGAAGACCCTTTGGAAGTTTGCAGGGGGGCCTGAGCCATGGAGGCAGCTTGTATCTGGTCATAAATGAGAGCTGCTTAGACTTGAGATGGGGATCAGTCCTGTGTACCACCTCGTAGGCACACATCCACACAGCAATGGCTGCCCAGGCCGTGGTGAAGAACTTGACGATGACGAGTCCTGCTGAGATGAGCGTCGTGACGTCCGAAACGCGGAAGCGGAATTTCCCACTGGCAGAGCGTGGCGTTGAGCTGTCGCTCGCATTATATCCATCGACTGCAAAGACGAGCGCTATGGCCAGGGAGATGCAGCCGGCAGTATGGCAGGCAAGGAAGATCTTGGATGTAGATGAGCTTGTTGGCCGCAAGGCTGGCTTATTCCCCTCCTTGTCAGGCCGTTCCACGGCCGCTTCAATCAGCGGGTCTCTCGCATCATCTGCCATATTGTATGCCGGATGTCTGACAGAGCTAATTTGCCAAGGCGAGATTTCACAAAAGAATACCGTTTTTCCAAAACTGACATTGAACTGGAACTTAGGTATTTATACTTGACATAGGCTATGTATCTAGGAGGGGTTGCATGCCCGTGTCAAGAGCAAGCTGAACAAAGCTGAACTCGGACTGTAACCCTCGGTCGGAACCTGACGAAGGCCAAGTATTGGACAGAGATAAAAAATGGGAAGCTGACTGAATATGCAGCAATCCTGAAAGGGAAAAGGCCGAGCTGTCCCGCACCTTTATAAAACGACGAGCGCGTGGCTGCATGTGTTCGTGGAGTAGATGGTACGTCTAACCAAGTACAAAGGACAAGGCTGAGTTAAGTACAGTAGACGAAGCTCGGAAAGAACAAGGCAGAAGCTCATCGTAACTCCCACCCCTCAAGAGATCATGGATGCATGCTAAAAATGAAGAGATCGTCCAGGACAGTGCCAAGTTGGGTGGACCCATCGAAGAGCGACACGATGATTTAATCGTAAGCAAGAATATGCTTGAAACAGGGCCAGAGCTAGAATGAACGAGAGCCAAGAGATACTTCTCTTTTGCTGTGGGATATTTTTTAATACCAGCGATCATAGATTCAACGCTCAATCGCCGAAAATAACTACTGCTGGTACAAATGTGCGGAGTGCGGATCCGTTCTATGACCCGTCCATCATTTGTGCTGCAGTGTTGTCATGCGAGCAAGGTGAAGAGAGACTCATTGTAAAGCTAAGGTGAAAGGTAGCTAGTTCCTTGCTCAGATTGTACTGCAATTGTGCATCAGAGTCTTCTTTCTGTAGCAGATCAGAAGCCTCTCTCTTTGGTTTCAGATATCTGCTTATGTTCTGACCAGTTCTGCATTTTTTCCCCCTTCCCGCCGGCTACAAGATTCCCGACGAACTCGAGGGCCTGGCCCGGTACGTCTGGCAGTTTTTTGCAGACACCAACGACCTGTTTCTGCGGGTCTACCGTCAACAATGTGGTGACCGCGCCGGCCGATTGCAAAGCGGTCGTCAAGCGACTGATGGTAGAAAAGAGCTGGAGCGAGCTTTGGACGAGGACAAAATGGGACTGCCTGCTGTCGACCAGTGCTCGCATCTCGAGCACTTATAAGTTGCCTAGTGGGCGGCCCTGCGGTTGGGGGTACTTCACCAGTACCGGTAAGTCAGAGCTCACTCTCATATCTTTGAGCTGACACATCTCTTGTTGCACAAGCTGACATCAAGTTTTCGACAGCGCAACGAGTGTGGGCCAAAGGGACATATGGCACGGCAATGTCCCAGTCGCAAGTGTCGGAAATGCAACCAGCCTAGACACACAGGCGAACAGTGTGACATTTCATTTTGTCACTATTGTCACAGCTCTGGCCACACGTCCAAGGAATGCGATTCGATACCTCTGAAGTGTCGTTATTGTGGCGGTAAACACTATCCAAAGTTTACACAGATAAAGCACTTGATACCTTTTAATATGTCGCTGTTGTGGCGGTAAACACTGTCCAAACTTTACATAGATAAACCACTCGAAACTACAGTGGCAATGAGTATACACAAGCGAAGTTCTTTACACCACGGAAACAAATAACGGTCAATACTAGCAGTGCAGAGTTTGGACACAACTAGATCGTGCAGTAAATGCAAGCATTGCTAGGAGAGGCATACGTCAATCAGTTGCGCCCGGGCCCGACTGAATTTGCAACGAGTGTACGCAGACCGGACACTTGGCTCGGCAAGGTGTTATTAGTTTTTAAATTGATTTTCTTCAATTAGAAAAAAATCAGCTGTTCTATCTTTCTATTTCTAAGAAAGACTACATTCACAAAGTACCACGAGAAAGATGACAGAGAGAAAGATTGTAGAATGTAAAGGCCTGGGACACACGATTCAGGAGGGGTTCTGGAGACAGATCGAATTTCCCCCAAGACGAAAACAACTTACAGAATGCTACAACCTCACTGGCACCTTCGCTCTTCATCGTGGAAACACCCGGATGCTTCGGTCTCCGGCAGAGACCGACAGACACAAATATGAAGCGTTGCACCCTGATAAACGACCGCTCCCCTGTACCCCTGGTGTTGTGATCCCGGATCATGTTGCGCGGTGGTTCATGAGCATCTCATAGGCAGACTCTCTTCTCCTAGGTGTCCACTTTGGCTTCAGATATCCACTGTCTTCCCTGAGTACAACAATCTTCGCCCATTAGATTGTAGCCATAGGGCCGAGTTAGTCACAAGGAGCACGTGACGTGATGCATACTACCGAATTCTGACTCAAGAAGGTAGCAACACTACAGGGCTCGTTTGGTTTATGTAAGATACAAGTAGTGACGCCACTCTGTATGTACAAGATATCTCATGTTCTCATTAAGAGGTAAGAACAAACAACAGCTTACAACATCGTATAACCGCCTCCAACTAATCTTTATACTCGTTCCTTATGGTCCCCCTTGATCAAATCAGCTGCGCGCTCTGCTACGGCATAGACTGTCGTCTGGATGTTGCCGAGCGGCACCAGGGGGAAAAGATGCTGGCGTCGATAATGCGCAGGTTAGGCACGCCATAGACGCGTAGGCGGGAGTCGACGACGCCGCCCTTGTCCTTGGGCCGCATGGCACAGCTGCCACAGACGTGGAAGTTGGACATTTGCGACAGCCGGACGACTTCGCGGGCCTGCTCAAGGCTGTCGTCGTCGTCAGTGCTGCGGAAGATGATATTGGGCATGCGCTTCTGCTGGGCGAGCGGTTTCAAAAGACTCGCAAACGGCTCCTGCTTGGCAAAGTTGTGGAGGAAGCGTTGGGCGCGGGAGACGATTTCCAGATCGATGCTCTCTGCTTGGTAGCACGGGTCCCAGAGAGGCAGATCCTCGACCTTGTCGGAGGCAATGTGCACGGTGCCGAGCGAGAGCGGATGGCCCAGACAGGTCAAAAAGGTCAGGTAGTTCTCGGGCTGGACAGGCGTCACGTAGTCGGTAACGGTGGCTGGCCGAGTAGTTGGCTCGATCCGACCCGGGAATAGGACCAGCTGTGTGGCCGGCTGGTCTTGACGGCACAGGAGGTCTTTGACGGTGTTCCGCAGCTCAGCCACGCCAGCAGACGGTGCCGCCTCTGACACCTGTTGCGAGAGACACTTGTCGAAGAGCGCCTCGCGAGCCTCGATCGACAACGGGCCGTCGGCATCGACCACGGGCACATAGGCTCCGCTATATACGTTGTAGTTCTGCGGGCTGCTTCCGTTGGCCTGGAAGTGCTGCCGCAAGGTGGTCTCGATCTGGCTGGCATCACGAAACACATCGGTCGATGTGGCGCCCTCGGCCACCTCAAAGTTCCCCGGCACCAGCGGATGGTCTTGCACATGTTCGCCGACATTCTCGTTCTCGACCACAACGGGGGTGCCGTGGCGCTCCAGCACACTGCGCCGCCCAATGCCCGACAGCTCGAGCAGCTGAGGCGTGTGCAGTGCGCCTGCAGCCAGAATCACCTCGGCTCTGGCCAAGACGTCGCGCTCGCCCGTCTCTCCCGGCTTGTCGGAGCGGACACGGACGCCTGTGGCCACGGTCGTCGAATTGCTTGAGTCTGTGCTCTCTCGTCCCTCCAGCAAGATCTTGGTCATCACCGTCTCCGTCCAGATGGTCAGGTTCGGACGTGCGCGCACCTTCTCTGTCAGATAGGCCGTCGTGGCAAAGCTGCGCGTGTGTGTCTTGCTGTCGATACTGGAAGCGTACTGGTAGGCGCCCCTGGTGTCGTCGCTGCGGAAGTCCGTGCCTGGACCCATGCCCATCTTTTCAAGCGTGTCGAACCAGGCCGAGTTGTTGGCGCTAAAGTTATCCACAAACGACATCTGCACCGGCCCCGTCTCAGCCTCCGTGATGGCCGGGTCATAGCTCTTTCCCGTCGTCATGCGGCAGATGGCAGCCGTCGCGGCTGAGGGAGCCTGGGTCTTTGAGAATTTGCGGTAGTAAGGCTCTAGGGTGTCGTAGCACCAGCCCTCATTACCCAACGTTTCCCATGCATCTATACCCTTGCGGTTAGGGAAGACGGCCATCATAAAGTTGATGCCGGAGCTGCCACCGAGCATACGGCCGCGGGGTTGATGGATTGTGCGGTTGTAAAGTTGGGGCTGCTTATCAGCTTTACTGTAGTGAGACTTTGGGGGGATCTTCATTCTTCTAAACCTACCTGAGGCTCGGAATGAAAACTCCAGTCGTACTCCTGCTTCCCATACAGTTGAGTAAGCATGCCCGGCAAAAGCACAGCGGGATCCTTGCTGCGGTCGGCCCCGGCTTCAATCAGCAAGACGTTAATGTTGGGATCTTCCGTCAGCCGAGCCGCCGTCACCACGCCCGCGGTTCCGCCGCCCGCGACAATATAGTCGAACACGGCCGCCTCGTTCCTGTCTATAGAGCCCATGATGATGGATGAAGGAGATTACAAAGATTGAAGATACGGGCAAAAGTGTAGTCTGTGGCGGCTGGTGAAAGGGGTAGAGAAATGTTGCTTGGGATGGTGGACGAGAAAACTGAAAGCAGTCTCTTTCCTTCAAGGAGATGCCCGGTTTTATCTATGAGCTGCCAAGCCTTCATTCGAATATCATGATGTCGGCGCAAAGCGTCGATGACGTGTCATCATCTACCTACTACGCCTCGACGAGCGGCTTGGCGAAGTGTAACAATAAAAGATCAGCAGTCTTTTTTACACAGCCTTATTCTGCCTGGCGAGGTGCCTCGTGCTCCGTGCTCGTTTTGTCCAATAACAGTGTGCATGCCTTTGGTAATGCTGGAGAAGCTGAAAGCTGTCAAAATTATCTCCACAAGCTGAATAAATGTGCTGGCCCCTATGGAGCAAAATGTCGGCTATCGGACCGCAGTCTTGCTTTTGCAAGTATATGGCCCGATTCCTCTTCGTCCAGATCTCTTTGTGGTCCGATCTCGTCCCAGTTCTGTCATTTTGTAATCTCCTCTCAAGAGGCAAGCGACTTTCTTAGGTCTTATTCAGCGTGAACCAAGAATCAGTACACCTGATCCGGCAAAGCGCCATGGTAAGAGTCTCATTTAGCTAATCGTTGCGGCCCCAAAATCCGTGCTTGCCTAGACGTATAACGTATATTGTAACGGTTGTTATTGCCGCAATATCACAGTCAATTGGCTACGCAAGGCTCGTTTCTTTTTCTCGCGTATTTTCTCGATATGCTTCCCAACTCCCCCCCCAGTGACTTCTTCTCCCATGTCTGGGGCTCAAACTGCACTCGACAGACAATGTACCAGCATAGCCATCGTTGCTCACAGGCACCAATATATGATCTGTAAGAATGCCACAGACTGGTTGCGCAGCGTCTATCCGTAAGCTCGAGCTCAGCTATGGACAAGTATATACACTAAGCCTAAATGGGGCACAATTAATACGACTACGGAGTTGTCGAATGAACCAGACCAGAATGGGAGGGGTGTGCACGATTATGCAGTGTGATGAAAGAATACATGTACTGTGTGGCGCATGGGGCTATTTAGTACGTGTTTTGATGCACGTCGGCATACCTCGGAAGTATCTAACCACAACAATACATTCACGCTTACGGGGCACCTATAATTTGACAGGAGTAGTCCCACAAGAATTACAAGGTACACGGAGAAGTCCGCAAATCTACTCCGTACTCCGTAACTAATACTCCGTACATAGTAAGATAGAATAACTCAGATCCCCACAGCTGTAGCCACAAGGCGGTCACCATGTGTACGGGCCGTACTCAGTATACCGTAGATAATACGGGAATACTGAATAAATAGTTCCGACGTAGAATCGGCTTTAAGGGCAGCCTTTCGGCTTTGCAAGGCGATGGCGAGGTGGTTTTCACGCTTATATAAAGTGGGCGGTACTCTGTATTCCCGTGTTCTCTACGGCGTGCAACATATCGTAGCCGCCTAGCCTTTAAAGTCCATAGTCATATGTGAACGTTGGCTAGACGGAGCACGCTGCGAGGGCCAGAAGGTACTGCGATCTTGGCCGACAGCAAGTTGCGTGGACTTCGTAGTGGGTGTAGTTCCCATTTAAATCTTGCTTTGTGACTTATATGATCGCCGTTCGCCTCTCTACCTTCTCTACATCTTCTTGGCCCACGCCATGTTTGAGAGCTCCTTCTTTCGCTAACTTCCTGTTGATGACGAGCATCACTTGCCTGATCAGAATAATCTCCTCTTATAGTATTCTCATAGTGGTTACTCGTGGTTTATGCGGGACATATCGGTTCTCGGCATGGTCTTCATAGCTTTAAGTCTCTATGAATGGCTATTTACTAGAAAAAGGGGCCACAAGTCCTCTAAACAAGAGTCATGACTGATATAAGTGTTCGATAGTCACAACTACTAGACTCGTATCGCATAAGGAGTGAAATTGTCGAACAGGCACAATAAAGAATTATGTACCGAGAAAGACTTTTTCAGGTCTGGAAGGAACCAAATGACCGATACCCCGCCAAGGCTGGAAACAGATTATGTCAGCAGATAGCAAAGACGCTTTTCACATTTCCTTCCTGCCGTACCATCAGACCGACAATTTAGCTTCGATGGCTGTAGACGCTCGGCACGATGGAGAAACAGCCACCAGAAACGAAAGCACATTACTGGAGCGGCGACAATGCTAGGTAGGCTGCAGATCTTAGGTCTACCTGCCTAACGGAAACAAGACTGACGCCAGTTTAGCGCTCGTGATTCGGGCACAAGCAGTCCTCTCGATCCCGACAATGTCTCGACAGATAGCCACGAGAAGCCGTCGAGTTCTTCACATACAGACAACTCGGCAGAGTTCGGCGCATACTTCCCTCCCGAAATCGCACAGGTGGCACACTGGAGGGAACACATCGGCCTATCGGATTTCGCCATCATGCTACAACAGTCTCTGAAAGGCGCCTTTCCCAAAGACAACGCCTCTCAGTACACCAAAGCTTTCGTTCTTCTTGTATATTGGGAGGTCGGAGTCCCGTCTCTACCCATTGAGCCCGAAATAATCCGCCTGAGAGACGCATTTACTGATGTGTTCAACTTTGAAGTTGAAATGTTCCAGATTCCCACGTCTCGCAGCCACATCATGCTTAGCCGGAAGATCAACGATTTTGTCTTTCTGAATGACGACAGCAAAGACGATCTGAAAATATTTTACTATGGCGGGCATGGAAAACTCACAAAATCCAGAGAGCTACTGTTCTCAAAGTACGGTCTGCCCATCCCCACATTCGTCCCCTGGCCTTTCGACTAACCCAAGACTAGCAACCTAGGACATTTTGGACTCAAGGAAGAGACCCTTACGTGGAGCGGTATTCAGTCGACGCTTGAGAAGGCTCTCAGTGACGTCCTAATCCTACTTGACTGTGGCGAGTCTGGTATGGTCCGCTTTGGCGAAGGCCACGGAGTGACTGAGCTCGTTGCTTCTTGCAGCTACGACGCCAAGACTAGTGGTTTTGGCGAAGCTTCCTTCACTAAAGCATTGGTCACCGAGCTCAAGTCTCTCGCAATTAGCAAACTTCGCTTCACAGCCTCCGACCTATGGGCACATATCTACAACCGCATGCAGTGCCATATCCCTACAGGACATTCTAACGATAGATATCCTGCCCCGGTCCATTTCTTCATCACTAGAGATTCAGATTTCGACAGGTCTATAGATTTGACGCCTTTGCCTCCCACTCCGGTTGGAAAAAAAAAAGCAGTCCCAAGCTACGGATATCCGACTCCAGGGCAAGGTATACAACCAAAAAATCCTACATAGCTATAGCGACCACTACGAGATTTGGCGCATGCTTACCTGAAACAGTTCTTTATAACCGCAGATTAACCGCAACCTCCTGGCCGAGATGAAATTTGAATGACGGAAGAACAATGTTACTTGCAATACGACTAGAGGAGACTGTGAACCCAAACGACTTGTCTATCAAAGACTTAAAAAAGTGGCTGAAAGACATTCCAGCGGCTGCAAACACCATCCGGATTAGCTGCAACATAGAAGGACTTTTCTCCTCTGACTCAACAGTCCTTCTCGTCACGATTCCTCTGTCACTCTGGGCCTGCGTACACAAGCACCCTGCTATCATAACTATTGGTCCAGTGAAGTCATCAAACCTTTGCTTCTAGGAAGATACACTTGCCTACACTCTAGGCGTTCCATGGATGATGGGAATGGTGGCCTCCTTACCACATTTCTCACACGACCCCTCCCGCTTTCGACACTATGAATTCAGGTCATCAAGCGTTAGAAATACGGAAGAACATCGAGATCCCTCTAAGAGGCACTCTTCTAGTGAGCCAACACATCGTACCGCAGATAGTCGCACATCACAGAAGGTTCGTGTTGGCACCTGTCTCCGGTGCAGGAAAGACAAAAAGGACTGTGATGGATTGAAGCCTTGTAAGTCGAAACCCGAGCCATGCATTACCGTCGCACGCATGGGTTCTTGCTTAACTTTGCCTGTAGGCACAAGTTGCCGAATGTTGCGCCGTACTTGCAATTATGCATCGGCAATCTAGTTAGGCAAAGCCGAAAACAGATAAGGACGACAAGAAGGCCTGACACCTTGACACTCACATTAGCTTGTCATCTCATACTCCCAAGCTTTCGCACCATCAGTGGTCGACAACTTAGCTTCAGAGGTAAAGGTCAACCAACGAGTGTCATCTAAGAATTAGATCTCAACGGAAGACTGTGTCATCGTGGAGACGAGTAGTTTGACGGTGGCTTTCAGTCTGATAACCCCAAAGGTGTCTCGACAATTTTTATTTTTTACACGAATTACAGAACTGAAGCGCCAGTTATGATACAAGCATTTTTCCCGAGAACTTGACGCCAGATATATTGATTTGCTGTATAGGCTGGGCGCATATATAGAGAAAGTTCGGCCACGACTGTGCAGAGACATGGGCACCTTTTGGCTGATTGGGACGAATACAAAACGGTGTCTCTTTCAAATATTGTATTGATTCTGATCACAGAGGACGAATGCGGCGCACTCCCACCGATGGCGAAGCAGGAAACATAGAACACAACTTGAGAACTAAGTATGACGCGCACTTGAGAGTCAAATATGCGGATAGAACTAGCAGGGAAATATCACAGAACAGTCTGGGCCAACTGGCTGCACAGCCGGAGTATGGGGCCCAGCCGCTATCGAGACTGCAGAACGAATGTTGGGAAAATTGCTGTCTAGCAGCCGAAGGATGAATTGAAGAATCTTTTTTTATAGTTGCCACGAATCAAGATGATGGTAGGGCTATCCAGGAAGGTGGACACAATTTCGTCTATATTTCCGGCTCGCAATATCCATGACAGTTAGTGGCTGTACAAGGGCACATCCACAGAGGGCCATATACGCTTGTGCCTCACAACCAGGCGTTGAACCATTTGACGGCCTGCTCGAAAGCCTGATCGGTGGCGAACTTGACCTTCTTATCGCTGAGGTCTCCCCTGACGGCAAAGCCGTGGCTCACAGCTCCGTATAGGAAGATCTGGTAAGGAACCTGGATTTTCGCCAAGATTTCCTCTGACGTGTGGCGAAGTTCGTTTGTAAAGATGCTGTCGATTTCTAGACACCTCCATTAGTACATTTGAGACTAAGAGCGATTGCACAATGACACTGCGCAATACAGGCGGGTCTTACCGGCAGCAGCAATGGACAGCGGCTGCGTGATGGCACCGAGCTCCTCAGGCGTCACAAAAGAAGGGTGGGCGACGAAGCCGGCGTCAATGATGCCGGCCTTGAGGTTTCGGACGACATACTGCAAGGGAGAAGAACGAAAAATTAGCATGGTGATCGACAAAGTACCTGGCTCGGCTCGGCTAGGCGTACCTTGGCACCAAAGCAGTAGCCAACAGCAGCCAGCTTCTTGACCTTGAGCGTAGTTCGCAAGTGCTTGATGATGGTTTCGCCAATGGGGTCAACTTGGGCCGTCGAGTGCTTCTGCAGCCAGGGCGGGAAATCAAAGGTGCCGCTCTCAAAGGCGGCAAGAGGGATGGTGTCGCCATCAAAGAGATCGGGGACGACGGTCAGATAGCCGCGTGCAGCGAAGGCATCGGCGATCAGCTGGACGTTCTTGTAGATGCCAAAGACATCGGTGAAGATGAGAATGGCCGTGTCGGACGCGTTGTTGGCAGGGCGCGCAAAGTACGTGTCGACTGGGGCGGGGTATCAGCTTGGCTCTGTGGAAAGTAGCAGGTGGAAATTCTAGTGAGGGGAAGACAGACTGCCGTCAATCTTTTCGATAGTCCCGACGGGAGAGCCGTCGTGCTTGACGCCTCGGACACAGCAATCAGCAGGCGGTAGGGAAGCCATGGTCGATGATGGAGCGATGGTTGTGGGAGAGACGGACACGGTGGAATGGCGGAGAGACTGCACAACACAGACGGCCGGCTGGAAGGAGATATCTAGTACTCGTATCTTATATTTTCAAACGCCGCCCCTCCCGATGTGGAGTACCATTTGGAAAAGCCATTTTTGACATCGCTTAGTCGGATTTGTAATCCCGACTTGTGCTAACCACAACAAGAGCTTAGAGCAAGGCTAGTCAGTGCGCAATGTGCTTATATCGCAATGATACCTTCTTGAAGCAGAACTGGCTTGCAAACCACGGGATTGCACCATGCACGACTATGCTATGCCAGTGGTTTCTGCTCCCAAGCCAGACCGCCGCAAAAGTAGTGGAATTTGAGGGGCCTTACTTTACGTCGGAGATGGGCGACATAGGCGCTGATTTCCTCCGAGGTCTAGCCCAGCCGGGTGGGCCATCTTGCGTCTGAAGCCTCGACATCGATTGTTATGAGATTTAACGTAAGTTGGCCAACCTCGCACAAGACTGTGTCCTCTGGCCACCCTGATAGTGGGAGTTAGAGGCAGGTTGGTGAGAATTGGCAAAACAGAACAGGAAGGGAAGGAGTTGAAATCAGGTGGTGGGAAAGGGAAGAAGTACAAAGACACGTTTGGCGGTAACCATACGTTGTAAAGGCTGAATTGGAGATAGATAGTGCTGGTAACTTCGTTGTTAGTTGCAAGGCAAACAGGTTATTCTCCTTCAGAGAGGGTGGGACTATTTAGCACGTGTTTTCACGCACGTCGGCATACCTCGGAAGTATCTAACCATAACAATACACACACGCTCACTGGGCACCCATAATTCGATACAAACAAACCCAAAGATATTAGTGAACGACGATAATCAAGTTCGTAGTGGTGTCGAATGACTTAGGCCGAAGTGGCTGGGGTGTAAGGGCATAAAAATTCGAAAACCATTGGGCGGACACATTGTTGACCGCTTAGCACATTGCTGTCTACCCAATCCAGCGCGGACTATCTTGGTTCAGCCCCCGATGGATGCCTTGTACCTCTACCCGATCGGCACCCGTTGTCTGTTTGATGTGGTTGAGCATATGTTCTGCAAGGGCTACATACGTGGCCGGTCTGCCGCTTTGGTCCGATCTGTTGCTACCAAACATGAAGCCAATAATGCGACGGTCGGCTAGGCGCAGTGCTGCTCCAGAATCACCCTTTTCCGAGACGGTGGCGATAGGTGTATTGGATCGAGAGTGGCCGGATTGCACATCGAGCACGACAACTTCGCGGGATATAAATTCCCTCACTTCCTTTCCATTGCTGGTTAAGTATCGTGTGCAAATTCCGTCGCGGACATCATGCAAAACTCCCACAGAGAATGTTGTGGATCGGCCGTGCAGAAAGACGTACGTCGGTTCTTTGGCGGTGGCCATCATCTGGACTTCATGAGCCGGAACGATCTTCTCCCGGCCAGGCGTGAAGAATCTTAGAAATCCGTAATTGTCGGCAATCGGGGAATTGATGTGAAGGCTGTTGCAAATATTCTGAGCTGTCCCCCGAGCCTTTCTCAAGTCAAGAAAATCCTGATCGGGAAATGTCAGCATGGAGCTTTACAATACATGTACAAGGAAACATACCGGTTGCGTCGTGTGCGCCAAGTCATGAAATCGTTCTGGGTGCACATCGATTAGTCCCCAATCCTTCAAGTTTTCTCCAGGTTGTGGATCGGTCAGCCCTGAGGAACGCCAGACTTGGCCTAGGAAACGATGATGTTCCCAGGAACTCTGAAATGATGTGAGTGCGGTATCCAGAACTTCGAGCTCCTTCCTGGACTCAACAAGACTGCTTTCGAAGAAGGCCGGCCACGCTTTCCCAATCCATTCCCGTTCTTGCTTTTCTTTATCTCGTTGGAAAATCACCGCTTGCACTTGGTCGAGTCCATGTCTGATGTTGGCAATAATTTCTCTCGCATCCATTTGGGAAGGACTAAGCATCCGCACAGAGTTCTCTGCCGACAGGGGGGCTAGGACATCCCCCTGGCCAATACTCACGACGTGATGGCAAGTGAGTGCGCAAACACGGCGATTCTCACCCTTTCGAAGTGCTAGGTAGCAGGACAAAGTTCCACTGCCTTCCTGGCCTTCTGGACCGATGCTTGCGCCGTTAAAGGCAGGATGGAAAGAAACCGGGTTGCTTATTGTGAAGCTGTAGTCTTCGGTTGTCTCGAGACAAGATCGTGCCTCGCCGACCCCTTCCATCGCGAAGGGGTACGCGACAACTTCCACATGCACGTCGTAGAAGTGACTAATAACAGTTAGCCGCTTTATCATTAAGGTCCCTGGATCGCTCAAGTCTTACTATAGACGCAGGAGTTTTTCCACTTCATGGGCAAGTCCTTCTGCCATATCATATGTGTGCTCTTCTGGTTTTTCCGAAATAGACAGGAGTATCGTCAAAGGGTTTTCCACATCTGTGTCTGCACGACAGCCCTGTCGGTAGAGCCCCACCGAGTCCCATCGCAGCGAGGATGAAGCACAACAGCGCATGATTTCATCGCACAGTTCCGTTTCAAAAATGCGTCGGATAGGATGATCTCCAACGCGCCACAAAAACCGGCGCTCTTTTCCGTCAAACCTGGGGTCAGTTGTGGGGTCTTTGGGGATTTTGTGAGAGGAGTGTGCCAAAAAAATAGCCAGCTTGACGACGGAAATGCGGTATTCATCTCCGGGTCGCAAGTACTGGTCATCCTGGATTGGGCGGTTCATTTTGTGTAGTTGAAAGTCGTTGACCTGTCACCCTGTAGCACAGTGAACGAGGTACCTGTACCTTACAGCAGTGTAGGCAAGGGTATATATGATTGATTCCCTATCTTAAGAAGAGTCGAGACATCGACTGTGGAACAGAGAGACAACAAAGGGAGAAGTTTGGTGTGGGAGAAAGAATGTGGAAAGAGATGGGTGCAGAACAAAAACAAAGTTCGGGGAAGAAAATTACAGTGGAACTTAGACAAGTTTGTTCTATGGGTTTCGTAGTCGTTCCTTTATTTCAGTAGCACGAGTCATGAATCACTCTTTTGTGTGTGTGTGTGTGTGTCCTATTGTCGCACGGCCATCCAGGTTCATTGAGCAAAAAAAAAAAAAAAGATTCTACAGACGACAACGGCAATATTATTAAGAACGAGAAGAACGAGTGATCCATGCTTTCAAATCCCGACTTGTGGATACATCGGATCGGGGTATTTGTGCTCACATTGTTGCTATTCAGGGCTCGAAGCAAAGGCACGGTGCATAATACTATCAGACTTTTTCACCTACTCGCCAAGCGAAATCGCCAAACAATGTTGGTCATTCACAATGCTAACCGCAATCACACGTTAATCATTTTTCTACATCCTTTCTCTCAGTTACCGATACGCAGTGACCGAAGCTCGAGCGACTCATAGTCACTAATCCAGATAGCCTCATTTCCACCCTATATTAGAACCGTACGATAAGGCGTGACAACGACAGGTCCTAGCAACCCATAATCAGCATCGCCCGGTGGTCTTGTGTCGGATCCAAAGAGACCGGTCGGTGGCGCTCCGCTGGAGAGCAGCTCATCCCAGATGGACGCCATCACGTTCGCCAGCGTCGTGCTGACGACGGCCTCGACCTTGTTGGAGCCCGTAACCAGGTAGGGGGTCACGTCGAGCGTAGCATCGGCGGCGTCAAGCGCAGGCACTGTGTGGCCATTGACGCGCACAGCCAGCGTGTGGTCCACGGCACCAAACGAGAGGAGGGCCCCGCTGACAGAGGTATCATCATCATCTGCGGGAGGCCATTCCCATGCGGCGGTGTAGTAACCCAGGCCAGAGACGTTGTGCAGGCCGTCAATACGTTGCCACGATGTCAACTCGTCTAGTTGGTGGGTCGTGTTGTGCTTCGTGGCCGTAGTCACCACATCGACGAGAGGCGTCGGAGGGTCCCAGTGCTCCGCTGTCAGATTCCAGCACTGCAGCTCGAAAGGCTTTGCCGACGTCGGAGACATTTGGTGCACCTCACCGTCCGAGGTTGCTACCCAGTCAGCAGAGGTGCGTCCCGTGTGGCCCACGTGAGCCTCCAAGCCACTGCCACTTGAGGCCTCAAGAATGTCGAGAACGCCGTCCGAGGTGGAAGTCACGTGATATGATGCTATGGTGGTTTCATCGCTGTCGTTGTCAAAGACGACGAGCATCGTCTGGTCTGGGGCGAGCTGAAAGAAGATTGTCAACGTCGTATCATTGTTTGTGCACGTATAGTTTAAAACCGGCCTTTTTGCACCGCTCCACGGGTCGTAGCGGTACGGCTTTCCGGTCGTCTGGAAGGTGATGTTTCCTGCGCTGTTGTGCTCTCCGCTGTTGTAGACAAAGACGTATTGCTCCAGGCCATCGGTGGTCTCGCGCCAGACCGGCCACCAGGGCGCATCAGCCTCGACCCGAGCGCGAGGCTGGATACCCAGCGACTCAACCACGCTGGCCAGGCTGGGCTGGCCTAGTTCTTCTGGTACCTCATGAACGTTGCTCAGATTCCGTATGGAAGCTAGAGTACTGTTGACATATAGACTGCCGGCCGGATCGTAGCTCGCCATAGTCGAGGGGAAGCCACCGTAAAAGATGACTGGAAGACCGGCCAGGGCCGCCTTTGCAATCATCTCGGCTGCAGTAACTGTCATGAGGTCATCACAACGCACAATCAGAGCCCGGTATGCCTGCCGCATCGGAGCAAGAACACCGTTCCCGACAGCCGCCTCGGGCAGGGCCAGGTTCTCTGGGTTGAGGTAGCCGTACGTGTATCCTTTGCTGGACAGGTCGTCGCTCTCGTAGCTGCTTGGAATCTCGGCGTAGGTGGTACGCTTCTGATAGAATGCAAGATCCGTCTTGGCCACCCCTGCCTGCAAGAAAATATTATTTCGGGCCAGATAATCGAGGGCAGCACCTCGGAAGAAATCCCACGCAGGCTGATGGCGTCCGTGCATGTCGGACCAGGCGTACGTAAAGGCTGCGTAACCCGGCCATGTCGTATTTGGATACTGATATTGTCAGCAGACATCAGACACAGTGAATGGCTGTCATAAACCTCACCTCCCCAGAATACGACAGACCGTGGAGCATAATGGAATTGACGCCGCCCGCATACAGCCTCTTGATGAGGGTCAATAATTTGGGCAGCTTCAGCTGATATGCCTGGCCGAGCACGGCACCGACTTCAGCCGAGATGACCGGCTTTCCTGCCATGTTGGCCGGTGCTGAAAATTGTCGATAGCCATCAATCGATTCGTCAAAGGCAAGATCCTCGCATTCAGGTACGGCAATCTTGGGGATGGCCGTTTGCTTTTTGCCGTCAGCCATAATACCAATGGAACCCTCGGAATCAGACAAACCATGTCAACAGCCATATTGTAGCCAACCTGGGACGACCACTGGATCCCGAGCGACTCATTGGCCCATCTGTCGAGTGCCTCCAGATACTCCATGTATCCCTCTGTAAGCTGTGTTGACAAAGGATTAGAAAGATCGGTTTGTTTTTCACGGGGAGTGGACTCACTGTAGTCCGGTAGTCGGCCACATGGGACTGTCCAGCATCTTCCTCGTCCGTGACGAACCAGGACTCGAAATGTTCCGTCAAGCTGTTTCCGTGGAACAGGATGGGAAAGAACGGAACGATGGAATAACCACGCCGCTGGCGAAACGCGATAGGTAGATCAGGCGTCCAGTAGATTCGCGGGTCGATCTCGACGCTGTCCTCCCACGCATATCTTGCTACCTGCTGCAGCTGTTCCTTGGTCCCGTTTACGAGCAGGTGCTTCTCCCAGAACTGCGTGATCACCCTGGCCCCACGCGCAGAGAAATGGTCCACGACCCACGACCCGTTATGGAGATAGTCTGTAGGGTTTGTCTGTGGGCCTGTCAACTTTCCAGGAGGAAGCTGGTTCCGTGTTCCTGAGCGCACAAGATACACTGCATACACCACATGTCGCAGCCCGGCTGAGGTAGCCATACTAGCAGCAGAGTCGGAGAAGTCGAGATGCAGATGCCCATCGTCAGAGACCTGACTCGTGACGTCCTGGAGACTACTTGTTGACAACGTGTTTGTCTGATGGCCTCGTGGCTTGTGCGTAGTCTCCATTATAGTTCCGGTCACAACTGCCTCGAGCGTTCCAGTGCCCCATCCGGGGATTTCGTCATCAAAGCTGCCTCCTAGTGGGACGTCGGCTGCGAAGGGACTCAAGTCCCACATCAAGCCCTCATCGTCTTCTTCAGCAGGCACTCCTTGGCCTTGGTTGGGCCCCACGGCGAAGTCCATTAGCAGGCCGTTATCCAAATGGGCTTGAATCGCCGCATCGAGAACCCTCTCTGATTTTCCTCGTTAGCTCATATCAGACCGGTACAGACAGGATTGAGATGCATTCTTACTCCAGGCCGGAGTACCCCATCCATACTCGTTCCAATCGACCGGCACATACTCCCCAGTAGCACCACCATACAGATAGAACCCAAGGACTTCAACACCTGCGGCCCCACGGGCACCGGCCTCAGCAATGTCAGCTGCTACTCGCGATGTGTTCACATGAGCATCCGGGATCCAGTATCGAAAGCGCGGACGGAACGCATTGCTTGGACTTTCAAAGCCCGACAAAGGACTCTTCGTGATACTATCCTTCGGACCATGGCTGGCCTTCGAAGAAGCGATCCTATCTCGCACTATATCACCATAAAATAAATAAATCAGAAATATGGAAACCACAAAGGTCAGCCTCCCAATGCCCGAACATGGCCAGTTCTGGAGTCCCCTGCCAGATGCAGCAGAGGTAGCTCTCCCAGAGGTGATGAGGCGCTTGGTTTCCCGTATGGTGTTCTCGCGATGAGACCGGGAATATGTGTGGTCCATTGACTTGCGAAATAACGATCCAGTCGGCTTTGAACCACGACTTGGAGAAATGTTTGTTGGACAAAAGACAACTCGCATTTTCTGATGGAGAACCACGCGGGGATGGACGGACTAGTCACGTGGCCACTCACCGTCTGACAACGAAAGCTCATATAGACAACACCGTGCGAGATGGGGATCATCGGCCTTGTCCGTATATATAATGATTGGCTAAAATGTGGCTATTTCGTCCTAAGAAACGTTACATGCCTTTCATGTCTAGCTCTTGGCTCATCAATTTACCACATTGAGATCAGGCTGTCCTGGACGTTCTCCTTGAAGACGTTGGGCGCCTTCGAGCTACGATAAGATTCGTTCTAGGGTCTTGCGCTGGTGACCCTCGTCGTCAAAGTTCTCTGGCGCCAGCCACCGCTCGAACGCGGCTTTTCGCGCCGGCCACTCATCTACTAGCATGGAGAACCAGGCGGTGTCACGATTGCGCCCCTTGACGATCATGTGCTGTCGGAAGACGCCCTCGAAAACGAAGCCGAGACGCTCGGCAGCACGTCTTGATGGCGCGTTCAGCGCGTTGCACTTCCACTCGTAGCGACGGAAGCCCAGCACATCAAAGGCGTGGCGCGCCAGCAAGAAAAGCGCCTCGGTGGCCGCAGCCGTACGCTGGAGCGCACGCGAGAACATAATGTTTCCGACCTCGACGGCACGGTTGGCCGGATCGATGCGCAGATAAGACGCATATCCGACGGGCTCGCGTGTCTTATTGGAGATGATCGTGAAAAACAAGGGGTCTAGAGAGGCCGCCTTCTGGCGCAGGGCTTCCCGAAAGGTATCGAGCGAGGCATAGGGACCGTCACCCATGTAGAGCCAGAGAGCATCCTGTCCAGGGCCAGCCGTAGCGGCGAAGAGAGCGGCGCCGTGAGCTTCGGCATCCAAGGGCACCAGAGTGACGAGCCGTCCAGCGAGGGTGGTGTGGGAGGGTCGCGTAGCGGGTGTTGCGTCCACAAGGGGACCGATCGGGAGTCCCGAAAATTCAGGCGCTGCGGACATGGTGGAATTGAGGTCGAATTGTAAGAGCGAACGACGTAATTCGACAGCGCTGTTTGGTGGGGTTTTTACGGAGAATCCGTTTCCACGCCGATCTCCCAGGAAAGTTTAACGGTGTTGGCAGGCCGGGTCAAGAAAGAAAAAGCTCCTACAACTCTAGAGTAAAGCACACGTATTTTGATTGACAACGAATACTCCGTAGCTAGAACATGAATCTGCCCGTTCAACTCGGCGGACTCTTGCCTCGTAGCCAGCCACACCTGCGCCACAAAGACGTCGTTTGCCTCTGTAGACTCGGCCACCCACTCTTTCTTCTCTGTGGCTGTCCTCAAAGTATCTTTCAATACACCCAGAGAGTCCAAGGTAAGGTCTTGAAATGACTATAACTCCAGGGGCAGGAGCGTACGGTGGATCCTGCCAGTCACGTCACTATAAGATGCCATAGCTGTCATGTGTGACGCTACCAAATTTCCCGCCAACGGCAGCTCATCTCCGCCAAAAGAAGCACTGGTGGTTGGGCCTTATCCCAAAGCGTGTTTAGCGAAGCTTCAGCAAGAACGAACGAGTACGACAATAGACTAGATACAATTCTCGGGTAATCGAACCGGTATTGTCGTTCCTGTCCACGACGCATACATGTGGATATGCTGCTGAGCTCGGCTGCTTTAACTCTTATGATAGATGGTAAGTGGACGAAATTTGGGTCCTTCTGTACCTTTTTTATTATCGACTAGAGTATAGTATCATACGCAACGGCCCCCATGTAGAACGCCATTATACATGGCCTACGGTCAAGTATCTATAAAACAGTGCTCGAGCAGCTTTTATAGATGTACATCCAAATATCAGAGTGCCACCATTCTACACCATCTGTCTTCGCATCATGAGGCTTTTTACGCTACTTGGCTGTCTACCGTTCCTGGGTCTGGCAACTGCCCAGCTGATCGGCCCTGTGGGTCCTACAACGCCACTACACGAGAAGAGGCGGATATGCAATGTGCTGGACTTTGGCGCTGTCCCGGACAACTCCACTGATGTGGCTGATGCCCTCGAGTCTGCCTTTAACTACTGCGTGCTTCGGCATCCGGGCAGCCGTCTGGTGATCCCGGAAGGGTCGTACCTTTTGAACCGGTCTGTTGTCCTCAGCAACGCAACAAACTGGGCTTTCCAAGTTGATGGGCTCATCAGTCTCGGATACGGAGGAAATTACACAGTTGCACGTGAGTTGGTCCTGCAGGGCTATGTTGGAGCAGACGTGCTAAACAGCACCATCAACGGCGAGGGTGACGGTCACTTCTTGATAGACGCTCTGGTCATTGTCAATCGTGAGTTTGTCGCCACGCTTCTGCTTCGTTTCCAGGGAGCTGACATGGTATTGCAGCGGTCGACTTTGAGTTTTACTCCGAAACAGGAAGAGGCGCTTTCCAGGGACAAGGCTATCTCTGGCGCAATGCGAACAAGTAAGACTATCCTTTGTCGTAAGATGGTATGTGTACAGCTGATATTTGTCTAGCACTGATCGCCCACGCCTGATCCGCTTGGTCTCGCCCATCAATGCCGTCGTGCACGACCTGATCTTGGTGGACAGCCCCAAGTTCCACATTGTGCTTGACTTTGTCGAGAATGTCGAGGTCTACCACATCACCGTGCGTGGCGCTAATCTGGGCTCATACGACGGTGTCGACATCATCGGCACCAACTACTGGGTCCACGACATCGAGGTCACCAACCGGGACGAGTGTGTCTCGGTTAAGAGCCCGCCTAATCATGGCCTGGCAGAGGACTTGGTTTACAACCAGGCTGGCTCCGGCGTCTCCATTGGCAGTCTGAATGTGTCTGCATCTATTGCAAATATTGTCGGTACCCTGCCGTCGTCCTACTTGGTGCTTAGAACTGACACTCTGTGCAGCACGCACGGAACATTAGCATTATCGGGGGAAACAACATCGCCTTTATCAAGACCTACCCAGGCGGTTCCGGCTACGTGACCAACATAACCTTTGAGAATTTCCGTTCCAAAGCGTCTCAGTACGGCCTCAACATCAACCAGTACTGGCAGAACAAGAACGAACCCGATACCGGCTCGGTGGCCCTGAGCAACCTCATCTTCAGAAACTTTTCCGGTAGGCATCGAGAGCGGACGTGAGAATTGGACGAACGGACGGAAGCTAAACGTTTGCGACAGGTTCTGTGGTCAATGGCGTCAGGAGACCCCCTCTTTACCTAGTGGCCAATGATCTGACCTTTGCTCGGAATGTGACCGTTGAGGACATCTCCATCTGGACCGAGGCCAACGGCTACGTCGTGAACACGATTTCAAAAGTCTTTGGCCAGGGCGACGACTCGTACAGCCCCAACGACGGTCTGAAGACACTTGGCGTTGGTGAGACACCGACGCCATATACCACCGCCATTACCGTGACGGCGACCCCTACGGGCTGGACGTTGCCTCCTTCGCCAACCTGGGCAGTTCCTGACACGGGCTACGGCAGTACGTATCGTCCTTCTTTTCCCCTCTGTTCGCACCGATCAACTGACTCGGTCTCGTGGCCAGCCAACATCCCAATTCCTGTATACGAGCCAACTCCACTATGGAGGCCCTATGGAGATTACAGCTTGCATTATTGGGGCACTTTTTAGATTTGATGAGGTTGTAGTTATTGAAGATGCAGCTTACAACGTCTTTAGCACATGGTATCTTACCTCACAATGGCAACTTCCCTAATGCGTGGGCAGAGAACCGACATGTATTGGTCTCAGAATACAACCAGTCTTTTTTATTAAATCCGGGAAGTATGCACATAAAAAAGCATACACCAATTACTCTGTCAGTAATGGCATTTCCGACGACGTGGTGGACGTCTCGAGACGTTTTAAGGTGAATGCTGTAAACTAGGCTAGACTGGGCAGGAAGTAAAGGTTTGTGGCGTACGGAGTAGAATGGGAAGATACATGTACCCTGTGGCGTATAATGCCCAGACCCACCTATTTAGTAGGGGGTTTTTCATGGAAGAAAAGCATGGGATTTTCTGAAAGGAAGCTAAAGCTAGTGGATGCACTGCGGCAGTGAAAAGTCTGCACAGTGACCTACAAGGTCACGTGCAACAGTTTTCAGCACGTCGGCATTGTCGGAAGTACCTATTCACGAAATACCCATGCTTACCGCCATAAGTCTACTAAAAGATACTTCGGTTTCGGATAGCACCTCCACACTAGTCACATGACGCGCGGTCTTAACAAGTTACCTGTGAAGGTTAAAGGAGGCTATACGTAGCGGTCATATAACGTGATGCACTGTGAGGAGCAGGAGGCTGAATAGGGTCTAGTGTGGGCGAAAGAGTGTTGTGTACTAAGGAAGAAATAGATACATCGCGACCCTTCTGGGGATCCGTATTAATACTAGTGTCAAACCCCGCTTTTGTGCCTTCTGACCAATTACAGGCCAGTACGGCCAAGTGGGGCGGAAGGGCCACAGTGTGGCGGATTCCAATGCTTGACATTACCTAAAGGACTCCATACTCCATGTATGCCCTGGGGTCGTACGAAGTACGGGGTACCCGCACGAGACCCACCACCCCCTACATAGTACGGAGTACGGAGTAGTAGACAAGCGCGGTCGACGCAGAACTTTACCGAGCAGCTAACAAGTGTATTGGCTTCACAAGCTGTAGGATCGTGTTGGTTTACGGTACGAAGTTTAGATTATGGCCTTCAGTAGCATACACTAGGTCCTGCTTTTATTGGACTCGTAACATCGCGAATCTGAGGTCTACAGAGACGCATGAAGAAGAACAGTGCAGTGCGGTTCCCAAGATCTTGGCGGCCGCACCGGATACCGAAGCTCGGACTATACTACTCCGTTCTATATTAGTAGAGCGGAGCCATGCGTTACTGCGATGAATCATGTCGGCCATTCCCACTCCCCTTGATCACAGCCAAGTTCGTTTGTACTTGCATCCTACCGATACAGCTACCGACCTCCTCTGTCTACGACTCTTGCAAGTATGGCTGCTTCTACACGCACAGCACAGCTCATCGCCCTTGTTGGCAGGAGCTCCTCTCCGAGGGTGGGCGCCACCGTCTTGTCTTCGCCTGCACGCCGCCTCTTCCCCGCCGTCCAACATCGGTCCTTTGCCTCATCGCCGGCCCGCGCCGGCCAGCTCGACGGGAAGCGCATTATCGTAACAGTCGGTGCCATGGGCATTGGCGAGTCGGTGGTGCGCGCATATGCGGCCGAGGGTGCCCGCGTTTGGTGTCCATGGATGTCAAGCACAAGCTAGGCCACCGGGTGGCTGAGGAGGTGACGGCCACGGGGCCTGGGTCGGTCGCCTGTCTGCCTGTCGACGTGTCGTCCAAGGTGTCGGTGGCCTCGACGTCATGGTCAACGTGGCCGGCATCCAGAAGCACGCTGTGCCCGAAGACGTATCCGAGGAGCTGGTCGAGGCCATCATGAAGGTCAACCTCTTTGGCACCCTCTACACAAGTTCTGTCGCCTACCACCTCTTCAAGAAGTACGGCGGCGGCGGTGTCATCCTCAACTTTGGCTCCTACGAGGGCCTTACCGCCGGCCACCACAACGCCATCTACGGCGCCACCAAGGGCGGCGTCCACACGTGGACTCGCAGCGTCGCGCGTGAATGGGGCCCTGCCGGCGTGCGTGTTAATGCCGTTCTGCCCTACGTCGCCACCCCTATGTACGACGATTTCATCGGCGCCATGTCGCCCGAGCAGCTCGCTGCCCACAAGCGCGAGCTCAAGGAACAGTTCCCTCTCGGTGGCAACCTCGGCGACCCGCTCAAGGATCTAGGCCCCGTTATGGTCTTCCTCGCTAGCGATGCCTCGCACTGGATGACCGGCCAGTTGTTCCCTGTCGACGGAGGGTACGTTGCAGTTCGTTAGGAGAGCCAGGAGGCATAGTCACGAAAGGAAAAGCCTATAGCACCTCGTTTATAAGAATTATACATATGGAAGTCTAGGATATAGGAAAGGTATAGTCTCGTAATATAGCGTATGATGAGCTTTTATGTATTCATCAACAGCTGTAAATATTTTTTTTTATACTTTTTATATTTGATATTGAGAGTTGCTATTTGCACCGCAAAACTTGGCTATCTGCACCGGATTCCACTGATAAGAAATATGGTACATAGGGTGGGTTTAAGAAAACTTAGTTGATTGGTTAATTTGTTCTGCGCTATACTATAATAGGAATAGACTTACGTTTTTGCCGTAAAAAAAGTTGCTTACTATTACAGAGTACTTTTTACAACGTACGGAGGTCCCTACCAAAAGTTCGTTCTTACTGCTTTTCTATAACTACGGCAATATATAGTGCAGAGTGTAAATTATACGGAGAAAGCTATTAGCAATGATACGCTAGAGCTTAGTGGATATTGTCGCTAATATAATTCAATTACGTATTTTGTTTGCTATAGAGTACAAAGTATAGAGTAAAGAGTACAGAGTACTCTGTACTTAACTAGACAACGGTGCGAGAATATTATTGGCTAAAAGTAGATTTATATTATGGGTTCTTGGGGGTGAAAGCAGGGACCCACCCTATGTACCATATCTCTTATCAGTGGATTACGGTGCAGATAGCCAAATTTTACGGTGCAAATAGCAACTCTCTTGATATTACAAGCTAACAGTGAAGGTTGGGTGAAGGGCCTCAGCTCGGACTACTAAAACAGGACGGCAGGGGTGACTGGCCAGTCTAAAGGGAAAGATGAAGGACGTGCGGGTTTACTTTGGAATCCTACATGGGGAAGCAGATCAATCCCGCGTAGAGAAGGCGTGAGCGTAATTCTGTTGCTGCTTTAATTGCTGCTTTTAAAACAAGTGCACTGTGTAAGAAGGTAGGCAATTGCTTGTGCACTACCCTTCCCTTAATAAAAGAGACAATAGGGTGAAATGCAAAAGCTTGAGAATCGTACACGTGCCCGAAGTAGACCTACTTTTATATTGATACTCTATGCTTTATACGAGCAGATGCCTAGCATAGAGGATAAGATTGAACGGAGTAGAAGCCACATACGTGCAGCACGTTGGCAGGCGATGCGGAAGATATGAGGGTAAATAACGGGCGCCCGAAGCTGATCGCCCCGCGTTAAACGTGATCAAGTTCAGTATTGAGCCGATGAGCTTAGTCCACCTATATGTCGACTTTACCGATGCCTATGTCAGGTATATGCAAGATGTATCGCATGCATCAGATGCCGCGTGATTTTATTTTGTCTAAGAAGTCGACGGCAATTCGCATGTTGCACTTGAAGAACCAGTACCAGAGCCTGAACTCTATAGCCCGGGAGACCAAAAAGAGGCCCACCTGTGGCGATCTATCTACCGCCTTTACCATGCCATCCTTCAAAGTGTTTTGCCGGCTGCATGTTCAGAATACAAATCTAAATACAAAAATTGCAGTATTTGATGCAGAATAACAATATTCATGACCGGTAGGCCTTATGACCCTCACCTTGGCATAATCGTATCCGCACACCTCTCGTCTCCACGCCTTCGGCTTAGCTGGCTGCAGGCGACACATCCGTCGAATGTTCCAGGGCCTCATTCTCGGTCGCACCAGTTATAATAAAGTCGTTTGTTAGGATAGTTCTATACGCGGTCACAACATTGCTCCGTAACCCTGGTAGGCCAGCGACGGTGCCCCTGTAACTCTATTCTATCGACAACCTCGACGATAGCCTACAATATCTAGATTCAAGTACACCTGCCGCTCGATATTATTCATCCACTCCGGTAGCTTTAGCGTCGGTGGTTTAGTGGTAAAATCTGTCGTTGCCATCGACAGGCCCCGGGTTCGATTCCCGGCCGACGCAAGTAATAGAGCCTCTTACCGGCTCTTATTTTTTCCATTCGGCCATTTTGTCAGATATACATACGTCTTATTGTCTTGCCTTTTTGCCCTTGTGGTGTTTGATTACTAAACGAATACGCTCCTAAAACTACTGGTAGGATACAATCTGCAATAGTATATATATCAGACATGTAGTCTCATTTCTCCTTGGACTCTTCTTCAGTTATACAATCGTCGTGGTCCCCTAGCAGAGTCTCAGTTGCGCTCCTCGTCCAGGGACGGTACTTCTCCTCGCACACGTTCCCCAGAACACTGCTTGCCACCTTCCCCTCACCCAGTCCGTACAGCTCCTGGAAGCTCATGATCAGGGGCCTCCAGCGGTCTGGATCCACGCGGTTGGGGTAGCCGGGCATACGTAGACCGTCGTCCATATGCACCCGTAGCACTCGTACCTCTATAGCCGTCGCCAGCCCCACGCAATCGGGAAGGTCCTTGCGAAGAGGGGCGGACTGCACAACCTCACACTCCATCTGTACGGGACACTCAGCCACGCGAAACGGCATCACAAAGTCAGACGGGATTCATGTCAAATTGGCGACGGCCCATTTGTCGTAGACAAAGCGATAGTCGCGCGACCTTTTCGAAGCGGAAACAGGATCGGTTCCCGTTGTGCCAGCAAGGCGATTGATAACAGGGGCCTGGGTGTGATCAACAAGATTGAGAACGCACTGCCCCGTGCGAAGGATGTTGCCGGTTGTCTTGGACTCGGAGTCTAAGCCAAGCATACAGGAGTGGCCGAGCCACCAAGCCGAGGACATAGGAGCCAGGTTGCTGCTGCCATCTTCGTTCAGGGAAGAGATAACCACAACAGGTGTACCCCAGTAAAGGATGGCCGGAGAAATGACGGAGTGCTTCATTGTACTTGGTTTTAATATCGGGGGCAGTCGCTGAAGTCGTGATAATGAGGCAAAGAGAGTTCGAGCTGTTCCTATTCGATGGTGTGTCTATATTGGGCTTTGGAAAGGATTCATCAAGGTCTTTTATATGTCATCCCGGTTCTCGACATCCGATATATTTCCGCGGAGAGTTGAGCAAAGCGACCCATCTCTGACCATGACTCATGACTAGAAACAAAGGAAAATTAGACAGCAACATGCTGTTGTCGATGTTCCTGCATACCATTGGATACTTGTACAGCAAAGGCCCGTATTTCTCTGAATGTACTCCGTAGCTGACCGCGGATTAAACAAAATCGTTAGCCTATTTGCCAATTCCAGAGCAAAAGTGGTCCGCACGCTAGCAAACGGGAAACAAACGGCCGACCGCGGTAGTTGATCATGTTGGCCCGGCGTCGCCACTCTGGCGGGTCGAAAACAATCACGGATTCTTTCTGAGAATCATGTTCGATATTTTGGAGTCTTCATGCAATTGCGCCGGCACTCGAATGGTCAGGCCCAATAGGGCAGGTGCAGCTAGCTACGGAGTGCCTGATTAGTCATCCGGTCGGGTTGTTGTCGGGTCATACGATATGTGCGCCGGTACGGAGTACTGGCCAGTGATCAAGATACACCCGGTGCTGCCACACCTGCAGAGCCCTGGAACCCCGGAAGCTTACAATTTAAGTATGAAGCACGGAACAAAGCACGGAGCAGAGGGCATCTACACTTACGTGTTTTCAATAGGCGACGGGCGTGTCACGTGGGCAAAACACGGCATTAAGCGTTGACAACTATGCGCTTTTTTCGCTGTCATTTTGCCCTGCCGCAGTGTTATCAGCAAAAATCTATTTTCTTCCATCTCGCGTGGATTGACGATGGACCGGAGGAGGGCCAGCGACGGGAGGGACCGCCAAGGAAAACTGCTCACTCTGCACACGTCAGCGCTATTTGACCCAAAATACGGCGGATTTCGCGAGAATATTTCCGTGGTAGTGGATGCGGAGAGCGGATTGATTGTTGAGGTATACGAGCGCGACGGAGACGACACTCTGCAGTGGCTTGGAGAGGGCGACATCGATCTACGTGGCTTATACGTGCTTCCCGGTCTCGTGGATGCACATACGCACATCTTTCTGCATTCATACGAGTGAGCAGCCGTACCGGTGAAGGCCAGAGGCCCCGCGACAACGAGGCATGTCGAGGCTGACAGCAAACAGAGAGGCCGATGCACTGCACCAAAAGCGAGATGAGAGCATAACCGAACGCGTGGTGCGTGGCGTGAACCACTGCCGGGCAGCTCTGCTTGCCGGCTACACGACATACAGGTGCCCAGAGATCGATGTTGCCGCGCTTTTACGGGCAGAGCTGACACTTTCTTCTGATCCACAGGGACCTAGGCTCGGAAGGCATGCAGGACGCCGACACCAATCTACGGGATGTCATTGCACGCGGGCTCATGCCAGGGCCACGTCTCTTTGTGGCCACGCGCGAGCTGGCCAGCACAGGCTCGTTTGAGCTACGCACAGAGAACGCAGGTGGTGGCCATCACGTGCCGCCAGGCCCGGACGTAGCCGATGGCGTGGAGCAGTGCCGACAGGCCGTGCGGCGGCGCATAGCCGCAGGTGCTGATGTGGTGAAGGTGTATGTGGACTACCGACGGCGGGCGATGCGTTATCCGGGCGGCCAGGTATATCCACCACGGAGTCTGAACCCAGAGTGCGTCGTGTTCACGCAGGCCGAGGTTGACACGATCGTGGCCGAGGCCCGGGATGGCCCAGTGTCCTGTGGCTGCACACTGCGGCACTCGAGACGGTGCCCTGATAGCCATAACTGCCGGCGTCACGTCGATCGAGCACGGGACTGCCATCACCGATGACATGCTGCCAACCATGGCGGCCGAAGGCATCATATTCGTGCCGACGCTGGCCGTATACGAGAAGATGCGTCCCCCAGCTTCTGCCGATGCTGCAAGAGCGCGTGAAGAACGCATATGATGCGGGCGTGCGGCTCGCCTGTGGTGGCGACACCGGCACATTTTCCCACGGCGACAACGTGCGCGAGCTCGAGCTCATGATCGAGGCCGGCGTGCCCGTGGCCGACGTCATCGAGTCCTGCACTGTCGGTGGCTGGGAGGCCTGTGGTGGCGAACTCTGTGGGCGGCGCTTCGGCTGGTTCGAGGCTGGCCTGCAGGCAGACATCAGCGCCCTGGACGGTGATCCAGAATAGTACGAGGAGGCCTGTAGCCGGTGCGGCTTTTGCAGGAAAGATGCAGCCGTATGCAAGATGGATGGCAAGTCGATGATCGGTTGAGGATGTAGAAAATGTCAAAGTAGCTACATCGATTGATGGTCCGTTCTGGCTCTACAATAGTTGGTGCGGTGCAGGTCTTTTCCTCACATTTCTCTAAGCTTAGAGAACGATCTATAACGACTGTCACACATACACATCTCGGCTTCTTTACATGACGCAATTGGCGACATCTTTGTAGACCGTCGTCGGAACCCTTATGCTAAATATAAGTAAAAGGCGTCATGAAAGAAACCACAAGGAAAAGAATCAGGGCACTACATCAACTTGCCATCCGCCAAGGCGAAGCTTTACCAAGCGATCTAGAGCTGTAGACCCATCTGCCCGAACGCCGTATTCCTCGAGGTCCCGCAGTATACGGTCAATATAGTAGCCTGTGCCGGAGAGGTGCAGGATGTGAGCAATAGCATGGTGAACGGCTAGCAGCCGTGGTGAGGGGGGGTCGATGGTTCGCGACTCTGTGAGAAATAGAGTTCGGGTAATAGGATAGCCTGGCAGCATCCGTGGCAAGAACGTATTGATGTGGTAGGTGTGGGGCTGTTGGCCGTCCACCGGTTCGAAGAACAGCTTGAAAGAGCCGAAATAATGGTGAAGCGATTTCGTCATCGTAATCGCATTGCGGGGACGATCAATGTCTGTGCCGTCAATCAAGTGTGCAACACCATTATCGAACATATTCAAGATAGCCAAGGCCGCTTGCTTTGAGGGTTCCTGGCCAAGTCATGGGTTTCAGTATGCAGAAACGGGCGATCAACGAGTTAACGAGAAACAAAGAGATCATCGTACCAACTCCTTATTTTTTCTAAGCTGCGTAATAGAATGTGGTATAATGTAAGCAGCTTCGAGAGGGTCAAAGTTCCCAACTTCTAAAGGCTCTCCATCGTCATTTTTTGGCTACGCCATCGGTTCGATCAGCAGTTTCTAACCGCTCTTCTGCCGTATTGCTATCGAAATGCCGAGATATCACACAGCCATGACGGTCACGAATCAAGCACGCACCCCGAAGGGCGGAAAGACGCTCTGGCGTGCCAAGGAAACCCTGACTGTCGCCTTGGGCACGTAGTACGGCTGAATGGGTAGCAAGAGTGGCCTGTGGAGTCTTCCGGGTCGACGCTTTTACTAGGCACAGTCAGCAATGGATGGTAAAACAAGCCGACGATAATCCCATACTCGGCAAGAAGAAATTGTCGAATAGGTAGTCTGCAAAGTCGATCAAGGCATCATGCAGATGTTCTGTATCACCATCCAGGTTGTCCTCCTCTGTGTCCATCGGGAGAGACGCAATCTCGAAGGAGGCTCTCAGAAAGTTGTTTCTTGACTCCTCAGAGCGTGCGTACTCGTACGTTAGCCGTACGAGCTTCACACGGTCGTAATCATTGCTATCGCTGTCGCGACCGTCACCAACGTCAAAACGACTGGTCAAAGCGGCAAAGCGCCGACTGGCCAAAACATGCTGGGCAGGTCTGTTTGAAGGCTGTTGTGAGAAGTCAATGGTACTATCAAGTGAAGCTTGATGTTGATGAGGAGCTATTTTCCGACGACTCTGCTAGCACCTTTTCTGCAAGCTGCTTTGACATTTGCTTCAGTATCTATCACGATGAAAAGTTCCGGACGCATCTTCTGCCATAATCCCAATGATTCAACAACAGTTGCCTACGTAGACTCCACAGTGATGTGCTTATGGAAATATATTTCTCCGTCATCCTTGAAAATTAGTATTACTCAGCAGGGGTTGGCGTATCACGGCAAATTAGTCGCGTCTTCCACGAAAGTTTGGGCCTGTAACCCTGCAAAAAGCTCACAACGCATCACCAACTCTGCCGGCGTACCAACATCAGCAACCATTCCGTTGTGTAGCACTACAACACGGTCATATTCCATCACTGCCTCAAGCCTGTGGTTGATAGCAATAAGTGTCCTTCCGTTTAGACGGGCTCTGATCAACATCTCCATCTTCTCTTCCGTTCTTCTTGTCGACGCTGCAGTACGACAAACAGCTGTCAGTACACAATAACAGCGACTGTATTAATCATCAAAGCACGCCTTATAACATACCTGCTTGCAGCTTTGGTCGAGCAACCCGATTACGCCCCATTCCGGCCCACCACTTGGGATTTCCTCTGCATGTCTAGGATCACACGGTCAACGCTCAGCAGCTCGCCATCTCCTGCCCAAAATTTTACTTCTCCCCCTGCAGGCCATTGGTCCTCCGGGTGTGCTCAGCCATATGTCTAAAACGCCTGTGCCCCGCAGAATGCTTTCAAAACTCTCGTCTGATCCGGCCTCAATGGGGTTTAGCTGCTGGCGCAAATGATCGAAGCCCTCCAGGCTGTCTTGGGAAATGGCGTAGAAGCCCTTTCGAAGAGCCTCCAGGGAAATGTTGGAGTGGTCTATCCCATCGATGAAGATAGATCCAATCGGCATATTGACCATCCGCAGCAGCGCCAGATGCATTGTTGACTTGCCAGAGCCCGTCTTTCCGCATACAGCGATGCGTTCACCGGGCTTTACGTCTAGACTGACGCCTCGGAGACTCCATTCTCGGCCGAGATGCGAGGAGTCTCGGTCCAATCCCCCAGTCCAACCAGCCTTTGCATCGTACGTTCCCCAAACATTCTCAAAGCGTAGGGCGCCGCTGCCAGGACCACGAACGGCCTCGGCTTCCAGAGGGACTCCTGACTCCAGGCTGCCGCTGTCTTCTTCGGCTGGTCTCTCGCCTTCAAAGAGTGTTATACGGGCTATGGCGCCCAACGAAGTCTCGAGACCCGTCCAGGCGACGACAAACTGCGTCATGGTTTCGCCAAGGGTTACGGCATTCAAGAAAGCCACGCCAACGGCACCAGGACTAACTTCTAGTCGTCCAGATATTGCAATTTCGTCAAAGCTAGGGGCTCAGGAGATCCCTGTGGCTCTGGTCGAGCTAAACCCTAAAACTCTGCAAAATCCAGTCAACGCATATATAGACCACAAGCTCAAAAGTCTACCTCGCTCACAAGGCTACACAGAATCGACGTTAGCTCAGATATCGGTGGAGATGCACGATCGTGTGATGAACACATTTCTTTGGGCAGCTCTCGTGTTTAAGAAGCTTAATAGCACCAACGGTGTGGATGCTGTTAGGACTATCCAAAAAATGCCTGCCGACTTGTTAGCTCTGTACCAGTACATGTTGACTAAAGTCGAGGCGGAGGACGAGCTAGATAGGCAGCGCTGCAAGAAGGTACTAGCAGTTACATTCCTTGCGTAGCGACTGCTCTCTCTCGCCGAGCTCGCTGCCCTCGCCAGTTTGCCCGCAGACCTAAATCCGGAATGGACAATTGACAAATGCAGCTCGTTTTTGACACTCGATTCAGGAAAGGTCTATCCTATTCATCAGTCTGCCAAGGACTTTCTGTTTGGGGCCTCTCGGATCTTCCCGTTGGGTATGAGGCAAGGCCACCACGAGATCGTTTCTATTTCGCTGAAGATTCTTTCGGAGATTCTTAGACGCGATATGTGCAATCTTAAAGCTCCCGGATCTTCCATCGAACAGGTTACTGTGGAGGATCTTGCTCCACTTGAAGCGGTTCGGTACTTCTGTGTCCACTGGGTCGACCACCTCTGTGACTGGATGTCCGGCTTAATGACGGAACAGGAGGACCTACAAGATAGCGGCGCAGTCTACACATTTCTGAAAGGGGGGTATCTTTACTGGCTTGAGGCTCTAAGTATCATCAGAAGTATTTCAAACGGAGTGACTGCAATGAATAAGCTTAAGACCATTGTGAAGGACATGGTGAGTAACGATTGACAGTCTTGGTATCAGCGTCAATTACTAATGTAACGACAGAGAAACGACATAGGGCAGCAATTGGCAGATTTGGTAGAAGACGCATGGCGGTTCATTCTGTCCTACAGATGGATCATAGAAAGAGCACCACTCCAAACTTACGCGTCGGCGCTTACTTTCAGTCCGGTCAACAGCAAAGTACGACAGCTGTTCAGAGCCGAAGAGCCAACTTGGATCACAGTGAAGCCTGACGTGGAACCGAACTGGGGTGCATGCCTCCAAACTCTCTGGAGTCATAACAGCTTTGTTTTTGCAGTGGCTTTCTCGCCTGATGGCAAGCAACTAGCATCTGGGTCGTCTGATAACGATCTGAAGTTGTGGGACGTGAACTCTGGAATTTGCCTCCGGACTTCCAACGGTCACAACGGCACGGTCCATTCGGCGGCTTTCTCGACAGACGGCAAAATTCTTGTATTCGGTTCATCCGACGAGACTGTTAAGTTGTGGGATGTAGCCAATGATGTTTGCTTCAAAACTCTCCAGGTCCATAATGAGGTTCTTGTGGTAACCGTTTCACCCAACAACAAACTAATCGCAGCCGGTTCAGATGACAACACATTAGAAATACGGGATATAGCCTCGGGTGATCACACTCATTTACTGAAAGGCCACAGTACTTCGAGCATATTAGTTACATTTTCACCTGATGGCAAACAGCTGGCATCAGTATCAAAGGACAATACCATTAATCTTTGGGATTCCGCATTAGGCATATGCACAAGTACTCTTCGAGGTATAGATCATGTTTCGGACTATACGGCAACTCACTGGTCTGATGGCAAGCTCCTAGCCTTAGTGGAGGGTTACAACATCAAGGTCTGGGACGTAGCTTCGGCAAAATGCACACAAACAGTTAAGAGTTCGGGTCCTGTCCAGTCCGTGCTTCTTTCGCAAGATAGCCGGTATCTAGCAACTTTACAAAACGATTCAGATATCAGGATATATGACATATCCTCAGGAAAAGAGCAGATACTTCAGGGGCACAGCAGCTGGATAACGTCCATTGCCTTCTCACCCACCGAAAAACTACTTGCATCAGCTTCGGATGACACCATTAAGCTCTGGAATACCTCTTTGGCCCCATACACACAAGCGTCCGAAGGACATCGATATAAGGCTATTTCGATAGCGATTTCGCCCGGAAGCAAATATCTTGCATCGGTGTCAAGGGACCACACCCTTAAACTCTGGGAATTCGCCTCAGGAAAATGCGTGTTGACGTCTCAATCATTCTTTTCTGCGATCTTTTCGCAAGATGGGCAAAAATTAGTACTTGTACCGGGAGACAAGATTGTCGACCTTACGATCTGGGATTTAATCCTAAAGAAAAGTGTGTATGTACTGAAAGGCGAGCATGATCACAGTGTGCTTTCCTTGGTGATCTTCTCACCGAGCAGCAAGCAAGTAGCTGTGGCTAAAGGTAATCTGGTCGCGCTTTCACATACGAACTCAGGAACATGCATGTGCACACTACGTGGCCATGTCGATTCTGTCTGTTCCTTAGCCTATTCACGAGACGGAAGACAGCTTGCATCGGCTTCGGATAGTGGGGCTATCAAAATTTGGGATACATCCTCTGGCACCTGTAGCCAGGCAATCGAGAATCATGGTAAAGAGGTGGCTTTCACTCCCTCTTTGGATCTATCCCCATTTATTCCCAACCGAAGGGACGACGGTATAGCCTTTTCGCCCGACGGTAAAAAACTCGCGTCCATCTCGGGTGTCATTGTCCATCTCTGGGATAGTACGTCGGGGGAATGGATCCAGAAGTTTGAACTATCAGAGCCAGCCCATTCGGTTGTCTATTCGCCAGATGGCAAGCGGCTAGCCGTTGTCATTGGACCCTTACCCTCCCTCTTCGATACTGTCACACTCTTAGACATCGCCTTGAGAAGACACACGCAGATCACAGGCGTTGGTATGCGGTCGTCGAGATTGGCATTTGATGGCACTGACAATAGTCGTCTACTTACCGGAGCTGGGTGTATTACCATACCGACGGTGACGTCAGAATCTGCCGATCTAGCCGATACACAGCAGCACTTGCATGCGCAGCACCTTGGATTTGACTTTAGCATGGATCGTTGCTGGATCACTTGTGACGGCCAGAATGTCTTGTGGCTACCTCCCGAGTACCGGCCTGGAAATGAAGATTTTTCCCACACGGGTGCGGCAGCAGTGTCGGGGCGTTCAATCGGCATCGGTTGTGCATCAGGCCGAGTTCTGTTCATGTCTTTCTCGTCAGATCAGTGACTGCTGCGAAATATATAGGTCTTGCTTTCTTTTTCCCATGTTGGAATTCCGTGACTGGGCGTGCCACATAGAAAGCTCCGAGAATCGGTGAATAGAATAACCTGTTGTAGTCCTTGCATAGACGATATGTCAGACTCTTATCAGCGATGTCTAGCGCCATCATCATCTGCCGTCGATCACGCCAGCTCGCTGCCAGCTTTCGTGACATACGAGTACACCACTTGATGACACGGCAATGTTCGGTTGCTCTCTCTCGTCTACACAATAAAACAGGCTGATTCGATGGCGTCCACCGACAACCGCATTGATCCCCAAGCCGCCTGGCGCTACGCGAAAGAGCTTCCGGCCGATGCCAAGGGATTGGAGAAGGCCTGGAAGCTGTTGGAGACGTACAGCGACATACCGTCCGACCAGGTGGCCGCACACATCACAGCCGTTGTGAGTGGTGCTGCGTTTATGCCGGGCCATCTTCCAAGTTGCTGATCAGACTGCAGAGACAAGGCTTATGCCGTCTTCCCCTACCCGTGTCTTAGTCGCTGGCGCTTTCTGGACCTGTACCTGGCTGTGCGCCCAGAGTATCCAGACATCCTGAAGCGGCTGCTTTCCGGTGACCGGCTTCTGGACGCCGGATGTTGCTTCGGCCAGGTCCTGCGGCAGCTCATCTATGACGGCGCGCCACCCGAAAGCGTTGCCGGCACCGATCTGCGGCCTGAGTTCATCGAGCTCGGCTATGAGCTCTTCCAAGACCGCAGCGCCCTGCCTGCATCGACCTTTGTCACCGGCGATATCTTTGCGGCCAGTTCGCCCGACGGAAACGACTCGCTCGCCCGTCTTGACGGCCGGTTCGGCATTCTACACACCGCCAGCTTCTTTCACCTGTTCGACTGGGATGACCAGGTGCGCATTGGCGAGCGCATCGTGCGCTTCTTCCGGCCCGACGTCCGCGAGCCTCTCGTCCTCGGTCGCCAGGTCGGCAACCGCCATGCCCAGGCCATCGAGAACATGTCCCGCACCGGCGAGATCTACCGCTACAATCCCGCGTCCATGCAGCGTCTCTGGGACGAGATCGGCGCCCGCACCGGAACACGCTGGTCCGTAGCTGCCACCATGGTCGACCCCAATGACGATTCGGAGGAGGAGTTCAAGCGTATTCTGATACAGTTCGCCGTGACCAAGGCAGCATGAGGGGATGCTATCTTAGATCGTTACAGGGGTGTTTGCAGCCTTCGTCTGGGAATTCTTTGCGGTTTGTCTTCTGGGATTCAATCGTTAACGTGACTCTCGACCTATATTTCAGGCCCCAGAACTATTTATGGCGGTGCGCAAGTTGTAAACACACTTGGAAACATGGGCCAATGTGTCAGATGCGACGTTCTTAGCAGTATCACATTTGGTCCGAATAGCATTTAGTTCCCCGGGGTATTGTTACCTGAGGATATGGCAATTGTCGTTCAGACCAATGTGTGGCTTACTCTATATAATCTGATAAATTCCCAACACTTGCACTACATGACAGGCCATTTCGTAAATCTGAGTAAACCAAGGCAGGCTGACAGCAGTGGTTCAAGTCAAGGCTCAGACCCGTAGCAAGATTCGTCTCTTTTATTGTAGTTGTTCGTTAAGTATGGCTATTTCAATGAACCAGCCTCATTATCCGCCATCTCGTGACTGCGTCATTCCGGTCATAGTCGATGCTTATCAAGGTCCATCGCACTTTGAGTTATGCAGCACGGACCGGATTCAGAAAAACGTTCAGTTTCGGCTTTTTCCACAAAATGAAAGCCGTGCTCTTTTTTAACCAGTCGAAATCGGGGTCTGCCAGTTGCAAGTCAAAGTTGAAGATTATGCGGGCCAGTATGAGGCGCATTTCAGCATAAGCAAGACTGTATTGTCAGCATCTGAGCCAAAAGCTACCAGCAGAAGAGCGAAACATACTTGCGGCCGAGGCAGTTTCTTGGACCGACGCTAAAGGGTTGCATCGCCTCTAGGCGATCTCGCGTGTTTGGATTGTCCTCGAGGAAGCGTTCTGGGCTGTATTTCCACGGGTCCTCCCAATTCTCAGGCATGTGGTTCATGGCCCATTGCCAGCATGCCACAACGGTCTGCATCGATCCTCTGTTAGCGTGCAAACACAATTATTCGTCTTCGGCTACGATTACATACACCTTGTGGAACAAAGTGACCAGCAATATTGCTGCCACCCTTTGGCACAACGCGCGGTAATCCGAAAACAACAGGCGGGTAGCAACGAAGTGCCTCGTTAAGGCAAGCCAGCATGTAGGTCAGTTTGTTGACAGATAGTAGTGTGATCTCTTCTTCCGAGGAGAAGCTGGACCGTACCTCTGCCGCTAACTTGGCCATGGACTGCGGATTATTCAGCAAGAGGTAGGTTACGCCAGAGAGAAGGGTAGCCGTGGTCCCGGATCCTGCCAAAACCAGAAGGCTAGCATTGGTAGTCAAACACGCCAAAGCAAGCGGCTAAGCTTTGTTAGTGCAACTCTTGCGAAAGATTCGGTAGCATTGCCTTACCTGGCCTTGTTTCTTTTGTATTAGTCCATCGAGAAAGTCGGAACGCTCTATTTGGAGCTCCATACGCCGCTTTACGCGCTCTTGGCTGAAAGCCAGCGCATCCTTGCGCCCAGGCATGATGAGATGAAGCATCAACACCATAGGCGCTCCTTAGTGCAGCATCTTAGCAGCTACAAACATGCCGGCCGTCTTGATTGAGTCCATGATGGCTGTGATCCAGGGATGGTAGACGGCGTTATCCAGACAGCCAAAAGACTCCCCAAAAGCCAGGTCCCCGATAATGTCAAAAGTGGTCCAGTTGTACCATGTGTTCATATCTTGAACTTGAAGCTTAAGCGTCTGCGTGCTGTCGCTGATGTCATTCTCGGAGAGGGTAACGTCCTTGGTCGAGGTCCAGCACTTCTCGTGTAAGCGGCGAATTAGCAGTTGCACGTAGCTAACAATGAGGGACTCCTGTTCGCGCATAGCCCGTTCACTGAAACCGTGGGACATTAACCTCCGCAGCTTCGTGTGATTCGCCCGAGACTCAGCAACAATAGAGACAGGAATGCCTGGTGTCCGGAAAAACAGATCGAGCTTCGGCATCTCCTCTTTCCCTGCCAGTGGATCTGTCCGGTGGCCATAGATATCCTTCCAGGCCTCGGGATCGGAAAACGCCAGCTGATCGGGCGCAATTCGGACTACGGGGCCATACTTCGTATGCCAGGCAAGAACGTGATGTGGCAAGTTTCCACGCACAAGCCTGAGGGCAAAGGCCAGTTTGGTGGCTCTGTACAAGATTGGACCGGGGTATTTGCGAAGAGGGTGGAGGAAGAGGTTGTAAACGATAGATCCAGAGGCTAGGAGGAACGCCTGCCAATACTGTCAGATTCTGGGAACGGAAGCCTTAATAAGATCCCAAAAGAAAGAGAGGAAGAGAAAGATAATCATACCATGCCAATTGCAGCACCGGCAATTATGCCAAAGTCATAGTTTGTGTATCTTGGAGCTTCCATCATTGCGAGACGATGTGAAGAGTTTGAACAGAAGTAGGATCACAGAACGATATGTTACCATTTCTCTTGTTTAAATACTAATCTAGTCACTAATAATAACTTTACATCTTTCTTTTGTTATATCTCTGCAGTGCAATACAGATAATCCAAGCAACTGCGGGAGAGCCTGTTCCGTTCAGAAGAAAGCAGAGTGGGGACCGGTGTAGACGCCTCCCGATTAGCTTCTCACTCCGGGTGAGAGGACTGCATAACGGGATGGGGCGAAATCAACATCCGAGCAGAGTTATGCTTTCATTGTGTCGCCCACGAATGTGTGCAAGATTGCAATGATCGAGACTGGTCGGCGCAGCTGTGTATCACGTCGTACTGTTGGTGATATGCTGGAACATCTGTTTTCGGTCACGTGGTAATATGGAGAGCTGTGCGCAATTTGCAACGAATTTGAGATGACAAGAAGCGAAAACGGAAGCAGCTCTCTTAGCATCCTCCTACATTTCTCAGCTCCGAGCGTACGCACGTAATGTCCTTATTACTCCGGACTCTGTACGCTACGGGTTCGTAGCTGCACCAGCGCGGCGGGGCAGGTGCGACCGGGCCGTGCCACCTGACTTTGGCGATAGGCGATAGGTGCAATTCAGAAAATCCGACCCCTGTATTCGCTCTACGGAGGCGTCCCAAATTCATCTACGTCAATCAGAAACCAACAAGAGAGGCCGTTTGTGCATCGACGGCATCAGCAGCAGCAGCAGCAGCAGTCCGTCGTCGCAACTCTTTCTGCCTTGCATTGGTATGGCCTTCAGGGCCAAGGACGTCGTTCTTGCAGGACTGGCCAGCTTTGTGGCCTGGGGCTATGCCACGCACTGGTTTCCGGCCATTCGGTTTGCGGGTCATGGCATCGTCGTGGGGGCGTTGCTGACGGGCGCCGGCCTGCTGGCCCTGGCGACGCTGACCGTACGAGGGCCTCTGTACGGGCCGGGCATAGCGGAGGCAGCAGCAGCAGAAACGACTGCGACCTCGACCTCAGCCTCGACCTCGACCTCCTCAAAAGCCGCAGCGATGGCAGCGATCCGGATTTCTCGACGGCCACGCGGCGTTGCGTTTGTCTCGCCCGAGCACTGGCCCGGCGAGGTGGCAGCGTTGCGTGCCCACAGCGACTACAGCCCGATACCACTGTACCCGCAGTCTCCAAGGGTCTCGGCAGCCCTCGACGAGCTGCTGGAGAACATCCTCCGAACCTACATCCGGTCCTGGTACGCCAGCATCGGACCCAGCGCCGTGTTCCCGAATGCGGTGGATGCGACGATCCGTGTGGCTCTTGGCAGCCTCCGCGACCGGCTGCTCGCGGTGGACGACGTGGTGGAAGTGCTCACAGGCCGATTGGTGCCGATCCTGACGGCGCATTTCCACGACTTCAACGAGGCCGAACGGGCAGTCCGTGGGCGCAAGCTCAACCGGTCAGTAACCGAGTCGGACGAGCTTGACCTCGCAATTGCGGCAAAGTACCGCGACAACCGCATCAGCCGCGGGGCTGTAGGCGGCGGTCTGCATCCGGCGGCCAGCCTCTCGTACTCGGACACCAACACGCGGCTCGTCCGCCAGGACTACCTGCGCCGGCTTGTGGCCAGCCGGCTGCTACCCCAGCTGCTGCCGGCCAGCTTCCTCGCCAGCCGTCCGGTTGCGGCACTCGTGCGCGAGATCGTCGCCTGCGCGGTGCTCTACCCCGTGATGCAGCTGCTGGCCGAACCGGACACGTGGAATCAGCTGATGGAGAACTACGGCCGCACCATGCTGCAGGACCGGTCGACCGTGCGAAAGCTGCGTGCCGCCCTCGACCAGCACGCCTCTCCGGTCCCGCGATCGAACCGGCCGACGACGGCGTTTCCCCGACTTGCCGTGGGCGACAGCGAGCGCCGGTTCGAGCGATTTGTGCGTTCGGTCCGCAAGGTCAACAACCTCTCGGATGCCCGACGTTTCCGCAGCGAGGTAGCCAGTCAGCTCAAGCGCGACCTGCAAAGCCAGCAGCTACAGCAGCTGCAGTACCTACAGCGGCAGCAGCTGGGGACAGCAGGCCCGGCAGCAGAGAGCCAGGATCAGGCTGTATACCTCCGGCGTCTGGACATGTGCAAGCGGCTGCTCGACCAGAAGGTACAGTACCTGGCAGCCGGTGGTGACCGACGCACGAACGGCAGCAGCGACATGTCGTCGAGCGGCGCCACAGGCATGGGCCAGGGTCCTGGGCCCATTGGCATCGGCTTGGGAGGCGGAGCAGCGACAAATCAAATGCCTGCGGTTTCGCGGCTGGAAATGGCCAGTCTTGGCGAGCTACTGCGGGACGCAGCAGGCATGTCGTACTTTATGGAGTACATGGACCGACAGCGGATGCTGCCTCTGGTGCAGTTTTGGCTGGTGGTGGACGGGTTCCGCAACCCGCTGGAGGACGAGGACGATGACGCGGATGGCGACGCGAACAACGAGCCACTGCCGTCGTCGCTGCCAGCATGGACAGACTCGGACCGGCTCGACCTGGCGCAGATCGACCAGGCGTACCTGGTGCGGCCAGAGCTGCACATCCCCGAGACGTCGCGCCGCGCAGTGCAGGTATTTCTCGAAGCGGGCACGGGCGCTACGCCGGCGCAGTACTACCGGGCACGACGGGCGATTCTGCAGTGCCAGACGACTGTGCTGGAGGAGATGAAGGCGAAGTACTTCCAGGGATTCAAGAGGTCAGACCTGTTCTACAAGTGTCTGGCAGCCGAGGAGGCGGCACAGACAAACAGCAGCAGCAGCATGTCGACGCCGTCGCCTGCGAGACCCGCATGGCCTGCCAAGCCGTCGAGGCCGGCGAGTCGCGCAGAGGAGCGAGCACCGACGCTGCCGACTTCTGTGGGCACAGCGTCACAAGCAGCCGTCAAGACGACCCCCACCAGCAGACTGCGGACAAAGCTGCAGCCGACGCGACGGGCAGAATCGTCGACGGACCTACGGGCTACAGCCACGACGGCGGCAGCAGCAGTGGCATCGAGCAACGGCAATGGCCATGGAATGGGTAACGGAAACGGCAACGACTTTCTCTTCGCCGGAGAGAGACATGGCAACCCGAGCGTGCGACGATCATTGGACGAGCGACGAACGCCGTCACCGTTGTTTGGCGACGACGACGACTTCTTCAGCAGTGCAGGTGGCAGCAATAACAGTCACAGTATCAACCATAATACTAATAACAACGAGCACGACGTCTTGGCCGATTCGGTGCAGAGCCTCGACCAGACGGAGGTGCCACACACAGAGGTGCTGGACACCAAAGTGGTGGAGGCAGTGGAGGAGGCCCTAACGAACATTATGGAGGACAGGCCACCAACAACGGCGGCAGATCTGAGAGCATCGCTGTTCGGCACGGACGATAGTGTTGGCGGTGGAGGTGGCGGTGGTGGTGGCGGCGGGTCTAGCATCTTCTCCGGTATGGACGGAGGGGAGAGCAGGGAGAGCCCACGCGGCTCAGTGGATCTGCAACGACGCAGCAGCCCGCCAGCTCCACGCAAGGAGACGGAGAAGCCGAGCATCGCGTCGCTGGGGCTAGTCAGCGCGGCATCGCGGATCGGAGTGTTTGAGGACGACGACCTTTTTGGCGACGAGGGCAAGTACCTGTCAGACGAGGAGGAAGACGGGGCGGAAGGAGGTGGTGGTGGTGGCAACGGTGGTGCACGCGAGGGTATGGAGAAGGGCAGCAAGGAGGAGGACGAGGAAACGGTGCACGAAGCGGCACCAGGCGACCTGGGGCTGGCAGAGGCGATCACGGCGCTGACAGACGACATTGAGCGGCTGGCAGCACAAGATGCGGTGGTGGACTCGCTGCTGCGAAAGGCGGAGCTGACGAACAACACGGCAGAGCTGCGGATCCTGCGCAAGTCCAAGTCGAGCCTGCAGCGGGAGATGCGGCGCAAAGAGCTGCAGCGACAGCAATACGTGGTGCAGGAGAGCGACAACAGCCTGTTCGGACGGGCGACGGTGCAGCTGACAACGATTCAGGTGGGCCACGACGAGGCTCACGGCGGCAAAGAGTACGCGCGATACGCGATCGAGGTGCAGCGAGCAGCAGGCGAGACGGTGCCGGCAGCAGTGTGGGCAGTGTGGCGACGGTACAGCGAGTTCTGGGCGCTGCACCAGCGACTGCGGGCGCGTTATCCATCAGTGCGGTCGTTGGACTTTCCGCGGCGCCGTGTGATCATGATGAAGCTGCAGGGCGATTTTCTGCAGAAGCGGCGGGCGGCCCTGGAGCGCTACTTGCGGGCGCTGCTGCTGCTGCCAGACGTCTGTCGGAGCCGCGATCTGCGAGCATTTCTGTCGCAGCGGGTGATTGGCCACGGTGGAGGTGGAAGAGGGGAAGGAGGAGGAGGAGGAGGAGGAGGGGGAGGGGGAGAGGATGGGGAGGGCAACAAAGACGTGATGTCGCGACTCTACGAATCGGTGGCCGACGGGGTGGAAGACATTCTGGGCAGCATTCCGGTGCTGGATCAGCTTTCGTTGGCAGGACAGAGCCTGATTGCAGCAGCGACGAGCCAGCTGCAGGGAGGAGGAGGAGGAACAGGAACAGGAGGAGAAAGATCTTCAGTGGCAACAGTGGGCGAGTCGGCCGAAGCAGCAGCCGAACTGGCCGCGTTCGAAGAGCAGACGGGCAGCAACAACAGCGGCAATAACGAGAACGAGGGCCAGACGCTGCTGGAAGCGGCTGAAGCGCCGCCGTTTGTCAAGCCGATCTGCGACATCTTTCTCGAAGTCTTTGAGCTGAACCGGGGCAACAACTGGCTCCGGGGTCGGGCAGTGGTGGTGGTGCTGCACCAGCTACTAGGCGGCACGATCGAGCGGAAGCTGCGCGAGAATGTGCGGCTGGCCGTACAGGAAGAAGACGCGCTGCTGCGGTATCTTGCCTTGGTTCAGGAAACGCTGTTTGGGGGAGCAGCCTCGCCTGGCCGCACGACGGCCCAGAAGACGCGCACACGCACAGAAGCCGGTCTGATGCTGGCCACACTGGTGCCTGACTTGGCCGGAAGCGTGGTCGGCCGGCTGAACGCACAGGCGGCCAGCCGACGCATCTTTGCCACGTTTAACAACAGTCGATTGAAGTGAGTTTTTTCTGTCTTTCTCTCTCTTTCTCTCTCTCTTTCTCTCTTTCTCTTTCTTTCTCTCTCTTTCTCTCTCTCTTTCTCTCTCTCTTCTCTCTTTCTCTCTTTCTTTCTCTTTCTTTCTCTCTCTTTCTCTCTCTCTCTCTCTTTCTCTCTCTCTTTCCCCCTCCCTCTCTCCTCCTGCTAACCTTCAGTGCCCACCTCGCCTTCACGCTACTCGACGAGATCGTGGACATTCTCTTTGGCGACCTCCGAGGCGTGGCCTGAGACGCTGCATGCTTCGGCTGGCCTCGTCATCGTCGCCTGTTTCAATATAATATCATCCAAGACAAGCCTGCGTTGCGTAATCGGTCTAGACCGTCGCTCTTGTCCTAGCCCGTGTCTCTGCCTAATCCGAGAATTGAATGCAGATTCTTGCCGACATCTTCCATGTGGACTCGTAGCAGCCGCCCTGCTGTGACCCACTGAATACACCCGTGTCCAATCAGACGCCCTGGATCGAGGTGTGGGTAAGTGATAGACACCATCAGCTGTGCTCGTAGCTGAGCGGCTAGCCCCATGCTGCTTCCCCGCCCCTAAAGAGCAGCGCATCACAGTTCCGTGCCCCCCTGCTAGGCGCCTGGATTATAGAAGGGGGGGGGGGCAGCTACACGCAGCAGCGGCCGTTGCTGGGATCGCCACTGCCACTTTTTTTTTTTTTTCGTTGTTTTGCCGGGTGGGGTTCCTCTTTTTTTTTTCATTATTATTTCGTATTAAATTTTTAGTCGTTAGCCTCTTTGGACGACTGACCGCCTGCCCGTTCTGCCCCATTGTCCCCATTCGCCCTCTTCTCCTCGCTTCTGCCCATTTTCGTCAGCTGCACGCCGCCTCTCCCAACTCCCATCTCCCAACCTGACCTTGTTCGGGCTCCTGTCCTTTCGTTTCCATCTCCATTTCTCTTTTCTTTTTTTTCTTCGCCTGCATACGCTCCTGTCGTCCGGTGGCTGGCGACATTGCTTCTGCCTTTCGCCTTTCCTGCTGCTCGGGTCGTCGTCGTCTTCCCCACGGCGTCTCTTGTTTGGCTTCGATCCAGCTCGCGATTCTCGAGCTAGCTGCTCGTCCTCGAGCTCCCCTGCCGCGATGTCGACCACGCCCGGCACCATCTCCAACACGCCGGCGCCGTCCCATCCGGCCAACGAGGTGTCCAACACCCGTCTGTACCTGGGCAATCTGCCACGAAATGGTAAGCTGGGATTCGGTGTTTTGGTGTTCTGGTGTTCTGCTGCCACCATTCACACTCAAAATCACATACTCACACTCCCAGTCACCCGATCGGACGTCGAGAGCCACTTCAACAAACATGGCACCGGCGAGATCCTCGACATCAAGCTCATGAACGGCTTCGGCTTCATCGAGTACCGCGACGCCATGGATGCCCGTGACGTCGTTCCCGCCTTCCACGGCTCCGACTTTATGGGCGAGCGCCTGACCGTGCAATTTGCGCGTGGACGTCGTGGCGAAGGTGGCGGACCCGGCGGCGGACCCGGTGGTGGTCTGGGCGGTGGTCCTAACCACGGCCCCGGCGGCGGCGGTCTCGGCCACGGTCCCTATGGCGGCGGCGGTGGTGGTGGTCCTGGTGGTGGTGGCTACAACAGCCACGATCGTCCGCCGCCGCGGCCTAGACGCACAGCCCATCGCATGGCCATCACGGGGCTGCCCAACGATACCAGCTGGCAGGTCGGTCGATCCATTCTCTTCCTCTCCTCTTCTTCGTCCTTGTCGTCTGTGTCCTCCAACCCCAACGTTCAACGTTCTTCCCTCGAGGATGGGCCAGCCTCTCTTGTCTCTCTCTCTTGTCGGCTCGTCTCTTGGATTGTCCTTTGCCCAACCAGATGCTGGAACGGCCGTCACCGTGAAATATGCTCCTCCGCTCCGTCGCCATCGCTGGCTCTCTCTTCGGTTTCTTCTCTCTATCGCTTCCCTGAAGGAGCTTGGTGAACTGGCCGGTTGCCTTTCCCCTGGTTGTTGGTATGCTGGTAATCCTGGTCCTGTACTGTCCTAGGCCGGTTTGAACAGCACTCTTCTTGTTTTGTGCCCCCCCCCCCCCCCTCCCCCCTTCCTGTCCTGTGTGAGAATGGCCTCTGGCCTGTGGCTACTGGAAAAGAATGTCTCCCTCTCTTTGACTGGCCAACCCACGTAGATATTCGGCCAGGACGTCCGCTCCTCTTCCGTCGAACACAAGGCACCAGCTCCACCTTCTCCAGGATAACCAACTTACACGGACTCTGGACTACAGGATCTCAAAGACTTTGCTCGTCGCTCCGGATTGGAAGTCGTCTTCTCCGAGACCAACCGGTTCGGTGATGGGTGGGTCTTCTCTCCTTCTCCCTCGTTGCTCTGTCATTTCTCGGCTCCCTGACAACGGCTTTAGGAGCGTCGAATTCGAGTCCGCCCAGGATCTGGCCACTGCTATTGAGAAGCTTGACAACACAGAATTCAGAGACAAGATCGTCACATGTTCCGTCGGCGTAAGTTTGGCCGTCTCCGATCTCTCGGCCTCGGCCTCGGTCTGCCTGCTGACAATGTACTCCCAGGTTTTCACGGATATGCCGCCTCGCGATGGCCGCGGACGCTCGCGATCGCCTCATCCGGGCCGTCGACCGTATGGCATGCCGCCTCGCGACGACTACGACCATCGCCGTGGCCCTCCGCCTCCGCCGCGTGGCTACAGCCCATCGCGTCGTGGCGAGGCTGCCTATCGCGAGAGCTACCGCGACCGCAGCCCTCCGCCGCGCCGGGAGTACTTTGACGACCGCATGCACTACCCGACATCGCCGCGTCGCGGCCCCGTCGAGGACTACCCGCCGCCGTCCCGCCGCTACGATGACCCCTACCGTCGCGAGTACCCCCCTAGCGATCCGTATGCGAACAACCGGGCTCCTTACGGCCGTCCACCGCCGCCCCGGGACTTCCCTCCCCGTGACGTGGGATACCCGCGTGAAGGAGGCTATTCGCGCGACTATGACCGGCGCTACTGGTAAACCGCGAGATTCCTTACCCTCCTGTTTCTGCACCTCTCCTCTTCCTTGCCTGTTTTTGTTGGCACCGCCTTGACCTGACGGTGTAGAATTGCCCTCAGAGACGGGTGAGCCTATGCTCGAGGACCCGATCGGCACATTCGGCAGGACATGCGTGGATTCTTTCTTCCTCTCCGACAAGTACTCCGTGCGGCCGTCAGAGGTCGCTGCACGGACATCTGGGACCAGCGGAACGGGAAAGGAAAGGGACGAGAGGAGGGAACGTCCAGGACAGAACACTCGACTCGGTCGAAACGCCAGCACCGCTGCGCCATTTCTTTATTGTCGTTTTGGAGAAACGGAACTACTGGCAGAAAGAGGATCGATGATAGGGATCCAACAATCCCCGGGACGCCACGGATCTATCTTGTTTTGCCCTTTGCTATGCTTTTCTTTGCTTTGCTTTTACTTTTACTTTACAGGCTGATCTATGTCATGACAAGACTATTTCTTTGCCTGCCACGTCGACGCCAAGTCGGAACGTAGAATGCTTCTCCTACAAGTCCAAGTCTTCGATATGATTGCATAAACAAGTAGACTTGGATGGTTGTAGATGTCTATTTTGCTTTATCTTTACGGCCGACGAGCGACCTAAGGCCCGGGGCCCATTACCTCGACACGATGGGCAAATGTTTCGTTCGAGTGGCGAGGACAGCTACTGTTCGGTAGTGGCGGTCTACCGTACGGGAGACAATGGACGAGAGATGGAGAGCATTTGCAGGAGAGCGGTTTTGGATCAGCGTTGTGTCGAAAGATGAGGCGAAGGAGTGCTGGCGTTGTCGATGATGTTTTTGACAATGCAGAGAATCGAAGGGGGGCTCTTATAAATTACACTTGATACTCGTAAAGGGATGTATATTTATAGCGGCATTCACCGTATGCAAACTCTGAGACAATAGAAATAGTAGCTTTAAAAGTTGTGCTACAAATCCACCGCGTTACTTCAGGCAATGCACCTGAGCAGAAACAGAGTACACATAATTGAGGCTATCTCCAACATTGTTAATGCCGTCTTTATAACTTCTAGGAACGTGTAAGTTTGGCAAGCGGGGTTAGTATACTGTACCCCGCTTTATATGGTGTGGGGTAAGTCATTGCTGTGGGAAGTGTACGAAGTATGTCCAGCGCATCTTCAAGATTGCTGTCTTGATCTCATGGGATTGTGTGGATGGTGGTCCGGATGTTCAGAGGTGTAATATCACGTAACAGTAAATATGTACGGATGACGTTTCTACGCCCAAGTATCTTACTTTTCGCATCTAGCTGTGGTATTACAAAAGAAGACGAACTTCAGACAACAATGTATTCAGAAGGACGGTCAATTCGTCAGCCTGAACAATGGCACACCTTTCCATGTGGCAGTCTGGGGTTGAGAGCAGAGACTAGGTCGGTCTGGACGGCGTGAACGAACATGAGGGCACAAAGCTTTTGCCGAGGCGTTTGGTGGTGGGTCCACTCGGTTGGCCGCGGTAAAACGAGCGACTCGCACCTGCGCTGTGCTCTTGTGCCGGACACCCTCCAAACAGCCGTCGCTTTGCGGTATTGAGCAGCCGAAAGAAACAGCAGTGCGCAACGCAGCTTCCCCAGGAAGAGCATCTCCGCAGCCTGAAAACCGAGCCCTAAAAGGTTCCCCCCCCAAAGTGAGGCTGTTCTCTGCCCTTCTTCTCTCCATTTCCCCTCTCTCTCACATCCGCCCTACCTGCTCACAGCCATGTACTCTGCCTCTCGCAGCCTCCGTCTTGCCTCTCGCGTGCTGCGCCCGCAGACCCGATCCGCTGCTGCCCTTGGCTCTGTGCTGCTGCAGACAGGTCCAGCTCTGACCGTCTCGAGCAGGTCGTCTGGTCCGTCCTCGCAAAAGGGCTTTGTGTCGTCGCGCCGCCCGTACTCATCGGCTCCCACGGCCAAGCCGACGATGGCCTACGACAAGGAGATTGACGACATTGCGTCGTACGTGAGCGACGTGACGATTGACTCGCCAGTAGCAGTGAGTTTTCTGCTTCGTTCTCTGTTTTGTTCTCTCTAACTCCCCAGATCGACACGGCCCGCTGGATCCTCCTGGACACGCTTGGCTGCGGCCTCGAGGCGCTGCAGTTCCCCGAATGCACCAAGCTGCTGGGCCCAGTGGTGGACGGCACGGTGGTGCCCAACGGGACACGAGTGCCGGGCACACATTACGTGTTGGACCCGGTCAACGGGGCGTTTAACATTGGGGCGATGATCCGCTGGCTGGACTACAACGACTGCTGGCTGGCGGCCGAATGGGGCCACCCGTCGGACAACCTGGGCGCGATTCTCGCGGTGGCCGACTGGATCAACCGGACGAACAAGCAGGCCGGCAGCACGGGCAAGAAGCTGGCGGGTGGACGGATCGTGACGGTCGGCGATGTGCTCGCGTACGCGACCAAGGCGCACGAGATCCAGGGCAACCTAGCCATCCTCAACTCGTTCAACAAGGTCGGCCTGGACCACGTGCTGCTGGTCAAGGTGGCCAGCGCGGCCGTGGTGGCAGACATGCTCGGTCTCGGCAAGGACGGGATTGCGGCCGCGGTCAGCCAGGCCTTTGTCGACGGCCAGAGCCTGCGGACGTACCGCCATGCTCCCAACACCATGTCGCGCAAGTCGTGGGCGGCCGGTGACGCGTGTCAGCGGGCTGTCGGACTGGCGCTGCGCGTGGCTGCCGGCGAGTCCGGCATCCCGACAGTGCTCACGGCCAAGACCTGGGGCTTTTATGATGTCCTCTTCGGCGGTCGTCCGTTCGCGTTCAATCGGCCGTACGGCAGCTACGTGATGGAGAACGTGCTCTTCAAGGTCTCGTATCCGGCTGAGTTCCACTCGCAGACAGCCGTCGAGGCGGCCGAGACGATTCATGCACAGCTCCAGGCGGCCGGCAAGACGACTGAGGACATTGAGACGGTCACGTGTCGGACCCACGAGGCCTGCATTCGCATCATCGACAAGCAGTTTGCGCCGCTCAACAACTTTGCCGACCGCGACCACTGCGTGCAGTACATGGCGGCCGTGATGCTCAAGTATGGCCGGCTGACGGCCAACGATTACCTCGACGCGTCCGAGGCGGCCACAAGTCCGGAGCTGGATGCCCTCCGGAAGAAGATCACGTGCGTCGAGGATCCCCAGTTCACGACCGACTACCACGACCCGGCCAAGCGGACGATCTCGAACGCGCTCACCGTCACGTTCAAGGATGGCTCCGCCCTGCCCGAGGTCGTGGTCGAAGCGCCGCTGGGCCACCCGCTGCGTCGCGAGGAGGCCAAGCCGGTCATCCTGGCCAAGTTCAAGCGCCATCTGGAGCCGCACTTTGCACCAGCCCGCGTCGAGGAGCTCGTCCGGCTGAGCACCGACGGCAGCCGCGTCGACAAGCTGCCGGTGGACGAGCTGCTGAACCTGTACGTGGTCGAGAAGAGCAAGTTTGTCAAGGAGAACCAGTGAGGTGGGCGATGCGTAGCGGATTGTCCAAATAAAATAAATAAAACACTCGAACACGTGATTGCATACCGTGACCCAATGATGCCGTTCCCATGATTCCGTTGGCTTCCCTCCATTACCAGCAACTCTTCTACGAGTACTCTCCCTCAATCCTCCTTGTTCGCGTCCAGGATCTCGCCGCCAAAGAGGCCGAAGAGGTAGTCGAGGAACCACATAAGCTTCCAGTACAGGCTAGCCTTGTCCCAGTCGAACACGCCGTCCTCGCGACGCGGGACCTGGTTGCCGATGATGGTTCCAGTCAGCCGATGCAACAACGGGACCTGTTTGAAGAGCGAGCGCATAGCCGACTCGCGCGGCAGCAGAGCCTGTTCAGGGGCCTTGAGCATGGCGCGTCGGGCGGTGGGAATGCGGCGACAGAACTCGCTCTCGGGAGGAGGAGGGCTGTTGTTCGTGTCCTTGCTGCTGTCCTTGTTCCTGTCCAGGTCCTTGTCCGAGTTGACGAGCTCGGCCTGGCCGACCCAACTGCCGGGAAAGTCGTTGGCGATGCTGCCGCTAGCCGTGCTGGACGGCGCAGCAGCCCGTCGAGCGGTTGAAGACGAGGTTGTGGAGAGGTCGCGGCCGTCGTCGTTGGTGACGGTGCCGGACTCGACAGTGTGGGAGGAGCCAGAGAGCGAGACGGGTGGGGGAAAGGAAAAGTGCTCGCCGCGGTCGTGGTCGGCATGGGCGCGATAGGCGCGGGCGCCGTCGACGAGAGCGTCAGGATCAGGCACGGCGACGTCGTCAGCCGGGGCCAAGACGAGGCCGCAGAACAGCTCAGCCGACACGAGGTAGCCGAGCACGCTCTGGGGCGAGGCATACAAGGCGGCCTCAGCTGCGGCAGCCGACTCAAACGTCACCTTGACCCAGTGCCGTCCGCTGGCGACCCGCTGCATCACGGCCTGTCGCTCGGCCGTCGTCAGGGCCGCCGTCCCGTTGGACGCCACCGTGGCCGCCGCACGCGCTGCCGCCTGTCGCAGTCCTCCGCCGCCTCGGAAGCCACGCCGGCTGCTGCCCACCGGCGGATCGCGTGGGTAGTCCTCGCAGATCCGCCCGGCAATCTGCTCGTATCGGTCCACGGCCGCGTACTGGTACTCGGGGCCGCGGTAACCGCGCAGAATCACCTCTGTCGGCTGGTTCGCGCGGTGCTGCGTCTTGCCGGCTGCTATCGTCGTCGTCGTCGCTACCGCCATCGCGTCCGACTCGTCCTCGTCAGCCCCGAGACTGCTGCTGCTCGCCTTTCGTGCGCCTAGACCGCTCGGCGCCTCTAGCTCCCCGTGGTGGTGGTGCTGCTGGTTCTGCTGATGCTGATGCTGCTGCTGCACCTCCATCTCCTGGTGCCGCTTCCACCCGCTAAACACCTCGTCTGCTGCCGTCGTCGTCGTCGTCATCGCCTTGGCTGCCGGCTGTGGCCGTCGTCCACTCGACGGCCCCGAACCCGCTTGGGGCCGCGTTCGCGTCCGCCCAAACGCGCCGTGGTTCGTCTGCCCTTGTCGCCGCAGCCGCGCGGATCGACGTCTGTCAAGCTGTCAGAAAGTGCTCCCATCTTGACACGTCCCCCCCCTTCTGATCGCCCGACTCTGCACTCACTCGTCTGTGGCCCCGACCACGGCAAACGGCCTCGTCACCCCGTCCTTTCCCGTGTATAGCTCGTCGTCCGGAACATTGTGCAGAACCAGCGGCGCCATCGTGCAGGATGGCAGGGCGATGCGCGCAGATAAAAAACGCGTGTTCGATGAAGCTCAGCTTTCGCTTCCGCCCTTTCACAAAAAAGTCTACGTCTCCTGGCAACAGCTGACGCATGGTCACGTGATCCATTATCTTATCGCAATATTTTGTTTCTGACTAACTGAGGGGTATGTACACATACTTCTGCCCACCAAGCTCACACGCCGTCTTGCTGGTACAGATACAGCCCTATCTCTCCAATGGCAGCGCAGAATGACCCACTCCAAGATCTACACGGCTTCCTGAAATCACTTTTTTTTCTTCGCATTTTTCACAGCCTGGAATTCCGCATCATTCTCCCAGCACCCCGCCACGCACTACGGAAGCGACTTCTTGCCCTCTCCTCTCCCGACAAGAACCTTTCCGGCACCGCCCAGACACACCAATGGCTTCGGAGGCGAAGTCTGCGCCTGCTGGCGTGCAGGTTGCACCGGAGAACCGCATGGCCATCGGCATCTCGTTTGGCAACTCCAACAGCTCCATCGCCTACACCTTTGATGACCGTGTCGAGGTGATCGCCAACGAGGACGGCGGTAAGTTCTGGTCGAGCCATTGAAGCAAGCGAGCCAGCCCGCTGACAGGCCGTGCACCACCACAGATCGTCAGATCCCCACCGTCCTGTCGTATGTCGACGGCGAAGAGTACTACGGCCAGCAGGCCAAAAACTTTCTCGTCCGCAACTCAAAGAACACGGTGGCCTTCTTCAAGGACCTGCTCGGCAAGGAGTATGTCTTTTCCCCTGCATGCATCACAACCGTCTCACGACGCTCCTGCTGACCAGCCGCCAGCTTTGCCGACATCGACCCGACGTACTGCCATGCTTCAGCCCATCCACAAGAAACCAGCGGCACGGTGACCTTTTCGATCGTGGACAAGGCTGCACCTGTGAGCAGCGAAGGGTCCGCCGAGAGTGAGGGGGTCAGCACGCCGGCTGCACCGTCCGTGGTATCCGTGTCCGACGTGACTACACGCTACCTCCGCCGTCTTGTCGGCTCGGCCACCGATTATCTCGGCCGCAAGGTCACGTCTGCCGTCATCACGCTGCCAACGAACGCCACCGAGATCCAGCGCCAGGCTGTCGTGCAGGCTGCCAACGCTGCCGGCCTCGAGGTGCTGCAGATCATCTCCGAGCCGGCTGCTGTCGCCGCAGCCTATCACGCCCGCATAGACGCTGAGGCTGCCTCGGGCATCGTTGCCGCTGACGCAGCCACATCCAAGGACAAGTTTATGGTCGTGCTCGATGTTGGTGGCACGCGCACCGATGCCGCTGTTGTCTCGTCCAGTGCCGGCATCACCACCGTCCTGGCCACCCTGCACGACTACGAATTCGTCGGCGCCGCCCTCGACAAGGTCCTGATCGACCACTTCCCCAAGGAGTTTGCCAAGCGCAACAAGGGCGTCGATCCGCGCGAAAACCCCCGCAGCTTGGCCAAGATGCGCCTCGAGGCTGAATCTGCTAAGAAGGCCCTTAGCCTGGGCTCCAACGCTTCCTTCAGCGTCGAGTCGCTCGCCGACGGCATCGACTTCACCAGCACCATCAACCGCATCCGCTACGAGACTCTTGCTCGGCCCGTCTTTGCCGGCATCGATCGTCTTGTGAGTGCCGTCGTCCACAAGGCCGGCCTCGACACTATCGACATTGACACCGTTCTGCTGTCCGGCGGCACTGCCCACACTCCCCGTCTCGCCGAGAATATGCGCGCCCTCTTCGCCGGCACCGCCACCATCGTCGCCCCCAGCACTGTTCCCTCCACCACGAACCCGTCTGAGCTGCAGGCCCGTGGTGCTGCCCTGCAGGCCAGCCTCATCTGCGACTTTGAGTCCGACGAGGTCGAGCAGAGCTCCCACCAGATGGTCCGCACCGTCCAGCACACTGCCCTGGCCGTCGGCGTCATCGCCGTGCCCCTGGCTCCGACTGCTGCTGCTGACGGCACCGCTGTGACCGAGGTCTTCACCCCCATCATCGCTGCCGAGTCTGCCGTCCCCATCCGCCGTGCCATCCTCGTGTCCGGCCCCAAGGAGGGCGGCGACGTCCTGCTGCGCTTTGCCGAGGGCAGCACCCACGTCCACCACATCCCCAAGGAGAAGAAGGCCAAGGCTGCCGACGACGACGATGACGACGACGACGACAGCGACGACGACAGCGACGACGACAGTGACGACGAAGACGAGGGCGAACGGAAAAAAGCTTGGAAGGCACAGGATCTCCTGGCTGAGGCTGCTCTTCGCGGCGTCGGCAAAAACGCCAAGATCGAGGTCGCCATCAGCATCCGCGCTGACTTCTCCGTCAGCTTCACTGCCAGAGAAGTCGGCGGCAAGGCCGCCATCCGCGGCTCTTTCTAGACTGTCCCGGCCACTCTTGGCTAAGTAGCAGGCGTGTGTCCGGTTTGGGATTTCTTTTTGGGTCAGACGCTTGGCAACTCCGTACGGGCCAACGTCCGGGATACGCTCGCATAGGGATAGACGACGCGGACGAAAACATGCGAGGACACTGGGCCGGCTCAATGCTAGATTTTCGTACATTTTGTTTTCTTAAACCAGACGAATTTAAGGGGGTAGATGTGTCGTTGCAGCCTGTATCCACTGGATAGAAATATGTCTCGTTCTTTTCATCCCCTTTTCTCCGGGGCGTATTGCGACGCTGCTGTAGGCGTAAGACATCCTATCCAAGCCTTTCACTTCAATCCATCTCACGCCACCGGAACGGGGGTGAGAGCTGCTACCGGTGCCGCCTCCTGGCCGGGGGCTGGCATAAACAGTGGGATGTAGGTCACCGCGAGCGCCATGACTGAGACGCCGGGACAGATTAGCGACAGCTACAGCTTCCCGCTCGACAGCCCTCACGAGAGATGCTCACATGACATTCCGACAGAGAAGATGCCCGGCGTGCTGCTGGACTTCCTCGACTCCTCGCTCTCGCCCAGCCAGTTGAGGACGCTGAACATGACAGAGCTCCTGCAAGGAAAAACAAGCGCCTGTTAGCAGGTGCGCGGAAAAGAAAACGCGCAAATGTCTGAGGACGCTTACCAGCCAATGTAGCGGTTGCGCGTCATCATGGCCGCCATTGGCATGATGGACGACATGGACGACGTCACATCAGCAGCGTCCGTTTTCGGGGCCGGTGCCTGGTAGGGAACAGCTGAGAAGACGGGGCGGGTCAGCAAATTGCGCGAACGCTGGAACATCGACAGATTGCGCACGGGGACCGCAGCATTGGCCTCCTACCCAGGTTCAGCCGGCGCTGATCTTTCTTTTCTTTCTTCGGGGCCATCGTGTCGGTGCGTGAGACGGGTCGGACAGGTCGGTGATGCTGTCGTTGGAGGTCAAAGGGCAATCGAAAGGAGATGTAGTCTTTTCGACCGAATTGTCCTTTCAGCTTGGCGCGTAGTCAGCTATGCCGAAATTGCATTAACCGAGTGATGACTAATCAAAGCAGCCTTCTACGGAGTACCAGGTTAGGCAATGCATTGCTAGACGGATAACATAAGTACAGCACTCAACCTCAAACGGTCCAACTCCAGCATTCAGGGGTACGAAAATAAGGTGTTGGCGCTACTCCGCCAATTTCCACCAATTAAGGACTTCTCCTTCAAAGTATAAGATACATACAGCATGTAATCCGAGTCGGCTCCAACTTCTTTTCCCCCATCCAATCCAGCTCGATTTGCCGTCTTCATCGGAAAGCTGAATTGACAGTGCTCGTTGTACTTTTATATTGATTTCTTCAATTTCTAGTAAGGCGTAACCCCTAAAAAAATTACTAAAAGCTATATACCGAAGTTTTTCAGCAACAGCAGCCAGTTTGCTCAGAAATAATATAGACTACTCTCCGTTTTAGTTCAATTGTTGGTTCTCTACCGCATAGTTAGGAAAAAAAATTCTGCTGCCAAATTAAAGCTGAGAGGCGGCAAAACGGTAATCCTGACGTAAAAAAAGCCTCTTGCAAACCTGACGAGAAATACACGATACACACGATACACAGTCAACCTCTCTGCTTCAATGCCGTTTTACCCCATAAACCAATAATTCAGACAGGTTCACCCAACTCGGCTAGCAGCATTAAGCGCCCTTTATTGTGCAACCCGACAGCACGTGACGGTTTGCAAAAGCAAGATCACCAGAATCGCAGAATTAAACATAACATGGCAAAAAAATAGTTTTCACGCCTTCAATTCTGCATCCACCCCCAAACAGTTGACCCCAAATGAATGAAATGAGTATTGATTAAAATAGTGGAAAATAGAAACCATACGTAACAAGCATAATAATCAATTACAATGTCCTTGCTCTCCTATCCGTTAACTCATTGTTCCAGACTTCAAGCCATATGCCGTATGGACAAGCATTCCCGCTGCACCAATGCCTCTAATATATGTGTAGGTGTGTGCATGTGCCACATGTAGCGTGTACAAAAAGGGAAAAAATAATAAACCGAAAAAATAAACCAAAGGCAAGAAGCCGGCCGCAACGACAAAGACACATGATGCTTTTTTCGCAGCGGTTCTTCTCGAAATGTGGTCTAGACGACCGTATTAATAGAACGAGCACGTTCTGAAATCGCACTTGTCGGAGTGGAAGAAAAGTGGTATGCAAAACTCCGGCGAGATTACCCTGTGATCTCCTCTGCTCATTTCTGCAACGCGTAGCCGTTTAAAACACGTAAGACATGAACGACATGACGAAGATCAGGACCGTGTAGGCCGTCGTGAACGTGTACTCCAGCTCGTACCACGCTGACTGGCCACCAAACGCAATCTTCTTGGGGGCCTTTGTCGGGTGCGCCACGCCAGTCTTCGGGTCCCGGTCCAGCAGCTCCTCGCGCTCAGGCATGGAGGGAGGGTCAATGGCATAGGCAATCGGCGTCCACATGGCGCTGCAGATAAAGACGAAAGTCAATGGAGGCCAGAAAGCATGCGTAACCAGACCGTGAAGCACAGGCTTGACACCCGAATACATGTAAAAGCACCGGTAGGTCGACATGGCCACGCCCACGAGCGTGACATACACGTATGTCATGTGGAACCAGGCCATGTAGCTGAACACGACGCCGAACACACGCCGGAACATGTTCTTGCGTGCCTTGGCGTCACGTTCGTTCAGTGCCGACGCAATGGAACCGGTAGGGGTAAAGGCCTGCGTCACGCCACCAAGCCACTTGGGCAGCATAAAGGACCGGATCAGACATAGCGCAATGTAGGGCGACATCCACAGCTGGTACCGGGAACCGCGCTGGCCAGTGTGGTAGCCAGCAGGAATGAACAGAACAAACTCGCAAAGACGGTTGGACATTGTCGTCGCGAAGCAAGCCCGCACCAGCCACCGCAGCTGGTTCTCGTTGGTGTACGCAACCAGCTGCTTACCCCAGATCAGGATGATGGGAATGGCAAACAGTGAAATCGTCAGGAGAATCGTGTAAAGCGAAAGGACCGCGTACAGGAAGCCAGAAAAGCGTTGAGCAAAGGTCATCTGCTTGATGGAGTCGCCCCACAGAAAAAACTTCAGCTTGAATGACGTGTCCACGGTACCGATAGCCCAACGGGTACGCTGCTTCAGATGACTGGCGAAATCGTCAGGGACAGTTCCGTACTGCAGGGGCTCGTGAATAAAGGCAGTCTTCCAGCCAGCGCCAAGCCTCTTCGTAGGGGTAGCGACATCCTCAGCCAGCGAGCCAAGAGGGAAGTTGCCAATCTCGTCCAGTGCCTCGCGGCGTGCGACGTAACCAGATCCAGTACACCAAGCAACGCCCATAGTGTCCTTGATAGGCTCAATAACGTGCACGAAGAAGTCCAAGCTCTGTGCCAACGGGTCGCACGGAGGGGTGTTGTAGAACAGCTGTGGCGGGCAAGCCAGGGCCATCTTAGGATCGGCAACTAGATGAGGGACGACAGCACGAAGCCACGAGCGTTCGGGAATCTGAACACTCTTGTTAGTGATTGCCGTTACAAACATTTCTACCTCGGGCAAGTGCAACGTACCATGTCGGCGTCCAGAGCTGCCATGTACTCGCCAGCACCGCCAGGGAAGTTGTGGACAGCATCGAGACCGTAGTTGAGGTTACCAGCCTTGAAATGATGGGGGACACCAGGAAACTTGGGACGGGCGATGTAGAACAGGTTCGGGTAGGTAGCCGACAGAGCCTCAGCAGCCTTGGCCAAGCTTTCAACCTTGCCGTCATCGAGAATAATAACCCGGAAGCGGTTCTTAGGGTAGTCCAGATCACATGCAGCACGAGCGGTATCCATAACGAGATCGTCGTCTTCCTTGCAGCACGTGACAAACACATCGACGGTCGGGACGTCATCGCCCATAAGCCGCAACTTGGGGCGGTTCCGCCGGCGAACAGACATGATGGTCCAGCCATTGTGCAGCAGAGATGGAATGGCGGTAGAGAGCTCAACAGCGATGAAAATCCAGGCGGCAACAAAGACAGCGCCGAAAGCGTTTTGCGCAGAGACGACGCAGTAGATGCGCAGAGCCAAATAGAGCAAGTAAAGTCCAGTGTTGAGGACTGTCATCATTGGCGTGAACTTGTAGAGAAAGCGGCGCCATCCCTTCCAGATATCGGCATCGTCACGGTCATGCAGACGGGCCACAGTACCAGGCACGACCCAGTCCTTCTCCAGGGTCGGCTCCGGCGTATGAGGAAGCAGTCCCGCAAGGGTGAGATGGCTCTGATTCTGTGATTTCCGTTCGAATGAGCGACCAAGTTAGGACAGGAGGGGGCTGTGAAGCACAGTACTTACGAGATTGGGGGGTGGTAGGCCGCGAGTCCATCACGGACGACACCGGGCGGTTGCGCTTGAGGTAGGCCAGGTCAGCAGCGCTGGCCTGACCGCTGTGTCGCAGTGACGGGCTGCTGGATCGGGAGCCAAAGGCGTCGTGGGATTCCGTCAGGAAGCCGTTTCCGGCACGCTGCTGGCCAGGCGCCCAGGCGGGCGAGGGGATGTAGTCGTCCGAGTTCACAGCCGTAGAGGACGTGTGTGCTGACTGATACACGGGAGTCTGCCGTGGAGAGGCTATAGGACGAGAGAAGTCGGTGTTGGAGCCCATAGCCCTTCTGTAGTCATTCTCTTGCTGGCTGTAGGGCGATGCAAGGGTCTCGTGCGGCTGGGAGTAGGGCTGCTCTGAGGGCTGCATCAGACCGTACTGATTCTGTTGATACGGCTGCTGGTAAGGCTGCTGCTGGTACGGTTGTTGCTGGTATGGCTGCTGATATTGGCCCTGCTCCTGCTGCTGGTAGCTGCGGTTGCCGAGAACGTCGAGCTCGACTTGGTGCTCTGCGTTTCGAGGCGAGTGGCCGTTGCCGTCTAGGCCGGTGTAATCGTGGGACTGCATCCCGTCGCTTTTCTATCGACGGACAAAACGAAGGGCTGGTAATAAGGCCGACTGTGTGCCAAAGGGCCCGCCCGGAACCGCTGGAATTGCGAGGTGAAGTATGATTAAAGGGCGGGGGGGTGGAAGCGACCGTGGGTAATAGTGCAAACGACAGTGAAGAGAGGGACAGGGAGAGCCGGATGATCCGCGTGGTCCCAGCCTCGACCTCTTATCGCGAGAGGATGGAGCGTTGCAAACGAGTGAAAAGCGAGGGTGGAAAGATATAATTGGGAGGAAGCAGAATTGGCAGATGCAGCAAAACAAAGAGCGAGCGAACGAATGGAACAGTCAGCAGTTGGAAGGAGGAATGAAAGAGAGAAGTTTGAGGAAGGAGCACACCATTTGGGCGAAATCACAAAGGGCACAGCTATGTACGCAGAAGTACGAGCGAGACGGAGGATACGACACGCTAAGCAGCCACACGCCCCCAGCCCCACCCCTTTATCTACGAGCAATGCCGTCCTATTGCAGGACGTCGACAGACCGAGTGTTACATCCTTAGTGGGAGCCTCTTTTTCTTCTTCCGTCCATTGTTTTTTCTTGCTAGCCCTTTTTTGCCCTTCCCAGCCCAGTTGGCGGCCCGGCTATATTTTATTTTTATTTTTATTTTTGCGTTTGGATGTTTTTTCTTTGCCCTTTCCCCTGGCCTCTCCGGCGCGATCGGTTCAGCATGCCAGCTACACTAATTAGACGCCGGACCAGTTGGGTGGCGTATCCTTGTCTTAATTCCACTCCGTATTGTGACAAGAGTACCCATCTGGGTACGGAGTACATGCCACCTCGTATGCAGTCCGTCATGCACGGTTAGTCCGGCTCAGGCACACGGACCCTGGGGGGCCACACCTATCGCGACGTCTCAAAATACATATTACCATACCGGTCATATGTGAGCAAAGTAAACTTGATCTCCGTTAGCCTTTCCTCGTCTTCGCCGTGAGGCCCACCACCGCAAATCACCGCCACAGCCCACCAAAGCCCCATTCGATCCGATGTTGCCGCACTTGCGGTACTATTCGTATAGGCGTACGCGGACAAGAAGGCCGTAGACGACACAACAAGACACGGCAAGGGCCCCCTCCCTCCGTTTTGGACAAACGACCTACTGCGGTAGCATGCGGGAAAATAGGGGAATGCAAAATCTTGCAATGGCAACTGTGGAACTGCCCCTATTCTTAGTCTCAGACTACGCTTGATCAGCACAGTGCACTGCACTCTAGGGCCCTACTATGTACCTATCGTACTCGTAGTACAGCTGAAAACGCGCGCCGGCGGACGCCCGCCTGGCATCGCAGCTACAGCGATCTAGCTGCGCCCGCCCCCGTTTCATTCCCGACTCGAACGTCTCCCTGGTTCTCGGCATTTTTTTTCCTGTTTGGTTTTCTTCATTAGCCATTTTTTGTCCGCCTGCGCTTTTACGGTCGCTGTTTTTCTGTTCTTTTCCTTCGCTTCCCTAACCTCCCCAGCCGCCTGCTGGCTCTTTGGACGTTTTCCTGTCGCAGTGGAGTCACGCCTGGAATGAAGGCTCGCTCGCTCGCTCGGCCCTGATTGCGGAGTACTTGGCCGCTACAGGCGCTCGTATCCAAACTCTCGTATCCTGTGACGTCTTACCCAAGTCGTCGATCATGTGACATTGCGCCTCGTATCAACTAGTACGAATACTCGTGTTCGCAGCCCGCTGACAGGGGCCCCTGTGCATTGGTGGGGTCCTCCCGTTCCCTGGTCCTCCCTGCTGTCGCCTAACTGGCTCATCACGTCTCTTGCCGATAACAAAGGGCAATCAGCCAGCGACGCGCCACCTCATCTCCCTGCATCACAAATCGTCGATGCTCGGCATAACATCCCCCCTGCCTCCATTTCCTTCCTTATCTAGCGAGCGTGACGCCCGGCCATTCAGGATCATTCTCTTTGATACCGTGTGCAACACGACAGTCATACTTTCCAGAAAGTACGGAGTAAGGCCTGAGAACGATCAACCGGGGCACACAAAAAAATCCTAGAAAGGGGAAAACGGAAGAAAGCAGGACAAAAGAAAAAAGGAAAAATAGGAAAAAGAAGGAAAAAGGAAAGAGGAATCCCGACCAATCGCACCACGGCACTCCCGTTCGAACAGTCCTAGTCGTAGTCTCCTTCGGATACGGAGTAGAGTTGCCGTTTAGCACTCATCTGCTACTATTTTCCCCTGGCCTTTTTTCCCCCCCATCCTCTCGTTTTTGATCTTGCCGTTCCCGACTACACTCTTTCTGCCCATTCGTTAATTCTCTCGTTTACATCTACGCACTCTCAACCGCGTTTACTTTCTCTTTTTCCCATCGCCATCTCCGTTCGAGCTTTCGACCTCGTCAACATGGGCATCCTCGGTTTCCACTTCGCGGTCAATTTCATCATGTTGGCCATACCAATAGGCATTACCCTCGGTATCCTTTTCGGCATCGATGCGCACCGTTCGGCTGTCGGTGAATCGCCGATTTACTCGCCTGCAGCGTCTTCTGGCAGCGGCAGCAGCGGCGGCGGCACCTCTGATGGCGGCGGCGCTTCGGACAACGACATCAAGACGAAGACGTACTGTGACAAGTCTCGCGGCATCACGCCTATTACCAAGGGACAGCAATACACTCGTCAGTGGCCTTCCCGTTGCCTTCTGTGCAGCCTTCTCGTGAAGCCTATGGAGGGCCTGCTTACTAAGCAATCCTCGGGACGACACGAGTTCTCGGCCCATCCCCCGTATAGCTAGTCGTGTGACCGTGTTCGCTAACCTATGTATCTCCTGTTCAGTGAATCCTAACCAGTGGGGATGGAACGCAACTGAGGGTGGTGGCCTCTGTATGAATGTAAGTGGCGGAACGGTGTCCACTCGGCGAGGCGTCTTTGCACATCTTCGTCATCCTTGTCCTTTTATCCCCACCATCCTACCTGTGGCGGAACACGCAATCCGGCTGCGGCGAATGGGCGGGACGGACCAGCAAGCCAGCCTCTGTCCGGATTTCCCTGCTGACACGCCCGAATAGGTCACCACATACGATAACAGCACCTACTCAACGAAGACTGCTGCGCCAGGCTGGAGCATCACTTGGGGGTATCCCGTGGGCCCTGAAAGCCAGCCTGTGCATGCTTTCCCGAACATCAAGGTGGATGGCGGTGTCTTCCCTGCTACCATCCAGACCCTGGCTCAGATCGACTTCGCCGTCGAGTGGACTTACGGCCTCGGCAACGACTCAGCCACCACGACTGAAGTGTCGGCCCTGGTAGCCGAAAGCGTCAATACCAACGTCGCCGTCGATATGTTCTTTGACAGCAACAAGGAAAGCTCTAGCGACAGCTCGCTTGCTAAGTATGAGGTCATGGTGTGGTTCGCGGACATTGGATTGGCCACCCAGGCAATCGGCCTAAAAAACGGCACTATCGCTACGGAGGTTGTGAACGGCACGACGTTTGAGCTATACGCGGGCTCGAACAGCCTGAGCCAGCGGGTGCTGACGTGGGTTGCGGCGGAAACGACAGAGACGTTCACCGGCGACCTGCTTCCGCTTGTTACGTCGCTCTTCACGCTGAGCACCACCAGCGCTGACGACAACCCGAGTGAGACGGACTATCTGGGCTACTTTGCTTTCGGGTCCGAAACCTACAACTCACCCACGGAATTTGGTACGTTCTCAGTACCGAGCATGTCCGTGAATGTGACGACAAGCTCTTAGAACGTCTAGCATCCAGCGTTTTAATTTTTGTGTAGTGCATTTTATTTTGTGTTCCCTGCCTTGTTCTCTCGAATAGACAGATGGGGAAATGTTTGGTGTACAGCAACTGGATAAGGTGGGGTCTTCGCTTCTCGTGGATCTTTGGATACTAGACACGTTGGAAAGGCGGCATATGGACAACCGGCGTTTGGCTTTGCATTTTCCACCGTTAATTGGGGTTACACGGCTATCACGAGTGCACCTAATATTCTAGATCATATTAATGAATGGTATTTTAAATCAGGAACACGCGTGAGCGTGGGGTGGTGTTGAGAGCTGACAGTGTCTCTAAGCGGCAAGTTGTCTCGTCTTGGAATCCGTCTGTTCAGGCAGCGCGGCCGGTTGGCTGTAGACGCACGTTGTACGCCAGTGATTTCTGGCGGGCTGATCAGCGTCTTATTGCGTGCGTGGCTACGGCCACGAAGCCGGGATTGACGTGCCTCGTTGCGGCTTCTAGGAGTCCCCGTACGCAGGCTTCTGAGCCTGATTGGAGGATCTGGTATGTGGCTTGGGACTGGACAATTAGGATTGGACAGCTCGGATTGGACAGCCGGGCTCTTGCTTGCTGCGCCCTTAGGTATCGCCCGGCCCAAGTCGTGGCCGTTGGGTTGCAGTTGCGCGTATTGTTGCTGTACTCGCACACACCTGCAACGACAGACATAGACACTTTTGTAAATGCTAACGACGGCATGCAGGCGAGAAAACAATGCGCAAAAGAGGAACCCCCCATTTGTTCCGGCAAGACTGTGCCGTGTAGATCGTTCGTTGATCGTTCGTTGATCGTCGACGACAAAGGAAGGGAGAGCTTTGTTCACGGCTGCACCGGGCTTTTGATGGCCCAGGGTCTCGGCGTGGAGTAAGCCACCAGCTGCAGCAGAGAGCCAGAGATTAGAATGTTCCGGTCGAAACAAAGGCTGTGCCGACGGTTGCTCATGGCTACCGGTGATGGTTAGGTTACTATCCCAGGATGTTTACCACGCAAGACGAGCTGAGGGGACAGCTTTTCTGTGGAACACCGACGAGGGTGTGGGGGAAAGATGAGAAGGGGGAAAGGGAGGAGATCAGGCAAAAAGGGGGTGTGCATGCCTTGATCTTTTGATCCATCTAGCCCAAGGCAAATTCCGAGACCCTTCTCCCTTTCGAGTACGGAGTACCTTGCAAATGGTGGCTAAGCTGCCTAAAGCGGCCGCCCGTCGCACGGGAGCGAGACCTGCGCCAGACGGCCTGCGAGCACGGCGGCGAGAACTCGTTACATCCGTGCGGTGTTGCTTTGGACCACGGATGCAGGACGTCGTAATCAGAGCACTGCCCGGCTTATTCGTTTTTCGCCAGAAGCGGGGCCGTGTACTTTTGGCGCCGGTACCTGCAGCAGCGGACACGACTTGCCTGCTGGAAGGTACTCCGTACTCCGTACCACTATGTATCTTCTCGGCCGGACGCGCACAGTGATTAAATGTATGCGCACTGTTCGACCATCTCTTTCTCCTGTGTCTTTGGTGCCACGGCATCTGGCCTTTTTTTCTTTCTTTTTCCCAAACTAACGTTCTTTCATCTGCGGGCAGCCGCTGCCCGTCTCCGAGACGAAGCCAAATAAGCCTGTAAGGCTGTTCTGTGCTCTGTGCTCCCTCCCTTTCCATGGTTTCCTGGCGCCTGGGACGTGGGTGCAAACTGTAGCTGGACCATCTTAGATTGTCGGTGACGGTGCGCACATACATAGGAAGATGGTAAAAGAAAGGAAGACACGCATGGGAAGTGAGATAAGATATCTTACTACGGGGCGTAAGTATCTTGGCAAGAGCATAACGGAGCCCTTGCGACGCGAAGCAATAACGGAGGGCTTCAGATGCGATAAATCCCAGACGTGGAAAACAGCGCGCATCTGGGTGTGGGGGAAGGCGCTTCTGTGTCATACATTGGCAAGCAACGCGGTGGTGGGGCGTGCTCACAAGACGGAAGGAACGCCAAGAGGCGCAAGGAGAGAGGCTATGTGGATTGTCTATCGTGGCAGGATGATGCAAACAGGCAACCGTTGTCCGGGTGATGGCCGATCCAGTTGCAAATCGCTCAGAAGCGCCGCCCGTGTATTACGTCGTACGTCCGTACTATGTACAAACAGAGTAGTTCCACAGCGTGTCGGTGTGAAGATCGGCGCCCCTCCCATTGATCCGCTCCGTAAACTGTCATCTAAGCGATGCCGCATTTTGGGACTTCTCGCTGACTGACCCGATCCGGCGGTTTCTGGGACAAGACCACGGACTTGGCCATCAGCATGCCACGTCTCACTTTCAGCCAGCCGTATCATTCCGGACATCACAGATGGGGGGCCGCAGGATCTGTGACGGCCAATTAGACCAGATTATCGTGAATCCAATGACAACAAGGCAGGAGACAGATGTCTTCATGTTAGCAGGGTAAAATGAGGATAGAGATATGTCGTCTAGGTTGTCAAGGCAAAAAGTCGACAAGGTCATGGCACAGAATTTGTGGCCACCCAAGAAGAGATATGATGGCTCACACAGCGTGACCACCCTGGATCATGACCTGGGCCTACAAGCTCTCCCGACCTGTCGAGACTAGTTGTACGAAACATCCCACATGATCAGAAGTCTTATTAGGCCCAGGGTCAAGTGCAGCTGTGTGCCGTGCTTGGGTCGTTGTGTAATGTGATATGTAGCTCCGAGAGGCCAGCCAGACGTACGGGAAGAGCTATTCAGATAGGCCTGAAAGAGAAAGTCTTGACAGCAACTCGTTTTAGAATGGATATAATGATTTTAAACCAGTTTCACCAAACCTTAGCCGGACTTCCTGGACGATGTCGGGATTGAGGTCAATACAATAATGCCGCAGCTAACGGTTATGAGAAGGAGCTGGCCGTCTTTTCATAAGCCATCTACTGTTTTATTACATCGGATACTAACAGAACACTCAACTACTCTCATAAACCGGCCGGTGATACTGTCACCGCTTCAGGCTTCTCACTGTACATCAGGTTTTTATGGAATAATCATACCGAGCCTTGAAGATGTGTGCACAAACAATCGTGTTATTGTAAAGCAGTGCTGCGATTTTAAATTAAAAGTTTCTATGGCTCACAATTATGAGGACCTCAGATCTCATACTCTGCACCTCCATTTCTTCGCCAGGTAGTCCTGTAAGAGGCACACAACGCAGACAAGTAGAAAGCAGAGATTAATCCCCGTCGCGCAACGCCGAGTCCGCTACATGATGCTTCGCAACTGCTGGGATCGAAAAGATGACCCGTTGGCAAAAAGAACACAAGCCTGGACATCAAGGAGCTGCCCAGCCCATCAACCAGAGAGACGGGGCGTCTAAATAGCGCGAAATAGCAGAATGTGCTCGGCAGTCGCATGTTCGGCTATCAGCGCTCTGCCGTCTGCCCAACTATGCCTTGACGGCGTAGTGGCGACGGAACATGTCGTCGATCTCGACGAGGTAGTAGGTGCCGCTGGCAATGTTACCCACGTCACCTTCTGGCTTGTAGCTCTTCTGGAGATGGGCCTTCTTGCGCAGATCACATAGCTGGAGGAGAAGAATCCGTGTCAGTGACTCGAAGGCAAGGATAGGGAGAAAAAAAACATACAGCATCGTACGTCTCCGGAGAGACGGCACGACGGCCAGTCAGACGGGCGGGGATGTCGAGGATGCGGGAGATCTCCTCGGTGCTGCCGACCACGCGGAAGGAGCAGAAGCTGGCGGCCAGGCCGGAGCCGTAGCTGAACAGGCCGATGCGCTTGCCCTGCAGCGAGGCCGAGTCGTGATGTGCGACGATGCTGGCGAGGCCGGCCCACACGCTGCCGCAGTACATGTTGCCGCAGTTGGTGGCCACCTGGATGCCGCCGCTGACGCGCTCCTGGAAGCGCTTCTTGGTCAGGGCCATAAATGTCTTCTCGACGACCTTGTCGGTGAGCGACTTCTCATATGGCATGTCGCGCAGCTCTGGCGGCACCTCGGCAAAGACGGCGGCCTCGGGGTTGGCAAGGTAGTCGTGGTACAGCATGCGGGCATACGACTTTTGCACCAGCTTGCACGTTGGTGCGTGGAAGGCCACATAGTCGAAACGGTCTAGGCCGGTCTTGGAGTCGGTGCTGGGCGCCTTGGCCTGCGCCTGCAGGGTGAGCTCGCGGGCGTTGTAGGCCTTGTATGCGGCGTCCAGGGCCTGGGTGTAGCAGGTAATGGAGTAATGGCCGTCGACGTATGGGTATTCGCTCGTCAGGTCTGGCTTGTAAAAGTCGTAGGCGTGCTGCATGTACGAGCCACGCAGGCCGGGCTCGAACACGATGGGGGCATCGGGGCCGATCAGCATAGCCACGGCACCGGCACCACCGCTCGGACGGGCGTTGCCCTTGGCGTACAGAGCAATGTCGCCGGCGACGACAATGCCGTCACGGCCGTCCCAGCCGCTGGACTCGACCCAGTTGACCGTGTTGAAGACGGCATTGGTGCCACCGTAGCAGGCGTTCACTGTGTCGACGCCCTCAACGTTGGTGTTGTCGCCGAACAGCTGCATCAACACCGACTTGACCGACTTGGACTTGTCCAGCATGGTCTCGGTGCCGACCTCCAGGCGGCCAATGTCCTTGGGGTCGATCTTGTACTTCTGGAGCAGGTTCTTCGTGGCAGTGAGGGCGAACGAGTAGATGTCTGCAGAACAATTGGTGGGGTCAGCAGAGAGGCCATTTTGCAATTGAAACGGGTGCAGCCGTCGACTCACCTTCACGATCGTCGCAGAAGCTCATATTGGTCTGGCCAAGGCCAATGGTGTACTTTCCAGTGCCGACACCGTCGAACTTCTCGAGCTCGGACTGTTGCACATACTGGAGAGGGCGTTAGCAGGGGGGGGGTATAACAGCAAGGATGGCGGGGCGATGCCAGCCCAAGACTGAGAGGATGGAGAGTCGTGCTCTCGCGGTACAGAGAATTGGAAGGAATAATGGAAGCCAGAGAGAGAGAAGCACGAGTCAGACAAGCTGCGGTGGCACACGACGCACCTGGCTGGGAAAATAGACCTCAATGGCCTTGATACCAATGTTTTGGGGGCGAGCGGCCATGGCAAAAATAATAGAGGGGCAGTTGGAGAGTCCGAGGCAGAAGACAGCGGGTCGAGAGCCGAAGAAGCAGAGGCTTGAAGAATTGAGAGGTCTGGGAGAGGGGGACCGTCAGCGCCGAGAATCTGCAGTGTTTGTCTTTGGTTTTTTGGTTTTTTTTGGTTTTTTTTCCTTTGCAGAAACCGGTGAATTTCCCTTTCTTCTCCCTTGGCCAGCAAAAAGGGCCGGTGTACAGAAGAGGCAGCACGGTTCACCGCCGTTTAATAGGGGCCCTTGCGGGGCTAAAGCAGCCTAGAGTAGATCTGGCTTGGCCTGGCAGGTAGTGATTGAGAAACATGCGGCCGGCCAAAACGACGAGCCAATCCCATCAGCCGCCGCGTGGATGCACGGGCAAAATTACACATGAAGATGTGATATATATTGCAGCACAGGTACGTACCAGTTGCTATTCTCTTTGCCGGGTGCAATTGGGCTGTCCTGTCCTGTGTGAGCTCTGTTCTGTGTTCCGTGTGTTTGGTGTTCCGAGTTCTGTGTTTCTGTGCGTTGTGTGAAGGGCAATGACGGGAGAGTGACAACAGTATGGAAGGGGAGGCTTGGCCTTTAAGCAAGGTGAGAGAGAAACCCCAATCCCAACTGTATCTTTTCGGTGTAAGGGCGAGACAGTTGAGAGAAGATGGGAACGGCGGATCGTCTGCGTTTTTTTTTTGTTGGGCGTTGAGCTTTTACTCCGTTGACGGGTGGTAGTATCGTCTTACCATTGTCATTCATTGCCTGACCGGGAAGGAACCCGAAACGGCAATAGCAATGCAGCCAGAAGGCTTCAACGTGTAGCACACAGAATGGCACTGTGGGATCTAGACTAATAGCAGATACCGCTATCGGGAGGGAAATTGCAGTCGCTCTGTGTTGGTGCGTCGGCCTGGCTTTAGGGCCGTCTTCTAAATTGACCAAGGCCCACTCCACCAGGCACAAAGCGTTGCAGGAGCTTCCCGCTTATCACATCTTGGTCGTTAATTCTGCTGCCTTCGGCCTTTGCCACCGCGTACCGAGATATCGCTGTAGATTGCATACACGGATTGATCTTGGCGCCATGTACCCCTGTTCCCGGTTCCGATTTCCTTGCTGCCTGGCCGGCGGCTGGAGAGGCTGACGAGGCCTGCCGATCAGATTGCGGTCTGTTTACCGAGTCCCAAAGTACCAGAGCCTCGCTCGCAGCAGCTAGACAATGGCGAGATACCATGCTGGGTCATTGTGCGAGCAGGATGTCGCGAGCACTCCGTACGGCTCATTTGGATGCCACTGTGCACTGCTATGGTGTGTGTGTGGCTGACACTTCGCCACCACTTCTCCGCTAGCTCTCAACCAATGCCGTCGCAAGTCGATACAGCAAGTCTTTCTGTTGCATGATCGCTTGGGATGGATGTGTCTGGGCCTCGGAGCTTGCCCTCTCAAGAAAAAGAGCGTTCTAGCTCGGGTCTGAAGCCTTGGGCCGCACGTCCGTCTTATTGCAATCATGGATAGATGCATACCTAGAGAACATGCTCTTGCAGGAGGCTACACCACACACTGTGCACCCTGCGATACGGCCATGCATCTTGTGCAACTGCCGACAGAGCTTTTTTCCCTGGGTGTTCAGTCTCGCCTCCGCAGACGCTTGTCGGCTGTATCAGCAAGGCCTGCTCGCGGTGGAATGATTTGCGGAAGGGGTTTACGTGACGCTTTTTGGAGTGCAGAATGTGTCGGTCTCGGAGGCATCACTTGTCTGGGACATTGCTTTACGCACAATCATGTTCCTGAAGTACGTCCAAGGCTAGAGGAGCCTGCGCTTCATAGCCGCCCATTTCTGTAACGACTGGGCCCTGAAAAGACGTAGACCCTCGTGGGTATGGAGGTTTTCAGAGCAGCAGCAGCGTGTGACTGCCGACGGGCGGCTGATCTTCAACCCCGTGGTGCTGAACCGCGGAAACTGCGACACGACCGTGGTGGCGTATCAAGAGCATCGGTATCCGAAGGCTACGGGTGGCGAGGACTGCAAGACGCGCCGTTGATTTTCCAGGCTTCGTCCGCAAGCGGACAGCCCGCTTCCCTGCAGAACTGCCTTGGCTGGAGACAAACGCTGGCTCATCGGCTACAACAGTACAGGTGAGCCATCCGTTGCATTATTTTGAGGGCATCACATGGTCTCTGCATTGGCCTGCGATGTGTTTGTTACAATCATAGATATTCAACGCAAAATGTGCAGTCCGCACTCCTGACGCCATGCTTCTTCTGTTCAGACATTCCTTTCAGCCCGCTTCGTATTATTCATCTGCTCCGAGCCTCGGCCTTTTAGATCCTGCGCACCACCCCGTCTCTGTCCGTCGAATGATCGCTGACGCCGTGCAACGCATGCTTTGCACGGCGGTGTGCCATTGTGCTAGCACAAGTAGGCGTCGCCTGATATTAAGCCTGCGCCTTGATTGGCGCTCGATTGTCATCTCCCCGCTTTCAGCTTGGCACCTGCAGGAAGCGGTCGTAGTATCTGTCCAGCCACTGAGCCGCTTCGACGCCAGACTCGTCCAGGCTAGAGTCCCAACGGCCAAGGGACCCGACATAACCGTCAGGCCGCACGTTCACAATCGCCACCTCGCCCGGTCCAAGACTGCCCAGCCACTTGTTGGTGCACAGTGCTCCGCGTGTGTCGAGGCCTGGAACATCATCCAGGTAGAACGTCCAGCGGCTGTCTTGCAACAGTGGTGGCAGGTCCGCGATCTCAATCTCGCTCTTTGGCATCGTGGCTGCAGCGTCGTTAGTCAAACATGTCCTGGACAAGACGTTGTGCACGGAAACTTACTGATGACCGAAAAGGTAAAGAGGTCGCTGACACTTGTGTAGCGTTCTGGCCGTATGTAGATGTCCTCGGGCGCCGGGCCACGGGGCTGCAGGGCGTACGAGATCTTGGCCGCAGCAGAGAGGCGGTTCATGAGCGAGTGTGTGGCAGCCATGGCATCACAGAAGGTGTCGAGGAAGATCTGGGACTGATGCACGTCCCACATGAGCAGATAGATGCGGAACTGGCCGAGCATGGGAATGTCCAGTTGGATGTCGACCGGGTTCGCATCGATGTAGCGGGTCACCTTTGCCGGCGGCAACAGGCAGCCAGGCTTGGCACCGCCCATGACCCACGAGGTGCCCTCAACCATATTGATGGCGTTCTCGCCGTACTCGGCGCCGATGCCCGAGATGAAGCGCACGTTCGTCTTGAAGTTCTCAGCCATGGCGACGGCGTCGCCAGCCGCCATCTGGTTCGCATGTTCGTAGTCAAAGTTGACCAGGTCTAGGGCGATCTTGCGACGTTCCAGCTCGTAGCTCTCCAGAAGGGTGGGCTTGGCCAGGCCTCGGATGGCAAAGTTGAGCTTCCATGCCAGGTTCCAGCCGTCGTGCATGGACGTGTTCATGCCCTGGGCCGACTTGGGCGAGTGGGTGTGGCTAGCGTCGCCGGCAAGGAAGGCCCGCATGTGGCTGTCGGTGAAGCGGCTGGCGATGCGCTGGCCGATCTGGTAGCGGCCGAACCACTCGATGTAGTTCCAGCGGATGCGGAAGGGCGCCATGATCTCGCGGGCACGCTGCATGACAAACTCCTGGCCGAGCTCGCGACGGTCGATCTTAGGTCCGCTCTTGAGCTCGATGTAGAAGCGCGTCATGTTGCGCTCGCGAGGAACGATGAGGATGGAACCAAGGTCTTGCTGATACACCAGAGACTTGGACCAAATGTCGGGGAAGTCCGTGTCGAGCTCGCCGTCGAGCACACCCCATACAGCTGGCTGTGACAGGCCGACCGGCTTGGCCTCCGGGATACTCCTACGTACCTTCGAATGGGCACCATCGCCTAATCGAGTGTTAGCAGGAGACAAAAAGGCAGAGGACGGGTGGTGACGGACAGCCAACCAGGTACTGGGCCAGGATGGTCCGACGGTCCTGGGTCACGTTTGCGCGACAGTTGATCTGCAGAGGGCCGGCACCGGTCTTGGTGTCACAGGCGCTGTACGACTCGAAAGCCGTGTTGCGGCGGACGTCGAGCCCGCGCTTCTTGATGTCCTCGAGAAAGAGGTTTTCGACCATGCCCTGGTGGACGAGCAGGATGTAGGGGTCGAGCACGTCGATGACGGTCGGGTAGTGGACTTCGCGGCCCAGACGGTGCAGCTCCTTTTCGGGAGTGCCGCGCCAGAAGCAGATGTCGTAGACACGGACACCGCGCTGCAAAAGGGGATCGGCCAGGCGCATCTGCCGGAAGGTCTCAATCGTCTTTGGCTGCAAGCCATCTGCTCTAGACCGGTTGTCAGCCTACACCGCTCTGTCTGACAGGACCGAAGCTTGCTCGCGCTCGCTCGTTTGCGCTTCCTCACCTTCCAACGGGCGTTGGGTCTGCCCGGTCGTCGATGACCTGGACTTTGATACCGAAACGGGCGAGATTGGCGGCCGTCATCATGCCGGCGGGACCGGCGCCGACGATGCAGACTTGGCAGACCTGTGGAGCCTCGGGCATGCTCCTAAGCATCGTCAGAGGGTCGACAGTGGTCTCGGCTGTCATAGAGGCTGCCACGCTCGTGGCGGCGCCATCGGCAGCACCATCGACGGAGCCGCTCATAGCGACGTCGCCGCTTCGTCCATCGGCCGTGTTGCCAACGAAGGAGGGCGCCATTGATGGCGTGTAGCTGCGATCGTCAGCCAGCGTATTGAGCTCCGGAGCCCCACTCAGAAGCGTCTGCGAATGCGGTAGTCGTCGTTGAGGGTGAGTGCGTTTGCGGCGCCGAAAATGCGTCGGTCTGGTTCTGTCCTATCCGGTTCTGAACTCTTTCCGGAGTCGAGTTGGAAAGATGGGCGGCTGAGGAAAGGCACGGCAGCAAGGGAGACGAGACAAGACGAATCGAATCGAATTGGCGCAGCAGCCAAATCGGGGGTAGCCAAATGGGGAAGTGTGCGTGGTCCGACCAGGAGAGATCGGTCGAAAAGGGCGACTCTTTCAGCCAGAGGCAGGAGTAGTGGGAGAGGTGGCGCGCAAGGATGCGTCGAAACACGAGGCTTAGTGGCGTTTATTTTTTTTGTCCTTTCTCTGGCGTCGCACTTTGGGAGGGGTGTCGGGGCAGCACGGTATGAGGTTGTACTGGAGAAAAGCGAAGCGAGGTTTAGGGGGCAAGGGATAGCGGAAGGAAAGAGTCTCGAGCCGGAAGCTTGAGGACGAGGGTGAAACAAAAAGGTCGAGCTTGGCGGTGGGCAAGACAGAAAAAAAGAAGTTGGCGAGGGCGTTTTTGCGCAAAAGCGAGAAAATGGAGAAAATGGAGGCCACTGTGGTTCTTTATGTGTAATACGACGGCAGGCACACAAACACAGGCTTTCGCATCATGGGCTCACCAACAGGCAATGAGCACGCTGGGATGACAGGGCGACGACAAATGTCTGGACCAGGTTTTCCCAACCCTGTTTTCTATTTATCTTCCCAGGACGGTCTTCCTTTTGGCGTGCAAGATATCTGCAATTGGCTTTTCGCGTCCGATCGGTGGCGGAAGTGATAGAGAGATAAGACGGTGAAGAGAAGATACAGAGAGGCGCAGACAGGACTGACAGGATTGCCAGGAAGGGCAGAATGGGCAGAAAGGGCAGGAGGCAGAGGAGTGCGCGCAAAGGGGTGCTGTGCAGCGTCGTCAGACGCTGAGCAGTTGTGGCACGAGGGATTGCAAATCGGCTGCCAAAAAGTGCTAGGAGCGATTGGGGGCAGGAGCGACCGGCCAAGGTCGAGGGAGGGTCCAAGGGGGCCAGAAGCGGCTGGCGGGACAGGGAAGGAGCGTACGAGGCAGCCATTCATCAGGTTGCAGCGTTGATTCAACTTGCACGAGGATCGACTGATGTGGTCTGATTTCCGACGACCGCCTGGGCCGCGCTGCCACCGGCGCCTGTTCATTGGCGGCTGCTGCAGGAGGGGCTTTCCGAATAAGAAAACTACCCCCCCTTCCCAAACTCCAAGTCTCTCCGAATACGTCCAAGCCCGGTCGGGAAAGGGCGAGCAGCTTTGCTCCGCTCGCGCCTTCTTTGGCGGGGTCAGACAGGAAAACATCAGCCCATTCGGCCTCCCGTTGTCTCCGTGACTCGCACCACTGCCAAGGCCCCCCGGTCCGCTAGCCTTGCTCCAGGGAAAGGACGTTTGCGCGTTTGGGGGTTTTGACATTTCGGCCGCCTGGCCGCGACCTGCCTCTGTCTCGTGGCACGTTGGGCCATGGGCGATCCTATCCCGATGCGGCAGGAATGGGCTGTTGAGGCTCGATCGTCTAGTGGCCTCGCCCTCTCTGACGGCGACGAGTATTCGAGTCTTGCAGTTATCTGCACCCGTATGGAGTGCGGAAAGTATCTTACATTGTACATACGGAGTACGTACTATCTTCCCGGACCTGCTGCATGAACCCCACATGGCCAAACGAGGCAAGCCCCGTGCTTCGGTAGTGCCTGACCGACCGTTGCGAACGCCAAAGCGCGAAAGCTTGAAAAAACCAGATAGTCCAAATCTTCATCCGCGCGCGTCGTGCTCCGTGCTCCGTAACACTACGACGTATGTAAGATATAACGGCGCCCTTTCTCTCGCCGAAAAGGAGCGTCGTCTGTGCAGAGTTTGCCACGATCCATCTCTGCCTCACTACTCCGTACCGAGGCCCGTCTCCACGGTGACTGCGTCGGAGATCGGCCGATGCCGGGGCGCTATTTCCGCCGTGCTTCAGAAATGGGAAGAAGGTCTAGTGTCTTCATTGGGGAGGCAGCTAAAGGCCTCTTAGTGGGACAAAGTGGCTTTGTCGCAAATTGTGACAGATGACCATGCTCGGCATCTTTGAATCTTTGAGATTTTGGTATTGTCCGCCTGACAAAAATGCTCGTAGACGGGGGTATCGATGCATCCTAGAGCAGCAGCAGTGCAATTTTTACGGCCGCGACGCATAGCCATGGCGCCAATGAGGGTGGAAACAGGTTGGAGGCGGCGCTGCCCAGCCCGTTACTCTCTTTTGCATGTGGTTTCTCAGGGCCGAGCCCGTCGCCGGTGGTGAGGCTGTTGCTGGTCTTGACGTCGACCTGCGTGGCATCGCCCGGCGCAAAAAGGATGCCGACAGAGTCAGCGGCGGTGGCATTGATCTGGTCGGGCAGGAGCAGCAGGTTTTCGAGCGAGTCACAAGAAGGACGCGTGGCCGTGTCGGCGATACTGTTGGTGACTGATACGGGCAGGTCAAAAATAGTGTAGTGGTCGACGTCGTTGAGACGGAAACTCTGACGAATGGATATCTGGAAGAGGGGCGGAGTAAGCAAGGCGCAGCTGGTGTGTTGGCTAGCGGGGGGATGGGGTTGCCATGAGATTGTCGGAGCTCACATTGTAGACCCCCCGGGCACTGCCGGTTGTTGTTGGCTGGCCGTCGCCGACGAGACAGTCGGGCCAGACCCAGTTAATGTGCTTGACGGTGCTGCCGGACTCCTGGTCCATGATGGGGCCGAGACTGGCGTTGTTGGCTGAGGCGGTGCCGTTGCTGACGGTGAAGTTGTGGCTGGTGTCGTAGCTGTAGAGGAAGATGGTGATGTTGTGGATCCGGCTGGGGCTGTTTTCGGCCAGCTGGGACGGCAGGTTGAGACGGCCATCTGCGGTTACGTCGATAGCCAGCTGTAAGGAGTCTGAGAGGTTAGGTGAAGAGATGAAAGGAGGGGAAAAAGAAGAAAAGAACTTGCCTCCTCCTAAAGGTGTGCCAGGTTGTGGTGAGTCTACAATGGCAAAGCCGGGCGTGAATATCTGACCGCCAGCCACGGTGAAGTCGAGGGCCGAGGACTGAGCCGGTGCGAGAAGGGAGAGCAGCCAGAGGCCGTCCAGGGCAGATGTTCTCATGAGGACGTCTTGATATGATTGTGTTGGGATGAGAGCACGAGAGGACGAGTCTGATGTTGGACGAAAAGAGAAGCTCAGGAGACATTCTTCAGGCTGGCGACCCGGCCTACGAGTCCGGGGTAATCAAGCATACTCCAAGGCGTCGTCAATGCTGAACCAGATGTAACCGGCTGTGCGACATGCGGGCAGTGTTGGGCATCGGCTGCGACGCCTGTGATGCAGCCTGGGTTTCAGCTGGCCGCGAGACAGAACAGGCGGCCAGAGTGGGTCCACGAAGCCGGCGATTGCCTAAACGGGAATTCACAGCAGCTTTTGGTGGCTTTTAACTTTGGTCTTTGAGAGTCTTTTGAGAGTCCTTTCAGCGTTCTATCCGCTGTCTACTCGGCCGATGCTCGCGACAGGGTGTCGGCGAGGCCACCGAGGTCAGCAGCGACGGCTTCGGGGCTGCGCAGCGTGAGCGCGGCGGCCTGCTGGGCGACTTCCATGAGGCGATGGGTCTGGCCACCCTGAGCGAGGCCACCGACGAGGGCGCCGAGAAAGGTGTCTCCGACGCCATTGACGGAGACAATGTGGGCGTCGTCGACGGCGGCGGCGGGAAAGAGGCGCATGTAGACGCCACCGACGGGCTGGTAGTTCAGGTCGCCATCACCATCATCAAGAGGCGCCCTCACGAGGATGTGGGCCTCGGCGCTGCGGTCGTGCAGCAGCGGGTCGTCTGGGGCTAGCAGGCGGGTCAATAGGGCGCCGCGGGAGCCGAGCTTGGTGACGACTGTCGGGATATAGGGCAGCAGCTGGACGGCCTGCTGGGGCACGCCGGCATCGACGAGGGCGGCTGACGTGAGGCGGACGAAGCGGTCACGTGCGCCGGCCATTAGACCCAAACGACCGATGACGGCAAACCAACGCGGGTCAGCAGTTAAGAGGCCACGGGCACTGGCAGCTGCGTGCATGGCCGCTAGCTCGTGCTCGTTGGGCGTGGCGAGGTCGACGAGGGGGAGGCGACCATCGAGATGGCTATCCCCTCTAAATAGCCTCGACGACTTGGCTGCCGAGACCGGCTCAAAGGCCACGTGTGCACCGGCCTCGCGAGCCGCTGCAATCCAGCCGTGCAGCCCGGCCGGTCTCCAGTTGCCGTCGACGACGACCCAACGTGGCGCAGCGGCTGTCACGGCCGAGCTACAGCCGTTTGTCGCATCGTCGCGTGCAAAGATGTCCATGTCCGCCATCGCTACCACCAGGCTCTTGTCGGCCCCGTTGATGGCCACGTATTGCGCCGTCCGGGCACCACTGTGCTCGTGGCCCAGCTGCTGAACTCCCGTCGTGTCCAGGCCGGCTGTCTGCATGGCCGAGAGAATCGTTGCGCCGGCTCTGGGGGTTACAAGTCAAATCAGCAATGTGTCTGTGCCGCCAGCCGTCGTCGGCTCGCACCTACATGTCGTCGCCCACCAACGTGCACAGCTTCACCCTGGTCGATGGGCTGACTCGATGTGCTGCCAGTGCCACGTTGTGGCCCACGCCGCCGACGGTCTGTCGGATCGCTGCCGGGTTCGACACATGCAGCTGCAGGTCGGCCGGCCGGCTGTCGTTGTTGCTGACGTAATCACAGCTGAGGTCGATGGCCACGGATCCGGCGACGAGAATGTCGGCCTGGGGGACCTCTGGCACGATTTTGGTGTGGACAGGCTGCTGCATGCTTGGACAGGACACATATGGACTGCTATGGATGTGAGCGGAAGCGAAGCTCGAGTGTACACGGCCCGATTACCTCTCGTCGCCGTTAGCCAGGAGCTTGCTCAGCTGGACCGCCACCTTGGCGGCCCGCCGCACGTTGTCGCGCACGAGAGCCAGATTGGCGCCGACGCTGCGGCCATCGGTCAGCTCGCGGATCCGCTGCAGGACGTAGGGCGTGTTGCGGGCGCCCGAGAAACCCTTGGCGGCGGCCTCGGTCACGGCCCTGTCGATAGCCTCGTCCATCTGGGCGCGCGGAATGGCCGCAGCTGCCGGGATTGGATTGGCAAACAGCAGGCCGGTCTCGATGGCGAGCTGCTCCTGGGCTAGGATGATGGAGGCTGCCTCGGCCTCGTCGAGCACGACCGACGGCGACAGCACGCTGCCCTCGCGGGCCCAAAAGGCCGGGAACGGGATCGGTACAGCTTTGGGACCTGTCGGCCGGCCGTCGGCAAACGTGGCCACATACACGCCCTGCGTCTCGAGGTATTCCAGCGTGGCCGCCGTGTCGAGGAAGCCCTTGCTGCCGCTGCAGACGACGGCGACGCGCGTGCGGCCCAGCTCGCTCAGATCGGCTGACACGTCCATGTGCTGCTGCCACCCGCGATGCACTCCGCCGAGACCACCGGTGCCAAACACTCGGATGCCTGCTAGCCGTGCCAGAATCATCGTGCCTGAGATCGTCGTGCCGCCGTGCCGCTTGTGCTTGCTGCCCGGCCGTCCAACCAGCTGCGCCAGGTCCCGTCGCGATGCCTTCTGTGCTCCCTCGTCCACCATTCGCGCAATCTCGTCCGGCTGCAGTCCCACCGTCGGCCGTCCGTCCAGAACCCCGATCACCGCTGGCACTGCTCCGTTCTCTCGCACGATCGCCTCTAGCCGCAGGTCCTCACCAATCGCCCCATGCGTGTAGATGGTCGATTCCAGCGCCACCACTGCCCGGTTCGTCGCCACCGCATCTGCCACCTCCTCCGTCACCCGCAGCAGCCCGCCTAGGCCTCTTGCTGGCCCGCTGCTCAGCCTCCTTGTGTGGTGCAGGCCCCTCTGGTGGCCATATATCCTCCTGCCCGTGCTCGCTCGCCCGGCCAGCTGTCTCCACGGAATTGCCATAGCAGATTGTAGCTCGTTCAAGCCAGTCTGTTCAGCGCACCGTCTAGTCTTCGTGCCTTTGTGTCGTGTGATGGCTCGAGAGGGGGAATGGCAGTCTGCCAGAGCAACCGTTATCTGTGTCCGAGTTAGCGGCACAGACTGCTAAAACTGTCCATGGCCCTAAATATTTGGCGTACGGAGTCCTCCGTACAGACGCTAGCAAAGCAAGTCGCGTTCACGTGATTTTATCCGTATCTTTTATCTCTTATCGATACCAAATTTTTGGTCTTATCGGCTGTTTGGAGGAAAAAAACTTTTGCCTGCTCTGTGCAGCTAAACGGAGAACACGACGAGACACTGCACGTCCACGACTCTCTGCAACCATGGCGCAACGACAGGTTTCGAAAGAGGTCGACGACACGATGGAGCTGGTTTCTGAAGCAGAAAGTTCCGACTGGGAGATTGACAAACCGCAAAATGAGCCCAAGACACCGCGGCGAGGCGCAAAGGTGCTGGTGGTCGAGAAGGACGCAGAAGAGGCCGATCTCGAGCGGCTCGTCCTCGGCGACAAGGCCGGGTTCCGGTCGCTGCTGTTCCAATCTGACGAAGTCGACAATGCGGAGGACTACCTCAAAGACCTGTCGCTGGCAACGGTGCCGGCCGAAGAGGACGACACCGGCCTGGGCGAGCTGGACGACAGCAACATGTTCTTCACGGACGAGGGCATGGTACTCAGCGCGCCGGCCGACGGAACGGCGTTCGTGCGTCTGGGAGAAGGTGCCACACGGGATCTGAACGCACCTGCGTGGGACGACAGCGACGACGAGCGACTGCGGGTGTCGCTGGCCGGACACACGCGGCTGCGCAAGCTGCGGCGGTACGAGGGTGAGGACATTGTGAGCGGCGCCGAGTACAGCGAGCGTCTGCGGCAGCAGTACCTGCGACTGAACCCACAGCCGGACTGGGCAGCCGACGCGGAGAAGGCACGGATGCGGCGGGAGAGCAAGGCGGCCGCGGCGAGCGAGAAGAGGAGGCAGCGGCGGAAGAGCCGCAGCAGTGGCCCCGCCGGCGAGGGACGGACGTCTGGTGACAGCGATCTGTCCGACAGCGGCAGTGCCTCCGGCGACGACGACAAGGACGCCGACGGGTTTGGCACGGCTGACGACGCCCTGCCGCTCGACACGTTCTTCCGCAGCGCCGGCTCGCTGGCGGGCGCCTCGGCCGAGCAGCACCTGCGCAAGCGGCGGCGGCTGCAGCCAGAGACGCTGGGGATCCAAAAGACCCGCGATATGGCAACCGTGCACGTGGGCCCGGTCGACTCGCTGGCCTTCCACCCGCGCTTTGCTGTGCTGCTGTCGGCGAGCACGTCGTCCGTGCTGCACCTGCACCAGGTTGCCCCGGGTGCCCAGCCGGTGCCGAACCCGCTGCTCACGTCGGTGCGCGTGCGTCAGCTGCCCGTCCGGCGCGCCGCCTTTCTCGGCCGCGATGGCGGCCGCGTCATCTTTGCCGGCCGTCGCCGCTTCTTTCACACCTGGGATTTGGGCACAGGTCACGTGCAGAGAGTTAGTCACGTGCAGGGCCATCAGCTCGAACAGCGTTCCATGGAGCGGTTTCGGCCGAGTCCGGCGACTGGCGACGCCGACAGCGACGAGGCCGGCTTCCTGGCCGTCATCGCGACCGACCGCAAGGGCGGTGGCATGCTCAACATCTTGCGCGTCCAGACGATGCAGTGGGAGGCCCAGGCCCGCCTCGACAGCCGCGGCGGCATTGCCGACTTCCAGTGGTGGCGCGACGGCACCGGCATCACCATCCTCGGCCGCGACGGCCGCGTCGGCGAGTGGTGTCTGGCTACGCGCCGCTTTGTTGGCCTGTGGCGTGACGACGGCTCGACTGGCGGCACCACGCTCGGCCTTGGTGGTTCCGGCGGACCAGACGTCCTTGGCGGCGATCGCTGGGTCGCTGTCGGGTCCAACAGCGGCATCGTCAACATCTACGACCGCCAGACGCTGCTCGACACGGCTGCCGCCACTGATGGCGTCACCACCTTGCTCCCCACTCCCGCGCCCACCCGCTGCTTTGAGCAGCTCACCACGCCCGTCACCGAGGTCGTCTTCACACCCGACGGCCAGCTGCTCGCCTTTGCTAGCCGCCACAAGACCGATGCCCTGCGCCTCGCTCACCTTCCTAGCTGCACCGTCTACCGCAACTGGCCGACCCAGCAGACCCCCCTCGGCCGCATCACTGCCCTGGCTTTTAGCAAGGACAGCGACATGCTCGCCGTCGGCAATGATGTCGGCAAGACGCGCCTCTGGGAGATCCGTGGTTAGACCAAGAGAAGGAGGGAAATCGAAAGAGAAAGGGGGACAGAAGAGAGAGAAGTCAGAGGCTGGCATGGGACAGACAAACACAGCAGAACAACGGCGTTGGACAGTGTCTTGTGTTTTATACTTTTCGCGTTGCTCAATCACATTGATCGTTCTAGGACCCTTGTATATACAAATACACCGCAATGGACACGAATGCTATACTGCATGCACACCCCCATCTCTACATGATATTTGCCAGCAGGGCTGCCATGGGAGTTCCCGACACGATTCTTCTTCTCGGAAACACAAGTTCATTCGAAAGAGTGTAATCGGCAAGAGCTCTCTGGTTTGGGAACTTGTGCACCGGTGTGCCGCTAGACATGGCCTCGAGAAAGTCAAAGATGTTGACCCAAACCTTCTTGATAGCCTTGTGCTTTGTTAGCAGGACTCGGACTATTTTGCAGCGGACGAAGGAAGAGCTTACCTTGCGGCACTGGGTCTTGCTGCAGTAGGTGCCTCTAATGTTGAGGTCCGTTACGAGCTTCTGCCAGTTTTGCAGCGTGTCCTCGCCAAAGTATTCTTCCCACTGCTGGATGGCCTTGTTGATCTTTTTTCCCTTCTTGTTCTTGGCCATGATGAGAAGTGTGTGTGTGTGAGAAGCGAGAAACTGTCAATTGAAATGCGAAGCGTGCAGGATGTTTTGGCTGAGAGGGAATGTTGATGCTTGCAAGCCGTTTGGACTGGAGGGAAAAAGCTCATCATTTCCGGCACAAACGTGTCACCGAGCCTTAAGTATCAAGAACCAGACGGCCTTTGTTTGTAGTGAATATGACATTGTCCGTGCTCTTCAGCTGCGCGTTTGTTCGCCATTGCGCATCGGGAGGCCTGATGAAGCCTGGATACACCAGGTAAGGCTGGCAGGCTGAACGAGACAGAACAAGCCGGAAACAAGGGGTCCAGGGGAAACAAGGACGCGGACGAATGAATTGCTGCAATTGCCACAGCCTTGAAGCTGTATTGCGCCTGAGAACGCCTATTGGGGGCCGCATAAACGGACGGACCACCCAAGCCACAGCAGGCAACAGCAGGCAACAATACAGTGCAGAACCAGGCAGGGGCGCAAACCGGATCGCAGTGTCCGTCAGGAGAATTGCTAATGTTTAATTTATTTGATCGGCTTGAATACGGAGAACTTTCTTTCTTTTGGTCAATAGGCGGACGGAACAAGTTGCAAGCAAAGTCAGTAGGACTGCAGCAACACATTTACAGTATTATGAGCGCCTTCTATGGCGATTGGCTCAAGATACCCACAAAGGTCACTGCCACCTGATGTGTGCCTGAAACCAACGACCAACGACTGCAGGTACCAGCTCACTTCCGCTTTCGGAAATGCAAAAAGGAGGTCTCCGGATGATGATCGAGCCGAGGTCCGGTTACCTCAATCTGAACAATTGACGAATCTTGTACGGAGTAGCATATCACTTTTCAAACATTACGGACTGCCCATCTTACATGAGTTCGATCTTCTAGCTACTGTACAAACTAACAAAAGGATTGAATCAGCACACAGAGCTCGACCTTTTCGTATTCCTACATCCTCCGTCTCGCTACCTCAATAGGGCAACATCTTGAACTCTGGTTTGAGGCCAGCGATTCGTCGGCTGCGTCGTTGTGCAGGGGGAGCAGGGACAACTGGAGCGACTGGTGCCAATACCGCCGGAGCTGAAGGTACAACCGGAGCAACAGGAGGGGGAGCAGGAGGAGCAGGTGGAATAAGTGCAGGAGGAGCAAGTGCAGGAGGAGCAGGAAGAACTGGAGCAACAGGTGCAATAGGTGCAGGAGGAACAGAAGGGACCAGAGGAGCAGGTGGAACAGGGGCCACAGGAACGACAGGAGGAGCCGCCGGACCAGGAGGCGGTACCACAGGAGGTAAAGGAGGATTTGAAACACCGACAGGCACAGGTGGTGGTGGTGGTGGACTGGGACTGGGACTCGGACTTGGACTGGGGGAGGGTGAATCGTCAGAGGACGACGAGCTCGAGGCTTCGCTAGACGAGGAGGAATGCGGAGGTGACGGAGGTGGTGGAGGTGGTGGTGGAGGTGGTGGAGGCGGTGGTGGTGCCGGTGGCACTGCCGTTTGAGTTGCAGACGGAACTGCCGAAGCCTGCAATCTGATCTGGATTTGGGGCTGGTTCTGGCAGAAGATGATGGAGGTGGTGCGGGTCTGGTGTCCGGACCTTGTGCTGACATGCGCCGTCTCCCACTGACGGAAGAGGCGCTGCACTTCGGTCATCTTCCTCTTTGGCTTCCCAGTCCAGCGGCTTTCGATTTCGAGCAGTCTCTCGAGATCTTCGCGTTCCTTTTGGGCGATGGCATCCGGCGGCCAGTCCGAGTCCGTGTCTGCATCCGGCAGGGTCTGCTTCCCCTTTCCCTTTGCCGTTATCCTGGTCTTCTTGGATGGCCTGCCACCATCATTGGCGTCCTCGTCATCGCTATTGTTGACCTTGCTGCTCTGACGGTTCTCGCGCTCAGATCGGACGTTGTCAACAGCGTCTTCGCGCTGGAAGAAGCGCCGGAACTGATGTCGTTCCTCGCTCCAGTTGCGGTGCTTCTTCTGGGTCCGCGGCTTCTCCGGACGGCCACTGGCCATGCGAGCCCACAGACGCTTCCAGCCCGCATCCTCCACACCGGCCGCCGGCTCTAGAGGCCGCCGCTCCAGCATCCTCTCGGCCACCCGGAGCGCCTGCTGACGCCGGCGGTACACCGAGTCGGCTGCCAGGTCGGCGCACCGGCGTTCGCGGATCATGGTTGTCCGCAGCTCGAACCACGCGTCGCCAAATCGCTGGCGGCCCCACTGCACAAAGCTGTCGGGATCGTACGGCTCGAGAGGCGGTTCGGCCAGGCTGCCGGGCTGCTTTCCGTCCAGAGGGTACGTATCTGGATCAAAGGGCTGGGGCAGAGCGACGTCGGGCATCCAGGCGACGAAGATCTCAGGATACTGCACGGGCTGTTGGCTGGCGGATGGGCCGTCGGCGGGGCTCGGCCCTGCCTGTCGACGCTGGCTTCGGCGAGACATTGCGTGAGGACACACGAAAAAGGTAGCTGTTCCAATGAGCAGAGTGGTAAGAGATGGTAATGAGCGTAGAAAGTGTAAAGCGTAGATACAGAAAATCAGAAGACAGAATAACAAAAAACAAATCGGGCAAGCGATGCCCTTTAATACCACTCGACCGATGCAGCCATCATGTCGAACGGCCGTTGCGCCGGTTCCTCACCAGATCCTTTTTGCCGTCTTCCGTTTTCAGCCTTCTCTCAGCTATTTCCCTAATGGAACGGGGGGTTGCATAGCAATACATCTATTTTGGGTGCTAGAGCTCGGCTGTAGTGGCAAAGACTCTTCCGCATCGGGAGTGACAATCGCACCCCAATTCGTCTGGTGGTCATGTTGGCGGTGTTGGATGCTTCAAGGGGATGCAAGAGGGGACTGCCATCATCTGTCACGCCAGTGACCAAGAGGAACTGTCGCTGACACAGCTGAATGCACGTGACGATACTACAAAGACAAGACGACGTTCTTTCTCTTTAGAATAATGAAGGACGTTCTTTCCACTTCCAGAATCAGAGCACATACGCACAAAACAATCAAAGGAAAACATATTAGAAAAAAAGCCTTGAAAGGACGAGGGATGACATACTATTACAAAGAACCAAATCTTGTTTCTCTCCCTCTTTTGTCTTCTCTTTGTACATCTGTTGTTTCGCAACCTGACTTCTCCCACCACACTACGTCTCACGTCTGCCAAGTTCCTTTATTGCGTCTTCTCAACTACGGATACAATGACCAAAGAAGAGCTTCTTGGCCTAGTGATTAATAGGTTCGACCAAGAAAGGGCAGCTATCACCAAAACGGTGATTCATGCAACGAGAGACTCCTACCGGACAGCTGCTGTCCAAAAGAACGTGACGGATCTCGAGGAGCGACGGAGCCTCCTCCACGACTTCTTAGCCGAGTTTAGCAAGTATGGCTAGGGTACAACGGTCGCGGCGCTCTCAATTTTCCTCCTCTGTCCGATGGACCAGTTGACATATCAGGTCGCCGCCGCCAAGACGTCGTACCAAGCTCGGAGCCGAAAAGGAGGGCGTCAAGTCCAGCTAAAGGCAGTCTAACTAGGAAAACATTGGCCAAAGCAGCCGCGCCCAACACACCGCCGAATGCCGTTTCCTCCGAACTATCTACACCCTCATCCTAGAGTCCGATCACAGAAGCCAAGACTAAGGCGCGCAAGCATTCGGCGACAGTAGCAGCCTATCGTCGCGATGGGCACGTATGCGTCCTATCTGGATACGGCTATCCAGACGGCGCGCACATTTTCCCGTTCTCGGTGAGCAAAGACCAATCTGCAATGCTACCGAAATTCGTTCTTGAGACGTTTCGGGGCGAAGAAGCCACGGCGGTGTGGAGAGCCCAATGCGAGAACATGGGGATCCCCGAGTCCCCCCAGAATATCTTATGTCCAGGGAAGCACCTACACGCCTTGTGGGGAGCAGCGCGGTTTGGTTTGAAGCCGCTACGGGACCCCTCTGCGGCTGAGAAGAACGAGGTCTGGGTACAATTCCATTAGCTGCGCCAAGGTCACCGGAAGCCTGACGACATTGTTGACGATGCTATGGTGGACCAGTTGGTAGACAGATTGTTCAGTGTTTAGAGTAGCCAGAACTGACATCCAAGCAAGGGTTTCACGGTAAGGATAACTATATTTACCTGATATTAGCAAAACAAAGTGTAAATAATAATTATTACTTGGGCTGGATAGCAGAGGACGTACTGCTCTTATTGTACAGTATGGTTTTGAAATTAGTAACAATTGTTTTTTTCTTGAGTGTTGATACCGGAGAGGATTATGACCCAATTTTACATCTCAGCTGCGAAACCTCTCTGCCCTCTACGTAGACGCGAGGAGCCTGATTTCCTTCGCTGCCTACAATCTCCACCGTTCCGGCTATATCTTTTAGCCCTGACCCCAGAATATGGTACGAGTGCACCACAGGGTCCAAGTGGTGAGTCTGCATCGTTTGGATCGTTAGGGAAAGGTGGTCCTGCAGCACATATCTGCCTTGAAACGTTGTACAGATGACATGTGCGGCTGCATTTTCGTGGCCGCCCTGAAATCTTCGATGCATGTCCAGCACTGCTGACAGAATGACCCTAGTCTCCTTTAGACAGATGCGACCTGTGCTAAACACGAACAAGGACTGTGGGATGTGGGCGATGATGCCACCATGTGTGGATAGCACAAGGAGAAGGATAGATCCATCCAGCCCACATAGGCTAACCCTCGGCGTTTCCATAAAGTTGACCCATCGAATATCGCCTACGTATACCTTGGGATTGTGTATGAGCGTCTGCGTCTCTGAGGAAGACATGATTTGCGGATGATGTCCAGCTTTGACGGCAGAGCCGTGCAGTAGCGCCTTTATATATTATAGAAGGCCAGCTGCAGATGCATTAGACACATAACACAATTATAAAGAGCGCGCTTGGTCACTGATATATGCTATCTGATCATCCACTAGTAGAAGTGACCAACTACGTCCATTCTTTAATAACACTGTGCCATTGGAGTAACAACCTATCTTTATTCGTACTACATCGACAATTAGAGAATAAGGAAAAAGAGTGCAGAGTACACTAAAATGTAAAGCGAAATCAAACTAAACAAAGGAAAAAATAATGAGTAGACAACCCAAGTACAGCAAAAAGCATGACAAGGGTGGAAGTGATACAACACTAACAAACAGCCATTCCACTAATCCTCACACTCTTTCCAGTACACATTACTTCTTATTTTGGGGCCGCCAAGTCACCAGACCGGACCTGATCGACAATCACCAAGTCCGTCGACCGGACATAACAGCCGGAGAGGGCTGCCTTGCTGGCGGCCGAGCCGCTCGTCGCAGCGGCAGCCCACTTGTCGAACGGCAAGGCCAGCTGAGTCTGCAGGCCGAGGGTGCTGCGCAGGTGGTCGTACAGGTCCTGGTACTCCTTCGTGGGCTTTACCCAGCGGCCGAGCCGGGCATGGGCCCCACCCAGGAGTTCGATCGGGTGGCAAGAATGAGCTGCGAGGGCCTTGCGGTCGCCCTGGGCGTCTTCGGCAGCGTTGGTAGTGGTAGCAGCTGAGTGGACGCCGCTGGCCGCGGTCTCGATCTGGCGGAGGACATTTTCGTAGACACCGAGCGCGTCGGCAATGCGGCCAGCTTCGACGTAGAGGCTGGCGAGGAGCTGACCGGCCGCAAGGGCGTCCGGGTCAAGCCAGCCGCGGCTGCGTCGGAGGTTGTACCAGAGCAGGTCGGCCAGATCGACGGCGCGGTCGAGATGGCTGTGACCATCGCCGACGTAGGCGTGGACGAGGGCAAAGCCGATGGAGAGGACCGTGGCCGGTTTCCAGCTGCGACGAACCTCGCGCGACTGCCAGAGCCGCAGCAGCATTGACTGGAGGCGACCATAGTCAGCCTGGGCGGCCAGCAGACGAACCAGCGCAGCCACGTCGTGGACCTCGAGTGCGGCCAGGTCGACCTTCTGGGCCTCTAGCACGGTAAAGATCTCGGCCGTGACGGCACGCGAGAGGAGAAGCAGCTGTGTCGTTGTCTCTTTGGTCGACGCATCTGTCGTCGGCAGCTGCACGCCGACGCCAGCCAGCATGCTCGCAAGATCGTAGCCGTAGCCGATACCGGCACTCTCGGCACCGTAGTAGCCCTGCGAGGCGGAAAAGACAAAGGCCAGCCGGCCGACCTCGAGCGCCTGCTTCTGTCGGCCACTTTCCAGCAGCGTGCGCACCTCGGCGTTGCCGGCGCTGGCCGCGGCCGCCGAAAAGCTGGCATGCGCCCGGTCGCGGCCCAGCTCGGCCAAGAGAGCCTCGTAAAACAGCACGACGTGCTCCTCGGCCACGGCAGCCGCCTTGATCGGCTCGGCATATGCGCGCACAAAGAGCGGGAACAGCTGGCCGTCCAGCAGGCGCACCAGCTCGACCTTGCTGTCGTCAACCCAGAAGCGCCGCAGCCGTGCGCCGTGCTGCAGCAGAAGCTCGATTCCCACGCCTGTGGCCACGGCCGTGCGGTACTCGTCGTGCAGAAAGGCTTCGCACAGGAGCGACGACAGCAGCTCCGAGAAGGACGCCGACGAGACCACCGTCTTTGTCTCTCTCGTCTCTGAAAGCTGCCGCTCAAACGCTGCCACAAACACAAACACTACCCGGCTATGAATGTCGGCCGGCAACTTGATCGTCGTCGTCTTCGTCATGCTCGCCGGCAGCGTGCTGCCAAAGACGAGAAGCAGTCGAAGCTGACTAAGCAAATCACGACCCAGCGTCACGAGACCTGTGCTGACAAAGACAGCCGCCAGCCTTGTGGCCGCCTCGAACAGCTGCATGGACACGACGCCGTGGCAGCTGACAATGTCAACGACGGCCGACTCGACGATCCGGCGCACGCGCACCTGCGCCTCCGCAGTGCCGCTGCGCTGCAACAAGACGATGACGTGGTGCAGCTGCTTCAGCGTGGCCTTGTGCCAGACACCATACTCGGCTTGCATCTGCGTATACGTCTCGATCGAGACGGCTACGGCTCGCTCGATCGTGGTCGCCGTCACGGCCTCGGACATCTTCTTGCTGCTGGACGAGATGACGGTGACGTACAGCTGCGAGAGCCGTCGTCGGACCGTGTGTACCGTTGTCTCTGTCAGCACAGTGGTCGTCGTCTGGGTCGTCCTGTGCCTCGTCAAGACCTCCTCGTAGATCGCGAGCGCTTCCAACTGGCGCTGCTCGCTGCGCTCGGCCACTTCTGCCAGCGCCAGCAGAGCCTCCCCAACGACAGACGACGACGACCCAAACACGTCCGTCGCCCTGTCACGATACTCTACTGCCGTTCGGTACATCAGCGCATTGTCTGCTGGGGCGGTCTGATGCTCTAGCGAGGTCACGTGAGCCTCGTATGCCAACGCCGCCACCTCCTCCGTGAAGCCTTCGTAGCTAATGCTTTCCTTGCGCTGGATGCCAAACGTCTTCCACAGCTGGCTAGCCACGACGGTCAGCTCGGACCACCGCTTCTCCGCACGCCAGTGGCGCACCAGCGCAACCGTGGCCGTAAACGCATCGGGGTGCACGTGATCCAAGCCCTTGTTGAGAGTGCCGGCGATCTCGCCATAGCAGCCGTACGCCTCACGTCGGCCCAGCAGCTCGTACTGACCGGCCAGGGTGTACAGAGCCCGGACAGTCAGGGCGTGCGCAGAACCAAGCGACGCCTTGTACCGCTGAACCAGGCCGATGTACAGCCCGATCACGGCCTCGTGTCTGTGGTGTGCCTCGTAAAAGCCCACCAGTCCCGACAGCACCTCGACAAACAGGTCGTCTTCCGGCGAGAGCGACGCCATTGCCGCCTCGTACACACGCAGATGCACCTTCTCGGCCCGGTCGAACTGTCGCTGCCGTGAGTAGCCTGTGGCCAGGTCCTTGGACAGCTGTACCGTTTCGCGCGCGAATGTCGGGCTCAACTTGATCGGCTCGCCGTTGTCCTGCAAAACCTCCGGCCAAGTGACTTCCAGCGACCGTCGGATGGCCATCTCGGCGTCTTCCCATCGACCCCGTGCCACGTGTGTGTTGACCAGTGCAGCTGCCGAGGAGAAAAACGTGGTGTCAAGCGTGCTCCGGTCCTTGCAGCGTTGCAGCTCTCTTTGGAACAGCTCGTGAACCACTGTCTCTATTTCCTCTGTCGTCTGCATCGTCGTCACTTTCGTCGTCACTGTTGTTTCCGTTATCTCCCGCACCACCTCCGTCACGAGAGTAGTAGTGCTGCGGGCCATCTCGTCTTCTGTCCGGTTCTCCATCTGGTACCATGACCACACCTTGGACAAGATGCTCGCTGATATCACCAGAAGGCCGAGTTCCTTGAGCTGAACCGCCACGTCATGTATGTAGCCGATCATCTCCGTCGACTCAAACTTGTACGTCTTGTACTCAGTCCACAGGACAATCAGAATGTTGGCCGCTTCTTCCGTTCGCTTCTGCCGCCGCAGAAAAGTGCTGTAGGCCAGGGAGACTTGCAGTTTGGCTGCGTGCATATCCATCAAAGACGCCACCGCCGAAGTCTGCGTCATCCCAGACACCCACTGCCACAGTCGGACGTACACCCTCTCGGCCAGCTGCCACTTCTCCTCCAACTCGAAGCTTCGAGCAGCTTCCAGTCCAACTGGCACCCGCAACACGTCTTTGTCGTCAAAAAAAGTGGCTATGTCGATCAACGTCTTGCCAATGCCTGGAATTACTGTCCTCTCCTCACCCTCACGTTGGATCTTTACATCGGACATGGCCTCGACGACTTTGCGAGCTTCCCGGGACCCCGAACCGAATATCTTGACGTTGATTTCCTGGAGCTCTTTGTAGGCACCGCGGATATGATCCACCTCATTTGTGGCGACATACATGGCTGCAAGACTCTCGTACCAAACGATGACGCGATCGCTGTAGGTACCATAGCGGTAGTTGGTATGCTCGATCTTGAACTGGATCAGCTCCTCGCGGTACTCAAAAATGTCGGTGCGCGTAGTGAACACCATAGAGCTGGTCGCGTCCAGGAAGAGATCCGTGCAGGCGATGACGAGGGTACTGTAGGTCGAGAGCACGGTCCGGCCGAGGATGGCAGCGCGGTAGAGATAGCGGGCGCCGTCGACGACGTGGCCGGCAGCGAGATGAGTCCGGCCGAGCACGATGAGGCTCTGGAGCACAGACACGCTATTGCGGTCGGTGAAGAGCTTCTCGCGGATGCGCAGCGAGAGCGTCAGCCAGGCGATGACCTCGTCTGACGAGCCAAGGCTGCGGCTCCACACGTGGCGCTCCAGCAACGCGAACACGGCCGTGTCGGGGAAGACGGCGCGGAAGTCGTGCAAGAGCGCCAGCTCGCCGCCCTGGATCATCGAGGATGCCCGGAAGTGCGTCAGCCAGCGTGCCATGACGAGTGGCAGCAGCGGGTTGGCCGCCATCAGACGGCGTGCCACGACGTCGTCCATTTCCTCCACCGTCGGCTCGCCGTACGCGGCCGACCGGACCGACAGCCGTGAATACAGCAGCAGGTGCAGCACCATCATCGTGTGCGCCTCCCGCGTCGCCGGCAGTGCCCGGCCCAGCTGTCGCTGCTGCATGTGCTGTCGGATCAGCGAGCTCTTGAAACGCACGTGACCGTCTCGCACCAGCACCAGATCCGGCACCGTGTGAGAGACCAGCTGCGCCACATCGACCGCTTCAGCTGTGCTGCGTTGTTCAGTCACGTGAACCGACAGCAGCTGCGCCACGTCCGTCTCGGCCAGCACGCCGTCGCTGATAGCTAGGAAGACCAGCATCCGCGCCAGATCGCTGTCGCCCTTGAGGTCTAGCCGTGCCACCAGCAGCTGCAACACGTCGTCCAGGCTACCGCTCAGGCCAGCCGCCACCTTGATCAGCTCGTCTGCTCCGGCACCGCCAGTCTGCTCGCTCTTTCTGCCATAGTACTGCACAAGATAGCTTCCCGCAAGCCTTGCCCACAGAAAGGAGCTGCCGGCCTTTTGTGCCAGCCCATCGATGGTCTTCTCGCGCGTCGCCGGTGCCAGCTCCATAAACAGGCTCGACCGCGCCAGTGTCTGTCGCAGAAAGCTGCGAATGTCCGGCGCAATCTCCTCGGCCGTCATCGCGATCTTGCGGGCACCGGCAATCGCTCGCTCGTGACGCGCAAACGTGATGATCCGCACGCTCTTCACTGCGGTCACGTGCTGTCGCAGTGCTTGCAGGAATCCAGTTACCGCCGACTGTTGGCCCCCGGCCACCTCGTCCAGCCCGTCGAGCAGCAGCACGATCGGCTCCTCGCTCCTCTTAAACGTGTTGAGGCCCACCTGCAGTGCCTTCCAGAGCGCCGTCTCCAATGCCTCCCGTGGCTGTTCGCCGGCCGAAAAGGCGCTGACCAGGCTCTGGTACAGCTTCATGTTGCCCACGCTGCGCTCAAGCAGCTGGAACAGGACGCCCTTGAGGAACCCGAGCACTGATGCGCTTTCGTGGTCGTCCGAGGCTGTGACTGTTAGTACTCATTTCGGGACAGAAATGGAAAAAAGAAGAAGAAAGAAAGAAAGAAAGAAAGATCCACATACGAAAAGTGTACAGCAACACGCTGTAAGTCGTGCCGAGCAGCGGTCGCTGCAGTCTCTCCTCGATCCAATCGGCCAGAACAGTCTTGCCCGAGCCCGGGCCGCCTGTCACGCTGAGAAACTTGTCGCCACTCTGCAGAAAGTCCGCCAAGTCCGCCTTGACCCATTCGCACGTGTCCTCGGCGCGCTCCAGATCTTCGCTCAGCTCTGCATACAGCGCGTGGCGGAACTGTGTCTTGTCATCGTTGAGACGAGCCCGCAGCTCTGCCGGCCCCAGCGCATAGGACTGCTTGCCCATGCTTTGTCGCCACATCCGCTCGTACAGCGCCGCCTTGCTCGTCCAGATCGACTCGATATACTCCCCAAATTCCGCGTCCAAGTCGAGTCTCGTCGGCTGCTCATACCGGCCCAGCCCCAAGATGTTGCGCCGATAGTACTTGGCCACATTTCGGGTCAGATGCACCAGTTCGCCGTACAACCGACTGATGTCGTCCTTGACTGTTCGGTCCGACTCAAAGATGCCCGGAATCTGCGTGATCTGCGACACCAGCAGCCCGAGCTCGTACAGCACCATGAACCCTGGAAGAAGCGCTGCTGCCTGCTGGTGCCCAATGTCAAGCAGCATCCGGCAGCTCGCCAGAGCTCCGGAAGCTGCCTCGCGACTCAGTGGTGCAAACTTGCCCACCTTCTCGCCAAAGCGCCAGATCTGCAACCCAAAGAACTGTGCCGTCCGCAACACCCGGTCCCAGTCACTGCCCTTGCGCGGCATGTGCATCAAACGCTCATCCGCAATGGTGTTGAGGTAGCTGACTAGGTCTGTCTGTTCTAGCGCTGGCGCGTCGTAGCCACGCCAACAGCTCTCCGGTCCGCCCACAAGAATCTCCTCTCTCGACACCGCGTTGGAGTCGGTCTGCACCACCGTGGAAACGGTCGTGCGACTGACCACATTTTCCGTCTCGCTTGAGATACTGTCCTGCAATGCATCTTCCGCTTGCGTCACCTTGATAGATAGCGTCGTCGCCTTGGCCATCTTCTTGGACGAAGCCGTCACGCCGTTGCTCTGCGCAACAACGCTGGCAGGCGCCATCATCTCGACTACTTTCGTGACTGTTGGGATTTTGGTAGGTCTGCTAGATGCAACAATGACAGGGGTTGGAGGCGTTGCTGTCTTTGGCCTTGGTTCTGATACTATGGCCGGCGCTGCTGCGAGCAGAGGCTTGATAGGCGTAGAAGGGCGGCTTGAAGACACAGCCGAGCTGTTGGAAGGAGTAGCTTTCACAGGCTCCAAGTCGTCTTCGATTATCGTTTCTGTTGAGAGTCCTCCGTTGGAATATTGACTGACACTGGGACGCTTCTTTTTGAGTCCTTGGCGAGGTTCAGTTGAGAATCCAGAGAGGAGTGTGAGCGCCAGCTGAGAAGTACTTACGGGAAATCGTTTTACCAAACATGCTCCACGGTTGAGTGTACAGAAAAAATCATGAAGCAGAAGCTGTGGAAAACGATGATCGAACGATTGCTGTAGTCAGAGAATCTGTCCAAGCACCTCTGGATGTTGCCTTTATATACTGCACGCAGGCGAACGTGGAACCCATTGGGGGCAATACTTCCCCCATTCTGTGCATTCGTTCATGTCTTGCAGCCAGTTGCCATTCCTCCGAATGTATCAAAACCATGAGCATACACCACGTCCCCACTACGAGTATCCAGTAGAGCTATCCCTGGTACACGATAGAATTACGTGAACAGGGATGGCTCCGATCGTCTCATATAGTAACTGACGCGTACTCGACTCGTAGAAACTACACGCAGGGGTGTCTGTAAAGGGCTGTCCCGACTGCCGTGATCAGTCGTCCCGTCTGTCCTTCTTACTAGTATCCTACAAAGACACAACATTTCCTGCAAGCGTGTTCCGTCATAGTCCAGAATGTGTAGGATTTGTCTCGTAAACTGTCAAATCAGCTTCGTTCTCACCTGCCGGACATCTCCGGGAACATCGTATCAGGAAGGGCTCTCCGGTCTGGCATGGGTGGAAGTGTCCGAGGCTGGCTTCATCGTGATAGCTAGGTGGCATGCAGTAGTAGTCTTGCCCCTCGTCCGAATCTGATTTGTTCTACCAAATTGGTCACAATGTTGCAATCCAGTCAGCACACTGTCCAGCCGCAACATTTAGCTAACCGGAAAAGGAGCTCAGCTGTCGATTTGCACGGAGCCTACAAATTGGACAGTACGACATCCAGTAAGCGAAAGGCGCAAACCCGGCTTACTTCCCCGGTTAACTACGGACAAGACACGGAGAAACCGAGATATATTATACATGGTAGGACGCAGAAAGAATGTAGGGTCGGGAAATAAAATGGCCACAGCCAAGTAGGGAAACGATGTGCAGCATAGGGCAGGCTGTGGCTCCAGTTGCCGTGTGGGTGGCTTTTTATGGGGGGACGCATTCGTTGATGCACAACATCCTCTCCGACCTGCCTATGTGGACACGGTGGATGTGCACGCTCACTTCGGGGCGTACGGTGGTCTGAGATGTTCTAGGAACTCATCTCCACCGGGGCTGAGGGGCTCAGCTTGTTATCGCACTCCACTCTAACCCGTTTTTGACTGTCTCATGTTGACCCCGCATCGAATGTCTCACGTCGTAGTAATGGACAGAGTGTCAAGGTTAAAGGAGGCTATACGTAGCGGTCATATAACGTGATGCACTGTGAGGAGCAGGAGGCTGAATAGGGTCTAGTGTGGGCGAAAGAGTGTTGTGTACTAAGGAAGAAATAGATACATCGCGACCCTTCTGGGGATCCGTATTAATACTAGTGTCAGGCCCCGCTTTTGTGCCTTCTGACCAATTACAGGCCCGTACGGCCAAGTGGGGCGGAAGGGCCACAGTGTGGCGGATTCCAATGCTTGACACAGAGCTATACTTCGTACGAAGTGCAACGCTCCTGCATGAGTCTCATGCCGAGCTCCACTGCACTGCAATGTCTATCATCATTCTCTTTCTCATGTGAAGACCGAGCACGGAAGCTGTATCGGCGCATCTTGCATGTGTGTTCAAAGCAAAGTCAGACATGTGGCGACGAAGTGTATACTGCATGGTTGTGAGATTGGGTTTTTAGGACTACTAAATGATCACCTTGCTAGGTTCATGTAAGGCTACTGAAAATAGGATAAGGCTGACGACATTGTTTTCTTTCCACTTTTGCTACACCCACATCTCGATCGAGCCGTTGACTAATGTAAGCAGAGAAGCTAACGTGGTATGACAGCTAGCTCAATATCAATAACCGTCATGGCTGCAATGATGTAGCAAAGGGAGATGTCGCCTTGATCCTTGCGAACGGCTGAGCAAGACTCGTCGGTTTGTGGCCCCGAGTTCAACGCCACTCGCGCGTCATGCCAGGGGGCCTTTTTTTTTTACACAATCCTACCCCCCATCTCATAGTTGCTTACGCGGTCCGAAAGCAGTATTGATTTGCCTATGCAAGTTGAGACGGAGCCCTGCTTGGTTACGGGCCTATTTTAAAATCGTCGATTAGTTGCTGCCCTGAAATGGGACTCCAAGTGCATATTTGCATGCCATAGAAAGCACACCGGATAGACTTTTCCGGTGCCTACGCGACAGACTCCGTGCTTTTTCAAAATGGAAAACAGAACTGTGGAAATTTACCTACGAGCTGCGTGTCTGCTAGGGTGCTGTCTACGGGATTTCAGCGCAGCTGTCCAAATCAAACGTTCTAATTCCAGAGTCGTAATGCTCACAATGCCTTGGTCACGAAGGGGATCTTGATCTGAAGTACAGAAATCGATAAAGAAACTTGGTAGGGAACAGCCATATCTATCTGTAAATTTCCTCATTACGGATTTACATATAAGAGATACTCAGCCCATGCCTACTATGCCTGGACCCAAAGCAGCCTTCCGCAGAGCACCTTGCTTTAGTATACGTGCTCAGGACAAAACGTAAGTGGCTGAACTAGAAATTAATATTTTCATGTGTGCCTTTACCAAGAAGTACGGGCCCTACAGGTCGGTTTCGTCTATGAAGGCACGTCAGGATCTTCGCTATTGATGATCTCCATACACTGCTTTTTTCTAAATCAGAAGAGGAAGAATAGACTGACTAGACACAATGCTTGCACACCGATGCAGAAAAACATCATGCCGACACCGAGCGAATATGTTGGGGCCTGTACTGTCTTAAAGAAAAGAGGACCGATAAAATTTCCGGGACAGTACCCGATCAGCAGAACGGCATTGGTGGTGATCTTGATGTGTCTGGCCGTATTTTCCGTCGCCACAAAAATGACTAGGGTCCAGGTCGCTGTGTATGTAAACGTGATCCAGAGACAAGCGAGTCTGGCGTAAGCCATACCCCGCAAACGCCTGCCAGGAATGGGGCAAGGCAAGCAAGCATCATGGCAACACGGATGTTCTGTACTCGGGAGACAACGAAGCTGTCATGTGTTAAGCATTGTATGAGCGAATCAGTTTAAATCTAGTCTTCGGCTTATCATGCTAAGGGACAAACGATAGTCTGACAGCACCAGATGGCATTTGCATAAGTGTTGTTCGGAGTGTCGTGAATCCATATCTTTAAGTCCAGCATTTCCTCTATGAACTGATATATTTTAAAGTCTTGTTCTCCAGGCCAGTAGTGTAAATCTTGAGGCGGTTGACGGCCAAGGTACGCTCGTTTTCGGCAAGTAACCTGGCCGTCATCGGGGACCCAGGAAGGAAGATGGCGAGCACATTACCCCAAGCTATGGTAATGGAACCCCAGACGAGAAAGATCAGTCTCCAGCTGGCAAGAGAAGACTTGCTATGCCCGATGCTGAAGCTGGTGCCAGCGATTACGTAACCAAGACCGGCGGAACCGATCCAAATGCCCATGCGAAGAGGCTGCTCGTTGCGAACGTAGTATCCGTATTAGCAGACAGAAGAACGAGCTTCGGTTGTTGAGCTTACATGGGAAACAGGAGCACGGAGCCTGGGTTATGGAAGCTTTGAAAACACCCAAGAATGTGCGAGCAGCAGCGATTTCGCCAAAGTGCGGACGCTAGCATGGCACAATAAGATGATTGCCCAAAGAATAACCTGGAGGAAAAGAATTTAGCTATGTGGGTTGAATGAGTCCCAGTGTGCTCGCTCTGTTGGTAGCCATGCTCCTACCGTCCCGGAGATGAAGTAACTGATGGGAAGCCGCTGCAGCAAGTTTGTCGGAAACTCCCAAGCGAGATAGCCCAGATAAAAGGTTGAGCCCAGCCATGACCGGCCGCATCCGCTATTTTTGCAGCCAGGTTTGATTTTTCGCTCTTGCTGTCAATAGCGTGTGCCATTGACGTCGCCGTGATGTTGGATTTGCCACGGAGCCGTCTGCCATTTCCCTGATTCTTGCAGTGGGCAGCATCATGATATATACCCCATGCTTATCAGCAGCTGTCGTTCTATGTACGACTAGGATCAAATGCTAGCCAGCTGCCACGAGGCCACACTCTCCCCTGTCCCATTAGCCCACAGAATATTCGGACTGGGGCCGTTTTCTCCGTTTGCCCCGTTTGCCGTTTGCCCCTGTATCCCCCGTTTTCCGCGGGCAAGTGGGGCCCTTATTCGCACGAGTCGATAACTGTCAAGCATTGTGTCAAGCATTGGAATCCGCCACACTGTGGCCCTTCCGCCCCACTTGGCCGTACTGGCCTGTAATTGGTCAGAAGGCACAAAAGCGGGACCCGGCACTAGTATCAATACGGACCCCCAGAAGGGTTGCGATGTATCTATTCTTCCTTAGTACACAACATTCTCTGCCTACGGAGGTCCCTACCAAAAGTCCTTTCTGACCGCCTTTGGGCCCACTATTTGCGCTACGCCTAATTAGGATATTTATTTTCAAATTACCTTCCGCTTCTTTTTTGGTGCATCCTTTCGTCCCTCCTTATATTCATTACCACCACCTAGAGCAATCACCTGCTGGATATGCCATGGTATCCTCTCAATTCACTCCCGAATACGGTCTTGGCTGAAAATTTCCCATGCACGCTGCCAGTCTGCCTCTGCCTGTGCTTTTGATGTAGGTGCGCCATACTTAGTAGTCTCTCTTTTTAAGTGCATCCAGCATGGCTCGATTATATTCAGATCTGGCGAATTCGGGCACCAAATAAGCCTTTGAGCTTCTTCGCGGTTGTATATAACTGCTTGCGCAGCGTGTGCATAGGCTAAAGCTCGGTCTTCTTAAACTAAGAAGTCTGCACCGCACTTGCGGGCAAAAGGTATTAGCTTTAGGATAATAATCTGCTTTTAATAGCGGTACTAGTCAATGCCATTACCACCCTCGCGAATTGCTTTGCCTGTCTTCTTTGTAAACTTCCATTGCGGCTTTCGTCCTAGAAGATTTCGTAAGCTAACACGACGAACACTAGTCTCTAAATCCTATGCTTTACAAAGTTGTAGTTTTATTTTCTAATTCTATAACGCTAGCTCTTTTTCTAACTCTGTACGCTCCTTTATAGTCTTAGGATGCTAAACATAGAACGGTCCTTTATAATCGTATACAAAGCATCCTTAGAATATAAAGTTAAAGTATCCTTTCTACCTTTCTTAAATATAAGATTGTAAGAACCTTTCCTTTAAAGCTCTCTAAACTTTATAGCTCCCTTGTCGATGGCAAAGAAGAACAGACGTCTTATTAGACTAAATTACTTTTTTCCAATCATCCAATGTCCAATTTTAATAGCGTAAACATTAAGCCAACCGTTGTTGTTTTATTGACGCAGTTAACCCGGGTTTTCGTGTTGGTTTTGTCTTCCTTATCCTAGCGTTTCGGAGAGTGCGCCAAACTGTTATTGCTGAAACGCTGCTAATTTTATGTGCCAAATAAGCAGTTGTTTTTTCTCGTCCATAGCGGTTAGTGCGAACCTTTGCAAGAACCTCTTCTTTAACTAGTTCTTGCTTTTGAGGGCGGCCGCTTCAGTTGCCGTCTGCAACGTGAATATCAAGTATAACTAGCGGGCGTGCATTAACATCAAAGCCACGGCTAATAGCTTTATCAAGAAAGTAATGTACCTGCCGTGCAGATATACCAGTAAAGACTTCGATTTGATTATTCGTAGCACCGAATAGCTTTAAGCTAAGGGCCTGCGCCCGGGTAGCAATATCGTATGAAGGCATGATAATTTGATGTAAAAAAAAAACACGAAAGGCGCGGCGGCAGCAGTGGTATGAAAAGTAAACAAATATTTCTGCCGGTATTATTCAGATTTGTGGGTCAATGGCGGTCAGAAAGGACTTTTGGTAGGGACCTCCGTACACTAGACCCTAATCAGCCTCCTGCTCCTTACAGTGCATCACGTTATATGACCGCCACGTAAGGAGTATAGCCTCCTTTAACCTTCACAATAACGCTAACGAGATCCGAGTCGCCGAACTGCAGCATCGGTCTCCACACTGTGTCCGGTGGGCGATTTGCCTTTGTTCTGCTCCTGCAACCCTTTGCTCTGTTGGCAATCGCATGGCCATGCAGTCGCCAACGTCGCAAGAGAGGCCATATCGGTCACACCTCCGCCCAGCTTGTCATGCGTGCCGCCGACGGAAGTTCCGCTGCAAAATTGAGGCGCAGTCGCCGTCATGTCTGATGTGCCGTGTGCACAGCGCCGAATACACCTTTCCTACCGATCATACCAGCTTACGAAATCTCCGAGCCTATTCACCTACACGAACGCGAAGAAGTGCTCGATAAAGTACCTGCAGCATCTGTAGACAATCACCAGATCGCCAGCCTTGATTTCAGATTCAACCAGTGGATAGAAAGTGAGCCAACCAGGAGCAGCCAATCTGCGACTTTTGTACCTCTCGGTTCAGCTATTGCTACGAAGGCTCGAGCTTGAGGAGGATCGCAAAGTATAAATCATCCAGCAAGAGGCTATCGCTAACAGGTGCACGCAGGTTTGAAGAACTGCAGAGGAAATTTTTCTTCTTGTTCAGGAGCTCCGCGAGGAACATCTCCGAGTCTTTTGGCTGCCCGTTGCCGCCTTTGTCTTTTTTCCACGACCACCTTTTTGTTGTGATGCGCATATGAGACAGAAGACAGCCAAGCAGGCCTGGCACAGAGCAGCTCTCTTCGGCTAGCCTGGTTCATGATAAAGGCCCTGCGTCGCCATCGCTAATCGTCAGGATGGGAACTAGGAGATATATACTGGGCACAACATGCACCCATTGTTGAACGATTTATGGCTCCAATACAAACGGGCGTCTCCGGACGCAGCCGGCCCCTCCCCAATAGATATCCCCGATATGTCCTTTGTGGACGAATTGTTTCCCAGTCTTTGGGACAGCCTTAAAGACATATGATGCGTACGCTACGCCGTGTCTGAAAGGCAAATTGCTTAAAATCAAATATGGTTCGACAACTGTAAATCCGGTTCCTGCACGTATAAATGTACTTTTAAATATTCTGCTAGTAAAGCATTGCTGATTTCAACTACCTACAGGAAAATAAGATGCCATAAAAAATAACAGTATCGGTTGACCTCACAATCTAAACCTCTCTGTCTCTAATGCGTCAGTTTCCCGCGGTCCCATCAAATGATTAGGGTGCTGCAGCCTCTTAGCGCAAGTGGAAGTTGGCACATATCCCACTGGTCGACAAGAACAAAACGGGAGATGCCTCGCACACACATGTCACTCTCGCTCGACGTCCTGAGTCCAAAGTTTCCACCCAGCGAAAGCGTACACCCCAGGTTATCATACTCAGGACTCATAGCTCTTCATAATATCAGACGCTAGACATTGACGAGCGTGTGAAAACGGTTTTGGCACGGACTCCCCTCATCGATGGCCACAACGATCTGTCACAACAGCCTCGTGCCAAATTCCATGGCAAGATTCACAACAATGCAATATTTGGCACGAACAAGGGATTTGAAAGAGGAATGACAGATATTTCAGTCAGGATGCCCTTCCTCGACAGAGAGCTGTGGTGCGATCAGGCAAGCCTTTTCATCCAATGCAAAGGCCAATTTCCCAACCCAACTTCGCGGAAAACTGTCTAATTCCATGAAAAGTTATAGTTCATACAGCTAAATCATCGTATAAAAGATGAAACATTGGTTCATTCTGTATAATCAACTACATAGCAAATACATATACATATAGCTATGCTGCCCAGGAGACAGACACCTGCACTGTGCGTTATCTTTATCACGCAAGTTTACTTACACCAACAACCGATTGGTGGCATCAACTCAGTAGTCATTAAGTAATACACATTGGTTGGCAACCATGTCTTATAAGTGTTTATATCCACTATCATATCAATATTTCACAGCATGAACCTGCAACTGACCCGACTATCAATACCAACTCTCTGACAGCAAACATTTGCATAGCATACCCTCATTACATGGCTTCACGTTCGATAGCAATCAATCTTTACAGAGCTAACCTCAAAGCTCTTCGCATAGCCGCACAACTTTCTACATCTGTCAGCGATGTTTGCTACAGGATGCCTTCCGACCGCACTCTTACTCCCGGACTCAGGGATCTCCACGGCATGGCACTAACTATCTCAACTCTTGCTAAATCTGCTGTTACAGCCGAGTCAAAGCTGGCCGAAGAAGTACTCACACTACCCACGGTGTTCCCAGCTCCATCCAAAGAGGAAAGAACATTCCACAACTTCACAGCTCTTCCTACCGAGATCAGATTAATGATCTGGGAACATTTAGTCCGACCCCCACCGTGCAAACACTACTTTTTTACGTACAAAACAATACCGAGAGGCAGACTGCCTGCTGCCAACTACATGATTGATGGGGGGCTATGGACAGCCTGTCAAGAGTCTCGCGATGTTATTGCGCGTGTTTACGAAAACCACCACAAGCAATATAAAACGGAAGGCT